GCGGGGTCTCGCGCTCATGAGCAGGCACCAGGAGGAACCCGGAGCTCCCCTGGAAGGCAGGTGGAGAAAGAGAAGAACCTCAAGTACCTTCACCACGGCAACAGCTCGAGCAGGTATGCGTCCTCGTGGGTGGACGCGGAGGACGAGATGGATGGAGGAGAGCAGCTGCTGCTGCTGGACCTCCGCTTCAAGAACCTCTTCCAGGATATGCTCGTGCTCAAGAAGAAGAAGTTCAAGCTGGAGATCGAAGGTGGGAAGAGGAGCACAGCAAGAGGAGGGAGGAAGAGGGAGGGAGAGGAAGAAAGGAGGTGGAGGTGGAAGGGGTAGGGTGAGGATGGTGGAGGGACAGGGACAGGACAGTGACAGCGACGGGAGAGAGGGGGGAGGACAAGGAGGAGGCTGAGGGAGGAGCCGAGAGTGAATCATGGAGGTCCTGACGTCTGCTGGACGTCTGCTGGGGCAGAGATCGCAGGAGAACAATCAATGGACCCCCATCAGATCGACCAGCATCGTCGTGGGCGGCACCTCCGCCGAGTTCCAGGCGGTCAAGATCGACCTCAACGACCTTGATGGGCAGCTGCAGATCCCGCTGCTGTAACTCCTCCCTCCCTCCCTCCCTCCCCTCCCCTCCCCTCCCCTCCCCTCCCCTCCCCTCCCCTCCCCTCCCCTCCCCTCCCTCCCCTCCCCTCCTCCCCTCCTCCCCTCCTCCCCCTCCTCCCCTCCTCTCCCTCGCCCCCTCCTCTCCTCCTCTCACACCCTCCCCTCCAGCTAGTCCATGCTCTCCTTCATTTCCCTCCTTGCCCTGGCGTGCTGACAACGCCGGCAGGTTCGAACTGGAAGAGATTGAGCAGAAGAAGAACAAGCAGAATATTTACATGGTCGGAAAAGGTGAAAGAAATTCATGTCTTGCCCTCCAACTTCTGACTCTCATCTCCTCCTCCTCTACGTCACATGCTGCCTCCAATCCTCCTCATACTTTTTACCCCCAACACCTACTGCTCCAACGACTTCCCTCTCCCCTCCTCTCCCCTCCTCTCCCCTCCTCATATTCCCTACCCTCCACTGTCTTCCCCTCCCCTTCCCTCTCCCCTTTGATCTTCTCTCCCTCCTTGTTTCTGACTCGGAAGCAGTCGTCTTGAGCCCCATCCAGATCGAGAGTCTCTTCCGATCCAAGACTTCTACCAAGCTCAAGGTTAGACTTTGACTCCTCTGCTGCTTCCTCCTGCTCTCCCCCGCTCTCCTTCCTCGATTACCAGCGTCTCCTCTCGCAGTCTTCTCGCGAATCTCTCATGCTCTCTCTCTTTCCTTCACCTTTTCCATCGTCGTCTCATCCTCCTCTAAACCCTAAACCTGCTTCTCTCTCCCTCCCTCCCTCCCGTCGTTCCTAGCAATGGTTCTCGTCTCCTTACGTCCTTCCTGACAACCTGCAGGATCCGAGCGGAGAGAAGAGGTTTGTGGGGGAAGTAGAGATCGTATCCTACTGCCACGTCATCATCCCCGTCTACAAGATCTGGCGCTTCAATCTCAACCTCGAAGTTCACTCATGGACAGAAGCTGAAGGCTCTATGTACCTTCTCCTACTTCTCTCCTTTCCCTCATCATCCTCCCTCTTTCCCTCCTATCCCTCCCTCCTTCTCTCCCTCGCTCTCTCCTCTCCCTCCTCTCCCCTCCCCTCCCCTCCCTTGCCCTCTCCTTCCCCATGTAACCCTTCTTGCAGGGCGACGCTCTCAACGAGCGACAAACGGCGAGTGCAGGCAGAGGACGAGCGAGCAGGCGAGAGGAGGGAGGAGATGTCATTCGTGCTGACTGTCCCACAGAGCACCAAGAGAGGTCGCTGCAGGAGGCGTTCACGCGGCACATCGGAGCAGGGAGACGAAGATGAAGGCGAAGGGAAACTGCCGCAGTGCTCAACCCCAAGTCTTGTCATACTATCATCCCCTCGTCTTGCTCTCTTAATCCTCTGTTACTCCTCTCTCCCTACTTCACTCCTTCCAGCCTTCTCTCTCTCCTTCAGCTCTAGTTCGCCTTCCCCTACATTCCATTCTCCACATTCATATCCTGTGTTGGCATGAAACGAACTGCAAGCACTCCTCGGTACCACTCGTCCCTGCAAACCATCTCAGCGACTGCTGCCTGTCCAGCTCGTCGCAACCTGCAGGTGGACCCGTCGAAGAGCTGGAGGATGCCGTTGCCATGTCGCTTCCCCTCGCGCCACTCTCCGCTGGGATGACGTCAGCGTCGAGAAGCAGAGCAACAGGAGGGGAGGGGAGTGAACCTGAAGACGCTACCGTCTCGTGAGGACTTGTACACTCCTCGTCCTGCAAGGCGAGGGGAATTAGCAAGTAGATGAAGCAGGGGAGGGCAAAAGGGAAGGACCGTGCGGCTTGTCGTCCAGCCACTCTCCGGTGTACTCGTCTCCTGCTCATCGGAACATGTGCGCAGGTCACGTTGCTACATAGTTCTCAGCTCTTCTTTCACCGTTGACGTGGATGAATGTGCCTTGTCCGTTCCTCTTACCATCCTAATTGCCGTATTAGCAAGGACAAGGATAAGGATGGGGAAGACGAAGGCAACATCCAGCACAAGTCACGGAGGAAAGCAAACGAGAATGGGAATTCAGATGCTGGCTTGCTGGCAGGCAAGGAAACAAGACGTGTGCCGACAGTCACCTTGAACTCTCCAGTGTAGACGCCATTGCCGTGAGAGTTGTAGACGCCTCTGCCATCCACTGGTGACCGCACTCAGTTTGACTGGCCAGCCAGAAATGAAGGCCAAGTCACCCAGATCGTTCTTCCACTCCCCGTCGTAGGTGTCAAGGTTCGAGAACGTGTAGATGCCTTCAAAGAGCAGTCGGTCGTACCCAAGAAGCAGCCAACTGCCATCTACCTCGACCATGTCGCTTGTCCTGCCTCCATTCACCGAGGTACCTGCAGCTATATCACCCACCAGCTCTAAGTCAGGCGGGCATGGTCTTACTGGCTGCCGTCTGCATAAACAGCCTCGCCCTCGCCCTCACGGTGACCTTTGTTCCACTGTCCCCTGCGGAGACAACGGGATCTCACAGGGTGAAGGTCAAGCTGCATGGCAAACAACTTGTAGACTTCTCCGTTGGGAAACGACATCTGTCCTTCACCGTGCCGGAGATCATTCACCCAGTCCCCCTGGTACCTGCGCGCGGCTGGTTGAGGAACCATTGAGGAGGCCAAGACAGACTCACGTTGTTCCACTTGGGTAGTGATAGACTCCCTTACCGTCCCGGCGATCTCCAAACATCTCGCCCTGGATCCACACCCTTCAATCTCCATCCCTCCCCGCACGCACAACCCGACCTCATATCGGCTTCCGTCGGAGAGCAGCATCTTTCCTGCTCCTGACTTCACTCCTTTGTCCCAGAAGCCGATGTACCTAGGCACGATCATCCACCCCGACTTCAGCTGCTTCTAGGGACTCACTGGCTGCCATTGCTGAAGGTCATGGTCCCATAGCCTTGTTTCAGATCGAAACTCCACGAGCCCTGCCTGGTTGTCACGCGAGTCTCCGAGCAAGGAACGAGCTTTCCTGATACTTATCTCCGTTTGGATACGTCTCCGTGCCCTGACCACTTCGTAGACCATCCTCCCAGTTCCCTTCATACAAGACTCCATTCGCATGCCTTGGACGGTATGAGAACAGCTGGCGACAAAAGCGGCAGGTCTGACCTGTAAGTCCCTGTGCCATGCCTCTTGTCGTTCAAGTAGCATCCTGAAGGCACGTGTCACTCACCTCCCAACGCTCATCATCGCAGCCAACACCGTCGAACACATCGCCATTAGGAAACTTGTACGTTCCTCTCCCTTCTTTCTTGTTGTCAACCCAGTCCCTGAATATCACCCATCGTCAGAACCATGCTCGAATCTCCCGTATCCTGCGTCATCCTACCCTTCGAACTGCTCATCAGCCGAGACGTACAGAGCTCCTTGCCCCTGCCTCATCCCATCCTGGACAAGACAAACTTCTTTCAGCATTCCTCCAGCCACCATCCGACGCCTTGTCCTCACCTTCCACTCTCCCACATAGGAGGAGCCGTCAGGGTAGACGACCTTCCCTGCTCCATGGGGGAGCCCCTGCTTGTTCACCTTCCCGTCGTACCGCAACCCGTTGGGGAACTCCACCGTCTTCTCTGTCATCGCCGCCTCCTCGCGCGGAGTGGGGAAAAAAGTTTGACTACCGAGCAAAAAAAAGGTGAGTGTATTTTGAACAGCTAGTCAATTGTTTTTATTCGGGCGGCCCGGCGGCCACACTGACGACCGTACCCTGACCGGGCTGGGCTGGCAATCCGATCGGATGAAACTGCGGATCTCATCAGACTAGTCGTGCGCTGAGGAACATCCGTGTTCATCGTTACCCATCGGACGGAAGTTCACCTATGATGTAGGCGTACGGTCTGTCCGACTGGCGATCGGATGATCTGGCATGATGATGAGACAATCAGATTTGCAGGCCTGGAGATGCGGCTCATCCCGTCTTTGCTGCTCCCATGCACACATCGCAAGCTTGTATTGTGACTGTCAAAGGCATCAGAGTCACATGATTGGGTCCATGCAGATCTCTTCACTCCCCTTCGGATTGAAAAATGTATGGACAAGACTGAGTTGATCGGTGAGTCAAGCATGGCTCTAGGCCGAAGGCTTTCTTTCGATTGTGTATATACATTCTTTATACATCGGATAACATGCTCCGCCCCCTCTAGATACTTCTCACACTGCTCTCGCGCACGGTCTCATAATACCGATCGACGTCTTCTCCCTTGCTGATGTCGCCCCGCCGCTTCTCTTGTCGTGACCACGATGTAGCCTTGCAATCGCGCTTGCTCAAAGGACGACAGCAGCTCGGACCTCATGCGCTTCATGCAGCGCAAGCAGCTGCAGGAGCAGGCGTGACTATCGGGGTGTTCCAGCAACTTGCATCGCAAGCTGAGATGAGATCCAGCTTCCATACGCAGGGCGGCGTGATGGGCATGATTCGCACTGGCGGATCTTGTCAAAGCACGGGATGATTGGCTATCTGAAGCAGAGGAGTCCTCGTGGCCTACCAGTTCGTTGTGATCGTCGACAGCTTGGTTTAATGGAGTGTCTTGAAGCACTTCGTGCCGATCCAAGGGCAAGAGAAGGCTCCATGCGAACATCACAGCAGAACGGAAGAGAGCGACAAAGATGCCGGCGAGGGAGCAGCTCATGCCCTGGCACATGCATCGATGAACGTGTACTCCCATTATCTCTTACCCTTGGCACCTTTGCTGCCCCACGACCGCTCTCTCCGCTCCTCGCTCGCACAGTCGAATCCTTTTGACTCAGTTTTGTCGGCTGACGCCTTGGGCTGTAGTAAAATGCGGTAAAACTGAATTTTGGTGAATGTACACCATGGATATCCGGATTCGGCCGAAATTGAACAGGTCACAGGCTTTTGCTATTTCGCTGGGTAAAAGTTGAAAGTTGTGCTGCGACGTTTCGAGGGTCGGCTAAAACCTGAAGCGGTCTTGCTCTTTTTGCACTCTTGGTATGACCAGCCTAAGAGAAACGAAACTTCCTAGAGCCAGGTCATACAGTAGATGTCGAAACAGTGTTTAAACACATTCAAATTCTTGCAGGAGTAAACTTGAGCCTCCTCGCACGGATTCGTCACGGCACTGTAAAGTAAGCTTCCTGCAGGAAAGGGCAAACAAACCAACCCGCCTCAGCAGGTATCATACGCGGCGTACGTGCCGATCTCTTCACTCCCCTTTGGAATTGAAAAATGTATGGACAAGACTGAGTTGATCGGTGAGTCAAGCATGGCTCTAGGCCGAAGGCTTTCTTTCGATTGTGTATATACATTCTTTATACATCGGATAACATGCTCCGCCCCCTCTAGATACTTCTCACACTGCTCTCGCGCACGGTCTCATAATACCGATCGACGTCTTCTCCCTTGCTGATGTCGCCCCGCCGCTTCTCTTGTCGTGACCACGATGTAGCCTTGCAATCGCGCTTGCTCAAAGGACGACAGCAGCTCGGACCTCATGCGCTTCATGCAGCGCAAGCAGCTGCAGGAGCAGGCGTGACTATCGGGGTGTTCCAGCAACTTGCATCGCAAGCTGAGATGAGATCCAGCTTCCATACGCAGGGCGGCGTGATGGGCATGATTCGCACTGGAGGATCTTGTCAAAGCACGGGATGATTGGCTATCTGAAGCAGGGGAGTCCTCGTGGCCCTCCAGTTCGACACTTCTTTGGTTCCATCGAGTATCTTGAAGCTCATGCTCAAGACTCCTTGACGATTCTCCGAGTGCTTTAAATTCTTTCGGACCGAAGGGCAAGAGAAGGCTCCATGCGAACATCACAGAAGAACGGAAGAGAGCGACAAAGATGCGTGCGAAGGAGCAGCTCATGCCCTGGCACATGCATCGATGAACGTGTTCTCCCATCATGGTCCGATCTTTCACCCTCCGACGGCGCGCTGCCGGCCCCCACTCGCCAGTCCCTTCCTGACGCTTCACGTACTGTCAACCCTTTTGATTGCTGTTTTGATTGGGTTTGTCGGCTGACGCCTAGGCTGTTGTAAAACAAACAAAAATTATTTTTCAGTGTTAAAACGTTTGTAAATGAAAAACCATTATATCCGGATTCGGCCGAAATTGTTTGTTACGACAAGTTTCATTTCGGTAGGTCAAAATTGAAATTTACTACGGCAATGGCCTGGAAACGATTTCGAAATTTCGTCGAAGATTTGCGAGATTATTTTCTGATATCTTTGCACTCCTGTCTTAATCGGACCAACCTACAAACTTTTCTAGGACTGGGTCATAGCCTGATGATCTAGCAGTAAACTCAGCCCTGCCGCCTGACACGTCCGTGTCATGAAGTACCGTGCTCTGCCGTTTACTCTCAGTAGCCTCCGGTTCAGTAAAAATCACCCGGTGACATCCCCGGCCGGACGCGAGCCGGGTCGCTGGCCCCGGCCCGCCGGCGGCCGCCGGGCCGGCCCGCCGGGCCGCGGACAGTCGGTTGATTGGTTAAAAAGTCGTTTTCGAAATGAGGAGTATTTTTCAAAAATATGAAGGTATCTTGAAATTCTGATTGACACAAGTGAAAGAAGAGTTCGGCCTAGATGAAAACCGTGGGTGTCCAAATGGAATGCAAAAAGGGGGTGGGGGTACCTATAGTTCAGGTCTCATACGAACTGAATTAAGGAGGGACTTATAGAATTGCATCAGAGCACTGAGGGTATACACACACCTGTCTTTCAAGGGTATGGGATGGGGTGGTGGGCAGCTGGAAGCGCTGGCTGGCACAAAATGGGATGAAGCAAAGCAACTACAGAGTGTCGTTTCATGGCGCGATGTTGGGAGGGAAGGAGAGGGAGGAAAGAATTAGGGAAGAGAGATGAGACGGAAGAAACAGAGATAGTTGTATGGCAATCAAACACATCAAAACAAGGTGGATGGAAGCACTTTTTAGACAGATGAGGTTATGAAGCATCAACAGTTGATGACCTTACGTAGTCTACCTTACGTCATCATGATCTCCTCTTTGTGATCACCTACAAATGTGTTTTGTCTCTTTTTTCTCCTGGACGTACTGAATTTGAGGATGCCATTGATAGCTCATCACTCTCCTGATTTAGGCTTTGTCCTGCGGGTTTTCTATCACTGAAAATTCACTTTCGGTGTGCAGATGCCATCTCGTGCTATCTCGGTCTTTGCACTCTTGCTCTTCACCGTTCTCTCTGCTCATGGGTTGACTGTTGGGAACGACAACCCACCCAAGGCATGTTACAAGGCTCCTGTGACTGCCGTGTCTGATCCCAACGTCGTCATCTACGATCGCGATGCACCATGCGGACCAGGACGCGCGTACATCCACAACTCAGGGAACTCTGTCCCTGGGGCTCCCATGACGGCTGGGGCGGGACCTGAGGAGCACACGTACGTCGCTGCAGAGTTCAGCAAGGAAGTTTCGGACTCTCTCACCCACTACATCGGTCAGTGCATGGTTGTTCCACAAGGAGGAAGGACTGTCGCCACGTGGCGTGTGAACAGGAACGGCTGCCACTGACAAGTTGAACAGCGGCAATCCAAGAGCTGGTTATACATGATGAGTAGAGAGGAGCAACATTCACACATTCAATGAAACGAGTTTCACCCACCCTCATGTAGGCTTCTGAATGTTATACGGTCACAGGGACCAATCACGAGTATGGAACCTGGAGATGCTCGCTGCTCCCGTGCATCGCCTCATCCTCAAGTGCGGAGAGCAGCCTCGTCGCCACAGGACCGACCTGACCATCTCCGACTGGCTCCCCGTCCCACGACGTCACGGCGTACAAGTGCAGGTCGCCTCCAGTGAGGAAAATCTCCACAGCCGTATGAGCCTCCTCCTCCGCGATGGGTCGCTGCTGGGCTTCTTTGATCAGACCCTCAGCGATCAGTTTAGGTTCTGCAAACTCGAGGCATTTGCGCACAGTGGTGCCGTTGAGAGCACGAGCGAACGTGGGAGTGACCAGGGTCTTGTCCGGGAGCACGAAGGAAACGTTAAGGACGCAGGATTCAGCGATGAAACCCTCCTCGTCCACAAGGATACCAAAGGTCCCTCCCAGATCGCGCGCTCGGAGGGCGGTGAGGGAGTTAAGGAGGTAGTTGTTGGTCTTGATCGAGCTCAGGGCCGGCGGTTTCAGCGGGACGTCACGCACTGTTACCTCGGAGATGGCAGGAGGTGCCTTGCCCATCTCGTGCTGTAGTGCCGAGCCGACGAAGATGACGCAGTAGAAAGAAGAGGATCCCTGCTTGGGGACGATGGAGAAATCTCCTGGTCCTGCAGAGAGCCAGAAGCGGACGGACCCGTCCTTGAGTCCAGAGGCAGCGGCGGTGTGTAGGATGATGTTCTCGATCTCGGAGCGTGATAGGGGAGGGTCGATCCTCGCCCCATGCGCGCTTGCGAGGAAGCGGTCGATGTGAGTCCTGAGTCGATAGATTCGCCCCTTTGCCAGAGTGCAAGTGTCGAAGACGGCATGCCCTCTGTGGCAGAGGTGATCGTCCATGGGCACGGAGGCAAGGGCGGAGTTTGTGGTGATCGCGCCTGTAAGGGAGGAGTAGAATGCTTTGATCAGCTCTCCTTCCCGGCATGCGGAGAGTTTCGTCGAGATCCTCGACGACCATTCACTGATGTCGTTGACCATCGGGATGCTGTCCGCGGCTTCATTCCGCACCTTGGGAGGAGAGAACATGAGGAGGCGGAGGAAGTGTTGTCGGGAGTGTGCTGGGATGAAGGAGACCTTTCAAGGAGAAGCTGGAGACGCGAGGGAGATGCGAGTTGATGGAACCCCGCAGGGAGGGGGAAGGGGGAGCAGGGGGAGGAGGGAGGGGACGAGTCCGGGCCCGGCCCGCCCGGCAGGAACGAAAGCCGGCCCCCCACGGCCCGGCGTTCCGAAGTTCTGAAGTTCGAGCCTCCGTCACGGTCAGTACACAGTGAGTACTGATAGTACGGTAAAGACGGTGTAGCCCCACGGATAGAACATGTATTATGTACAACTTGGATCCGATGATGCTTCAAGCGACTCAGGCGATTGGTTGTCTACTCCCATCGCCGCAGTGGTTTCGACTTCTTCAGCATCATCGTCTCCTCCTTGCGGTTGACTCCTCTCCTGCTGGTCCTCTCGCTCCGCCAGCTGACGAGACAGCAGGTCACAAACCTGCTTGACTGCCCTTGAATGCTGCGGGGAGCAAGTGAGGGATAAGTTACAAGAGGAGGCAAGTAGGTCTCTTCAAGGAAGAGGGGAAAAGGAGGGAGAGGAAGGTACCTGCAGAGCTTCTTCCTTCTCCAGCTTCTCTACCTCCAGAGCCAGCTCCAGAGCCTGTCGCCCGTCATGTCACCGCAGAGGTTGAGGGAGCCCGTAGGAAGGGGAGGGGGGAGCAGACCTTTCTTCGCTTCACTGACTTCTTGAGCTTCTCCGTGATATCCATGTTGATCTGGATCAGCCTGATGCAGAGGTCTCTGGAATGAGAACTTCCTCCTCCCTCCCCGCAGCTGCTCCCCGCATCGCTCGCCGTCCCGTTCGCATCCTGCGGAGCCACATGATCTCCCTAGCTGCTCTGCAGCTGAGCTTCACCTTCTTGGGTGAGGAGAAGAGCGCAGCCAACCTGTCGCGCTTCCTCATGCCCTGCAGCCGCAGTTTGTCAAGTGGGAGCGGGGGGGGCGGGGGGGGGAGGCAGGTTGAAAGGAACCGACCTTATTCTTGGAGGCGTTGTTCGATTCCAACCCCATCACGAGCGAGTGCAACTCTTGCATGGAAATGGTCGTCGTGTCGTCGTTCTCGTCGTCATTCTGGGTGATCATGAATATCAAATGATGACTGAGAGGAGATGAAGGGGAGGAGGCAGCAGGGAGGGCGGGGAACTCTGAGCAAGAGGCAAAGGGTTGTAGAGCCAGTGCAGGCAAAGTGAAGAAGGTGAAGGAAGAAGCAGACCTCAGAGACGAGAGGAAGCTCTCTCAGCTGCGCTCGCAACCACGAGTGATACTCGTAGAATGGGATGCCTGCACAACACGAGGCTCAGGGGGAACAAGGGCGCGCAGGTGGAGTGAGTGCCTGCAGATTTTGACTTGAGCACCAGCGACTGGATCCCTTGATGGTCCAGCTGCTCCTTCCTGAGCTTTGGGTTGTCCATGATGATGGAGGCCAGGGTGAGGACGAAGAATCCTTCAAGGATCACCTCGGCGATCCTCATCCTCGTCCTGTTGCATTCAACGGCGTTGTAGGCGTTGCTGAAGATTGAGAGGACTTCGACTGCAAAGCATCTCACTGGAGGACACGATCAAGGTCTCTAGGGGCTCGCACCATCCAGGGGAGAGGGGATCCCGTCGGAGACATTATTGAGAAGCGACTGCAGCCCGTCCTGTTCCTTCTCTGCTTCATCCTCCTCCTCCTCGTTGGGATCCGTTTCAGCCCGTGTGGAGCTTCGGAGGGTATCCTGCTCCGATGGGTCTTGGTGCAACCTTTTCCTAGGGGCAGTGCGTCAAGACCAGCGACTGCAGTGGCGACAGGAGATGGATACATCAGCTTCAGGTTGAGCTCCTCCAGGAAACGGGAGATCTCGTCCTGCTCCTGCACATCCAGAAATTTCGTCAGCACGGCACACCACACGTGAAGCGGTCATGCCTTTCTTCTGAATTGCTCCTATGGTGCGAAGGTGATCAGAACCCAGAATCGTGACAAGAAGGAGTTACCTGTGCGAGCTCCTGTCGCAGATGCTCGTTGTCTTTCATGTAGATTTGACACAAGTTCTGTACACCCTCGAGCTGCCAAAGAGAGCAAGGGAACGAGACGATGCAGTTCAGCCACAAGACCATGGAGGGCACCAGAGTCTCACCTCCTTGCGAAGGTTCAGGTTCAAAGTGATGAAAGACGCCTCTTCCACTGCAGAACTCGAGCCCCCCGGCCCTCCCTCTGTCGACGTCGAGCTTGCTTGCTTCGCCGACATGTCCAACGAGGAGGGCACGAGCCCTTGACCTTGATCTTGCAGCTTCTGCTCATCGAAGGTCAACACCTTCTGAGCGTCGTCCAAGTTCAAAGATTCGCTCTCGCTCTCAGTCTCCTCGCAGAAAGACCTCTCCGACGCCGAGGCTTCGCCGACCCGCGCGGCAGCCTTGAGAGAGGCGATCTCATAGTTGAGGTCGTCGATCTTCTGCATGGCTGACTGCAGAGACTTCTTGCAGCTCTCTTCCTCCATGATCGCTCTGGGGGTGGTGCTCTGCGCACAAAAGTCTCACTCCTCTATGAATGTGTACAGGTCAAACATGCGCAGCGATCACCTCATGGCGGGGAGTCGATCCGGTCATGGACCGCTTCAGTCTCCGAGTCTCTGACTTCTCCTCTTCCAGCTCCGCCTGCACATCATTTCATTCCACTTGCGCCCGAAGCATGCTGGGTATCACCTGCAGCCTACTGATTTCTTGTTGGTATTGCTCGCAGTCTGCTTCAACGATAGATGCTCTATCCTTCCACTTGCCGCATTCTCGCTTCGCCTCTTGCAGTTCCTTCTCCTGCTGCGACATCTTGCTGACCTGCGCCTCCGCTGCAGACAGCTTCTCCCTCAGCTTCTGCGCATCCCCCGCCTGCTTCCCCAGGTGAAGGATCTCCTCCTCGTTGTGGGCGACTGTCGACTCCAGCTCGGAGCATCTGAACTCCAGCTGGAGGATCCTGGAGCTCTTGTCCGAGCATTCCTTGACGTATGTCTGCACCGTCTTGTCCATGTCTGCGATCAGAGCCTTTGCTGCTGCTGGGGACAATGGGCAAGACCACGACCCGGCCTCTCCCGCAAACTCCTGCCATTCCCGCAGCTCCCCCTTGCACTGCTCCAGCTCGAGCTGGGAGGCTTCAAGCTTCTCCAGGAGCGCTTGTTTCTCCCTCAGCAGCTGCCTCCCTAGCTCTGCGGCCACCTTGAGGTCAGCCCTCTTCGCATCGCTCCCGTCCAGGTTCATGTCTAGCTCGCCGCCATCAACCGCATCCTGGAAACTGTAGGAATCACTGAGCGCATCCTCGGCCTCTTCTTCAATCTCCGACGACATGCTCTACACGCATAGAAGGCTCTCAGCTTCCGCCATGCTCCTCTTCAAGCGGCGGTAAAGGCGAACATGAGACAGGAGATGGCTCCAACCTTACAGGAGGAGAAGACGGCAAGGAGAGGAGCGAGAGGAGGAGAGAGGAGGAGGGAGGAGGGAGAGAGGGGAGCGGGGGAGGGAGAGAGGGAGGGGGAGGGGGGAGGAGGAGCAAGGAGGCGGGAGATGACGAATAGATCCTACAGCAACCCCAACCAGCTCATCCTCAGCGTCGTGAAACCTAAATATGAAGGACAGCAATTCATGACTATACCCTTCATTAGTAAGCCTTGTGAAAGGCAGCAATGCGGCCGATCGAGAAAGCAGTTGTCCTACGAGCGCTATGAACAAATAAACAGAACAGACCTGGAGCAAGACGACAGAACAAGTAAAAGTACAGGTAGAGCAAGAGCAAGAGCAAGAGCAAGAGCAAGAGCAAGAGCAGGAGCAAGAGCAAGAGCAAGAGCAGGAGCAAGAGCAAGAGCAAGAGCAAGAGCAGGAGCAGGAGCAGGAGCAAGAGCAAGAGCAGGAGCAGGAGCAAGAGCAAGAGCAAGAGCAGGAGCAGGAGCAGGAGCAGGAGCAAGAGCAAACGACAGTATCCATGGAAAATATTTCTAAGGAAAACAACTCGTGCTGATATCGCATGTCGATACGCTGTGGTGTAGCATGCCTCTCTGGACATGGAAGCATGCAAGTCGTAATCCGTCAATCGTGGCAATGAGATAGTCTGCATTGTGTTGTATTGTTCTTGATGACATTCATGCACTTTTAACTTCTACATGAGGGGAGGGGAAACGAGGGCAAAGGGAAGAGGAAGAAGGATGAGTGAAAGAGAAGTGATAGGATCGAAAAGAAGAGAAGACGGTGAAGGGGAGGAGGGAGGAATGAATCAGTCAAACCAGGTCCTGCCTTCTCTCAGATTCCCGTCAGCCTGGAGTTCTTCCTGCTCAGAAGGAAGCGATTGGCGCGATGAGTCCCGTGCGTCGTCCCAAGTCCTGCTCAACAGGGAGGAGGCAGTGTGAGCTCCTCCGCCCTCCCGAACGCAGCAGAGGAGCGTCACCTTGGTCGGTCGTGCTATGCCACATCATGTTCTTGATCCCCAGCACAGGCACCTGAAGGAAGTCTTGACCTCCAGGACAGCGCAGGACAAGGTTTGCCCACCCCCTGCCGGTGACCCTCTTCAACGTCACCCGTTGGCGGACGGAACATCGTCCTCAGGCTCTTCCCCGGCTCGAGCTTCGCTATCCCGCTGCTGTCGTCCGATATCAGCTGGAAAAGGTCTCAGCTCAGCACTTCCATGACAGGTTCGAGCACCAAGTCATCCCCCCGCGTCAGTCCGTTGTGGAAGAAGATATACTTCTGTCGAGCTTCAGCTCGGGTCAGCTAGGATGGTACCATCCTCAAACCAAGCACCTGAAGTTTCGGCAAGCACGCGCTTGAGCTCTTCTTCAGCTTTCCGCCTCAGCTCGCTCTCCTGCCCTCTCCTTGGTCATGGCACTACCGCACAACAGGAGCCCTCACGATCTCAACAGCTTTCTCCAGCTCCTGCAGCCTCTGAGCTGTGCGCGTCCTCGAGGAGATGGACGAGCTGTGAAAGATGAGAACCCCGAGTCGCCCTCCAGCAGATCCTCACATGGACTCCGGCGTGACTGGCAACCTCTGAGCTTCAGAACCTGACAAGGGACTTCAAAGGAGACATCGCACTGCATCCGTCTTCCAACCTTGCGATGCCATGCTCCCCCACTCGGCTGCACAGAAGCTGTGAGCACGGACACACGGAAGACTCAAAGCATATCAGCACCTTGTTTCAACTTCTCCCGTGCGTATGATTCAAATGGATGATATTCCCCGGATCCTGAGAGACGAGTCAAGACGGTTCAGATTCCAAGGGTTCTAGTTGCATACTTATTGCAATCTGCAATGAAGAAGGAGTCTGGTTCTTGGGGTTTGGGTTGTTTGATCGCCTTGAGGTAGAAATTCTGCCCAGATCTTCCTGCTGGGTCTCTTGGAGCCTTCCTCGATGGGTTCTGCTCCCACTGAAACGGACCTGGACCGCCCGATTCACAGTCTCTCTCTTTGTATCAGCACGCGACGTCACGGGCAAGTCATCCTTCTGGTGGGCTTCCGATAGAGAGCGCATATCGAGCTTGGGGGCCTTCTGCCCATCCAACATGTTGTGAAAAGCGTGCCAGTGGCGGGTCCTGAACTGCCTGGGCTGACTGCCCTGGTACTCTGTCGTCAATATCTCGCTACTCCAGGGCTCCTCTCCCTCCTGGGAGCTCTTCCTTGAGGTGAGGATGCTCTTCACCAGCGCCGCCTCCTCCTTCATGATGCGCTGGTTCCAGTTCAGCAGTTCCGCTAGCGTCGTGGTCGGCATGGCCCAACGGTTTGACCGGTCAAGGGAAGAAAAAACAAACAAAACATAAGTTTTACACGACCCAAAAAAAAGGTCTGAAAAAGGGTCCACCCCGTGACGTCATTACCCCCACCCCTGAAACTGGACTACCATAAATCCACATGCTCTTCTATCCCATTATCCCTGGATATTTCTATAGTGAGGATATATAGAATTCACGCTATCTATGACACATTGCTCATTAATCGAAACATTAGACCACTACCCCCTAACTTTTGATCACCCTACCCATCATCGGCTCCCCGTTTTTGACATGCATCAGGAAGCGAAGTTCAGCAAACGCTGAACTTGGGGAGGGAAGGGGGGAGGGGTGGGGAAGCGAGGAGGAGAGGAGCGAGGAGGAGAGGAGCGAAGAGGAGAGGAGAGGATCGAAGAGGAGCTGAGGGTTAAGGGAGGAGAGAGGGTCAGGAAAGAACTGAGTGATAGAGGAAGAGCAACGGAGGAGGAGCTGAAAGAGGAACAGAGACATGTTCTCAAATTAACGCTGAAAAGAGACATCCAGGGAAGAACGGTCATGCAGCACGGTTGGGGAGAGATACGAGATTAAGTACAAGGAGGGCTAACTACGAGCTGCAGAGTGGAAGCAGCAGCGTCTGCAGATAGCACAGCATAACATCGAAGGGACAGGAAAAGGCAAAGCAGAAGGGAGGGAGTGAGACAGAGACTAGAAAGGGAACGGGTGCGCTTGTAAGTGGGAGATGCATGACAATGCAAGGAAGGGAGAAAGGGTGTAAACAGGCTGTGCCGTTGATAACAAGTTCACTCCAGGGAATGCCACAAGACGAACAGGGCTACCACCTGCGCATGAAAGGTTCGAAGAGGCTGGCGAGATCAGAGACACAATCAAACGGGTCGGGCAAGCACAAGGACTGGGATCCTCTCCAGGCGATCCAGGACGCTTCTTGGCCATGGGGGAACGCCAAGAGGGAAGGTGGAGAGCATGAGAACGAGGCCTCGCACAAGTCCGAGGACCTGGAAACCTCTTCCCGTGCAGGGTCTAACACGCACAGCATCGTACCCTCAGTGAGAGGCCATCAGGAGAACCCGAGGCCCGTTTCGGGACAGCAATCAGACGAAGACGTGGTGCGCGGAGAGTACTTGCAGAGCCAGTGAGCGGGAGGAGGGGGGAAGTGATGCAACAGAATCGATGACATGCTTGTTCAGGCACCTGGCCAAGTTTGTTGGGTTTCCGTACGAGGACACTGTGCCAGGGGAGAAGATTGAGACAACCACATTCCAGTTATGCAACGAGCCCTGGGCCCTCTGGGTGCGCACAAGAGGAAGACGCTGTGGATTTGAGTCTGATGCAACTTGTCAGATCTGTCCGAGTGGGATGACGGAGAGCGAGAGCGAGTATGTGAGCGTGTTCCTAGCCTACAAGGGGAGTGGATCTGTGCGAGCCTGGTTCTCCTTCGTCCTCCTGGACACTGAAGGTCGTCCTGGCTGCTGGGGAGTTGAGGGGCTGATGTTGGCTGTTAGGCCGTTCGACTGTCATCTTCCAAGACAACGAGTTGGAGGGCAGCGTGTTTGAGGGCTACGACGATCATTGGGGGAAGCAGAAGTGTATTTTGAGAGAGTGAGAAGCGAGCTGGGAGATCGAACCCGAAGCCTGAGTCTGCTGGGTAGGGAGCTGGAGGAAGTGGCGCCCGAGGGCGAGTTTGCGATCCAAGTCAACCTGCGCCTGTTTGAGTGAGGAGGATGCGGGGGAGAATTCGTTGCTGAGCCTGAAGCAGATCTGATAGAGCGAGCGCGAGGAACGTCAGCGTGATGGAAGAGGAAGAGGTGAGGTCGGTCTTCAGCGAGGCGACCTTCTCGCACAAGAGCAGCGTGAAACATGTCACGATCCCAGCGACGACGCTCACGTACGACCTCGAGGTATCCTAGGAGGAGAGAGTCAACCGTTCTCACTGCCTGCAGATGCTCCTGCACAGCGGGATGGGAAGTGACGTCACCTTCGTGGTTGGGACGGAGTGCGAACACATTGCCGCGCACAAGGCGATCTTGATCGCGAGGTCAAGCAGCCAGAAATCCTCCGGTTTCAGCAGCAGCTGGCTAACATGAGAGGCAGGTGCCCCGTGCCGATTCTGACCGACGAGACGATGCATCTGCGAGAGATAAACGTGCCAGGTGCGGCAGATCTTGTGGGGGATGGTGGGGGGAGGTGACTGAATGTTTGCTGTTAGACTTCCGTCCGGATTACTTTCGGGTTTTGCTGCATTTCATCTACACGGACAAGGTCGGTCACTCGAAAGCCTCGCTACCACCCTGATGCAAGGATCAGATCGAAGAAGGAATGCTTGACAACATGGCCGATGAGCTGCTGTCCGCGGCGCAAAGATTCGGCCTGACAAGGTGAAGCTGTGATGACGATGACGATGACGATTTGTGATGCCATTCCTGCAGGCTGAAAGCTCTTTGTGAAGATCAGCTCACAAGAAGTGACTTGAGCGCTGCCTCTCTCCGCGGGACTAACTGACGTTCATCAGGCCTGACTGTAGAAAACGCTTGCGACATACTCGCCATCGCCATCGACGACGAGGCTGATCAGCTCAAGGCGCGTCCTCCCCTCCTTTCCTTCCCTCTGACGCATATCTGCGCAGGAGACGTCTTGCAGCTTCATCTGCAGATACTCCAAGGAAGTGTGTAGGACGGAGGGATTTCACCGGCTGACCATCACGTAGCAAGAGAGGCGTCGAGGTATCGAGGAGCTGACAGGCCTGTCAGGCACCCGGAAGTGATTAGCCAACTCTTTGAGAGAGTCTCCTCCATCTCCGGTCTCTACTCTGCTCCCTCCCCTCTCACGCTCAACCCTGCACGCAGAGAGGAAGCTGCGGGACAAGTCCTTCACTCCCTGGAACATGCTGGGCGGATCGAAAGGGGAGGGCAAGAGACGGAAGGAGAAGAAACCCGACGAGTAGGACGAGGAGGAGGCTCCTGCCGTCGCTGACCTGACGCCTCAGGTTCACCAAATGGATGGAATCGACAGGCAAGTGGGTCGGGAGCTTCAAGTTCGACGGAGGGGACAAGAAGCCGAAGAAGCCGCATCGAGGGAGCAAGCGGAAGGAGCGACGAAACGATGACACGGCCAGTCAGATTTCTCAGGTGCTCTCCCCCTCCCCACCTCGCGCCTCCCTCACTTCACGGACAGAGTGACCACGCCTCCATCCAAGGCTCCGATAGCGCGAGCGTGGCAGACGACTCCAACAGGACGACGACGTACCAACAGGTTCTCGTCTGACGCTGCTCTAACCCTCTCACGTCCTCCCTCGCAGTCCATGGACTTGGGGCAAGGAGCATACCATCTGTTGTGACATCGGGGAGCTCGAGCGAGGAGACGTAGAGAGGACTAGACCTTTTTTCAACTAAACTTGACATCATCTCCTTGCTCTTACATCCAGCTCGAGGCTGGTCACAACGTCCTGCACTTGATCCAGCTTCACCTTCATCTTCTCTATCCCAGCGCTCATGGTCGTCAGAGCAAACATTTCATCGTCGCTTTCTATCCATCGGAACCTCTTCAAGTAATTCCTGACAAATGACATCAAGATGCGCGTCGGGTGCGAGAAAGTCGATTCAACCTCAAGTCTCTACTTCTTCTCATCTCTCCCTGCAGCTGAAAGCCTTGCACTGCACGACGATCTGTGTACATGCCATCAGCAGGAGTTTGAAGAATTCTTGCTGATGTACCAGATTCTTTCTTGATACGTTGACCCACTTTGTCGCGGAGACGAGCGTACATTGGAGACGCAACATAGAACATCTCAATGCATCGAACGGCCTGCAGTCTTTGCAACAATTTCATTCTGTTTTCGTGGTGGGCACGTTCAACCCTGTCCAAAGAATCAGCGGAAAACAACAACAACTGCAACGGCAACGGCAACAGCAACGGCAACAGCAACAGCAACAGCAACAGCAACAGCAACAGCAACCACCACCACCACCACCACCACCACCAACAACAACACCAACAACACCAACAGCCATTCTTCGCACCTCAGAAGAGCGTCATCCACATCCACCAAGCAGACAAGAAAGTTGAAGGTTATGCAAAGTAAGACGATGGACATGAAACATGAGAACATGAGAATTGATCCTGTAAAATTAGAGATGTCAGGGAAGCAACAAGTCGAACACGAACGACAATCGGGGTTTCACCTCCAAGACGAGTTACGGGAAGTTGAGGCGCAACACCAGCCTTGGTGAACACCCCGAGAATGTACACGAGAGAGTTGAAGAAGTCGGAGAAGTACGAGCCTGACATTGCAACTATCATGGCACGTCGGAGATTGAGGCATCGAGACCGTAAGGTTTCTCCGCAGCATGGAGCAGGTACGAGCATGCAAACAAACAAGTCTGCAAGAGACCATCAAGGTCCCCAACGCAAGGTACAAGAGACGCGCACCATCCACAAGCTCAGCAGCCACCTTGGATCCTTCCTGAAGCGAGAGATCAGCACAATCCTGTACTTTCTGAGTCCGCAGTTGGTGCGTGAGAACTTTCTGGCGTCGGACTGCAGAGCGAGTGACTGGCGGAGAGCAACTGTCAAGGTCTCGTACATTCAAGGGGTCGTTCAGTATGCAGCATCGAAGCAGAAAGAGTGTTCGGAGGACGAGGATGACGAGAATCTGATAGCAGGCGTCAAGAGCGGCAACATGGGGGGAACAGAGATCACCAGCCAGGCCTCCGAGTTGCTCTCGTGGTCTCCTGTAGACCACAAGGGCAAGGGGCAAGGGACGAGGCACAGCAAGGACAAGATCTCAACATTCAGCTCCTCTATCCACAACAGGCTCGCAAGCTCGTTGTTTTTGTGCGGGATCGCAACCCCGGCGTTGCGGGCCATGATGACTCGCCATTGGCCGTACTTTCTGAATGAGAGCACAGCGAGGATGGTGAAAGTGAAGGCGATGGTTCTGAACAGCCCTCGATGAAGAGATGTCTCAACCTGCGGACAGGCTCAGCAGAGTCATCAGAAGGCTTCTGCTCACTGTCAGCATCGCCGCCACCAGCCCCACCACCACGAGGGCGGCAGTCAGGTTCAACCACCAGAGGCAGTTTGATTCTAGCGTAGGCGCTCGAGATGGTCTTGCTTTCGCCTCCTCTTGAAGACTTCCTCCTCTCTCTCTCTCCACAAAATCATCTCCGCGAATAATCTTTCTCTTCCCTGGTCTCAAGTCAATGCATCACCATCGTCGGCCTACTTATGCACCTGGTGGACCCTTGAACGACATGGTCGGCATGCAGTACAAGTTGACGGCTGCGTCAGGATCACCAGGTCTCGTTCCCTTGGGAGTCACGTGATACCAGCCCTCGCCCTGCTCTCTCCTCCTGAACAAACTATGGGACTCCCCTGCCTTCCTCCCCTCGCTCATCGCATTCCTTCTAGCAAACCTTGTATCTCAGCCAAGGAGAGGAGAGAGGCAGATTCTGTAAGCTTGCGCGAGGCTTGTGCTGATCAGCTCCTTCACTTGCTCCTGCCTCCTCCCTGCTCCTCCTGCCACCTGTCGACCAACAACGCCATGGCAGCCGAAAATAGACGAGGACCTACTCCTAACTAAAGGTTTAGTGGAGGACAGCAGGACTGAATTAGAGCAGATCTCATACAGGAGAAGGGCAGAAACTACCGGCCCGGGCCCGGCCCGCCGCGCTCAGCAACACGGCCGGGCTGCAAGAGACACTAGTGCTGACTCCGAGGCTCCCTTTTGACCTCTCCTCTTCTTCTCTCCCCTCAGTGTCTCGTTTCCTTACTTTCTGCTTCCTCTTCGTACGACAAACTTTCGGGAAAATAGGTGTAGTAACACATGTCAGGAAGATACTGGCCGCCGAGAGGCGGGCAGAAGTGACGGCAAGGATCGAAGCCTACGACGGGATCGAGCTCTCCTGCTACTGACATCGGTCTCACCAGACAGCTCATGCTCGTTCTCCCCTTGGTCGAGCTGCCCCTGGCTGACTGGAGTGAGTGGATGCTGATCTTGAAGCTCATCGTCTCCTCTCGGACTCAGAGGGTCCGGGAGGGCTTTCAGGCGAGACTTTGGCAAGGGGCTCTTTTCCCTACTGGACTCTCTCACGCTGTCGTCTGTGTCACCCTCCACCAGCAGCACGTTGGGATCCGGGAGAGCCTTCCATGTCAACTCACGGCGTCTCCGCACGTGCGACAAGTTTCCTGGTTTTGAATCTGCTCGTCCGTTGGTCTCGGTAGGTGAGATCACCATCTGATGTCTAGGAGACTCGATTTCCTCGACGCCTCCTCCAGCTGACTGCCCAGCATCTGACAACAGGTCCGGCAAAGGCTTCAATCTTGCGCGTCTCATGGATACTCTACGACGACTATGGTCAGCAGCATGCCTCACGACGATGGTGCGCAAGGCTGTAGGGTGCGGAGGGAGGGACCATCCTCTCTCATGTCTGATCCAAGACCCTCCCATGGGGTCAGCATGTCTCCCAAGCTCAAAGACGCAGCTCCCGTACTCTAACCAATAGATGACAGGGCTTGTCAGCGACGGCCGCTCGTGTACTGAGACTCCCATTGGAGTGACTTTATCGACGGTGACTGTCTCCAGTTCCTGTCCAGCTGTGATGTCCTTCGGGCGTGTCCTCCCGGATTCTTCCTCACTCTCCCCATTGTCAAGTGGAATAATCTTCACACTCTTCCACTCGGCCCTTTTGTTATAAACGCTCTTGAACGAGAACACCAGGACGAAACTTGCTAGCAACGAACTTGCAGCAACGATGCCAAGCACGAGTTGGTTGGGCCCTTGTGGTGGAGGAGTGGTAGTCAGCACCAATGCCCCCGCCTCCACCATCACCAGCTGTGATGCGGGAGGCAGGCCATTCTTGATCAGCTCAGCATTGAGAGCCCCCAGCTGAACATCTGATACAAGTCTGCTCATCTCGGTCTTGGGAACGGTGATACTGGTAAGAACACTGACACCCTGCGCGAGCAGAGAGCGGTCCCCGCTCCGCCGCAGGCTGACTGACTTGACTTCAACGATCTCGACCATGTCAACAGAGACTCGAGCTGCAGCCGCGACTGATTGCAGGTATGAGCCCTGCACCTTTGAAAACTCCTCGACGGTCAATGGCAGTATGACTGAGATTACCACCTTGGCTGTCTCAGGAGGGCTGGGAGCTGGTTGCGCGACTTGAACCGGCGAGGTACTGATCACCTGAATTTCTGCTGCGAGTTCCCGAGATGTTGAGAACGAGGTAATGCTAGAAGACCATTCCAGCAACAACGTCGGCGTCTGCTCGGGATTCACAAAAGCAGAGGACAACTGATGAGCATCCGAGATGTTCGTTGAAGTGCTAAGATAGTCTTGCAGCACAGTGGCAGTGCTTTTCATCCCAACTTCAGTCGCACTGGTGGAGGAGCTGCTGTCATGCTGATGTCTTGAGGTGGTTGAGATCGTGCCCGAAGCTCTCTGTGCAGTTGTTGAGCTGTATGCAGGAGCAGGAAGGGGACTAGTGGTAGTCTCAGGTACGCTGCTGCTGCTGCTGCTGCTGAAGGCCTGCTCTGCTGTCTCTGAGGTGGTCTCAAGGGCATTTCCCAGCATGCTGGTACTACTGCTGCTGCTGAATAATGCTTGCTCTGGTTCCTGAGGAGTTGTCTCAATCAAGTTTTCAAGCATGCTGCTGCTGTTGCTGCTGCTGCTGAAGGCCTGCTCTGCCGGCTCTGAGGTGGTCTCAAGGGCACTTTCAAGCATGCTGCTGCTGCTGCTGCTGCTGCTGCTGAAGTATGCCTGCCCTGGTGGCTGAGGAGTCTCAACAGCCTGAAAGTCCGTGCTGCTGCTCCTCAATTGCATCCCTTCAACAACCATACCCATGTTCGTTCGCATGGTAATTGAAAGCAAAACCCACAAGGTCAAAGAAAGATGTATCGATATTTCTGCCCTGCATGGATAGTTTTTCATTCCTCACCAGGCTCTTGAAGGGCTCCAATGAACTGATCTGAACCAAGACAGCGAGTCTGCTACTACCTCAATAACTGGCGGCCGGTCAAGATCGGACGAGGCGAAGGACAGGAGGAAGCTCATGGCGGGAAGCCTTGCAGGCCTCTGACTTCAGAGGACACAAGGAAGTGAAGGCAGGTTGTTGTCTCTGCGTGGGAACAGCGGCAAGAGGAGACTGCCCTTCAACAGGACTGCCATTGCCCAACTCGGCGGCTGGTCCAAGGGGCCACACGTCCTCAGGAAGAGAGTACCCCCATTTTCCCTGAGATTCTCAGTGCATTCGTGGGTAGGGGTACCGCTACAAAAATGACCACGAAACGGACGGCGGGTGAAAAGCTATGAAAATGCCGGCAGTGTGCGGGGCCAACGAGTCCGGCGGAGTCCGAACAGCCGGGCCCGGTGGCATTCACTGAGACTTTCTCTGACTGGGGTGTGGCCAGCAGAATGGCGATCACAGGGAGGAGGAGGTTGACCAAGGAAGAGCTGGGGATACGAGAGGACGAGGAGCAGGAGATCTTCGAAAGCCCTGGAAATGTTCTCGACGAGGATGGAGGAGAGGATGAGCGGGAGCGGGAGATGGAGATCTCTCTCATGGAGAAAGAGCTGGAAGTTGGGAGGCAAGCAACATGCACCAACTTTGCTGCTCCCCTCCTCGCTGACTGCCCTCCTGCAGGAAGGGGGAGCGTGAGAGGAAACCGTCCAATCCGCCAGGGATAGATCGAGGACCGCTAGAGCCGGCGAAGGCGAGGAGCCTCTTTCAGGTGGGATGGACTACTTCCTAGCATGTTGCCCTTGCTGACTCGACGAGCAGAAGAAGGAGGTGACGGCTCTGACCGCTGAGAAGAATTTCTCAAGCTCAGGTCAAATGTGGAAGAGAGGAGATTATCGGGTCTTGGGGTGTGAGGAAAGGAGGTTCGAGACTCCTGTGGACCGATACAGTAGATTGGTGAGCCTCTCAGCTTCAACGACGAATTGCTCATCAACTCCCCATAGATGGCCGAGGTCCAGGATCTAGAGAGAGATCTGTTGCAAGCAGAGCATGAGTGCGAACAAGAAGGGCAGGACGTGAACTTATTGTTTCCATCGCAACTGAAGCAAGAGGCAGCCAGTAGCCCCCTTCCATGCTGCCGCTGACGGCTGTGGGCGGCAGGTGGCAGGTTTGGTGGAGCGGCTGAAAACTCTTGATTCAAGAACAAACAGCATTCCAGTGAGAGACAAGTCTGCGCCAAAGAGTGTCTTGGACGTCGTCGAGAACTTGAAGGTGCACATAGCCCTTGTGCCTTCCTGCCCCAGCTCCACTGGTGAATCCCCATGGCAGAAATCGGACGTGGCGACCAAAACCGCAGAGCAGAACAAGGAGGAAGCGACTGACGTAGCACACAAACGGGATGTTATCAGCTTCCTGTCTCTGGACTCGCGCATCTCGCAGCTTGAAAGGTCTTTCTGCTCGTTTCTGCGCTGGTCGAGAGTTCAACTCTCGCGCAGGACCCTGGGAGACGGCGACATGGCAGGCGTGTACCCTGACATCAGTTGCGCTCTTGACAACTTGGAGAAGAGACTTGCTCTGGTTCGCTATGTGCCTCTTTCCTTCGGATCGTCATGGCCATGCAGGTGGAGCCTGGAACCCTCGAGGCGGTCGCGAAGCAAGTGAATGCGCTCGAGCAGCGGTTGCAGAAAGTGGGGAGGAGTAGCCAGAAGCCCAGCAAGCCATCATCGCAGGGTGCAGAGGCTGATTCCGAGTACAGTCAGCTAGCAGGACTCGCTGAGACTGTCGAGCGGTGGGACAGTGTGGCCATGACGTTGCCTACCCTGATACAGCGACTGCGATCCTTGGGGGTGAGTGACTTGTGGAGGACACAAGGGTGGGAACTGAATGAATGCCTGATTGTTCGTCTCTCAGAGTCTGCACGACGAGGCCAGCAGGATAGTGTCTGACGTGGCATCTCTCAGGAACTTGAGCTCAAGGTCGCTCAGCATGTGACGGGCCCGCTCCGATGTTGACGTTGTGCCAGGACGTCGAGCCTGCTCGAAGCACAGGAGTCTGCGATGGAGAAAGTCACGGCGTCGCTCGAGTGAGGATGAGGCTCAAATCCGAGATAACGACTGAGAGATCGGCAGGTCCAACATGCAGGTGATGGCGAGCAACCTTGCCAACCTGGAGGGGCGACTGGCTAAGCTAGAGCAAGGGAAGTAGATTGGCGATAATGAAGGAGCGAAGAAAAGGATGAGACATGGCTGAAGGCCGTCACAAGTGCTCTCACAGACGTTCATGTTCACTACCAGTACACTCCTCGCACGGAAAGATCACTTTCTTTGGGGAGGTTGAGAGGCATCTAGTCACAACGCTCAGATTTGAACACGAAGAGCAAGGAGTCAAACCACTCTCAGACTTGCTCGCTTCATAGGGAGCAGCAGCTTCCACCATCCCTTCCTCGGGCCGAAGGCGACCTGGAGGTTCTCCGAAACTGGAGCCTTTCGCCAGATCTCCCGCACAACGCTGATGGTGGGGCGTGAAAAGAGGCCGAACACGGGAATGCAGGCACCTGGTGAAGCCGATCTTGTACTTGTACATGTCGATCATGAGAGCTTCGCGCATGGTGAGGTTGCAGGCAAGGAGGAAGAAGACCTGTAGGAAGTCAGCCACAAGTTGGAGCCTCCCATGCTGAACTTACGATGAAGGTGAAGGCGGAAATCACCATCGCCACGAAGACGACGGCGACGGATACCGCAGACAGTGCGAAACATTTCTGATTGGCTGCGGGGCGAAGTTGAGAACGAGTCTCCTTGCTCATGGGAGGACCTTCGGAGGACAACTTGACGGTCTCAGAGAGCTGACATGCAACTTTGACAACCTTGAGTCATGCGCCTCAGAGTCGAGCTGCTAACCTGAGGCAGGAATGACGAGCAGGCTGCCGTAGATCATGGAGAGAGACATCTGCAACTGTCCACGAAGTTCACCTCCCCTCTCCTCCCGCTATCTCCCCGCTATCGCTCTCACCATCATCGCAAAGAAGTAAATTTGATTGTGCGCCCCAACGCAAACACCGAGGAAAGGACAGTGGTGGTCGCATCGGACCTGCCCGATGCAGGGATGGGATCAGACCCATGATTGAATTGAGAGCGAACAGGAACGAAGAGGAGGGATAGCAGAGAGGGGCAGCACGGAGACATTGAATCGCAAAGGTTGAGGTGAAGCTGAACAGCAGAGCAGAGCTGGGGGATGGAGTGAAGGCAACTACTGCCGTTCGCACCACATAGCTCGCACAGACGGAGCAGAAGTGCCCTCGAGCAAGGTCCCCGTCGGTTCCCAGTGGCCCCTGAGAAGGACGGACATCAGCTGGAGAATCAAGGAATTGAAACGCTCGCCTTTTTCTTCTTCTCAACCTGCTCGAGATCCCCTGCTTCCAACTGGAGCGAGTCAGACCGGAAGTGAGCTGAGGTGGGTACCGTGTAGCTCCAATGCTCGTCGTCCACTCGATCCTCCGAGGACACCCTGCTCATCTCATCTCTCATCCTGCCTCTCCCACATCACAGGATGCTACCTCTCGCTGCCCTCGTCGTGGCAGGCGGACGGCTTCGTACCAAAGATGCACATGTACCTGCACCTTGCTGAGGGGAGGACGGGGGGAAGTTGGCGGACCAGTTGAAGTAGAAGCAAACATGGAAGTAAAGAGACGGGCAGAAGTGAATGAGGAACCAAGAAGTGCTGTGTCTGCATGGCGGGAGGTGCTTGATCAGGACCTCTGCACCATTGCACAGCAGCGGGACGATGAGGTAATGATGTATGATCGTGCAGCCCTCTGCGAAGCCTCACGATAGGAAGAGAGCTTGTCATATCACATACCAACGCATCCCAGTGAGAAGCACACGAAGATCATCTCTATGAAATGGACAATCGACAGCTTCCTCCCCCTCCTGCAAGGAAAGATGGTCACAGTCGCTCAAACCCCTCCCCCTCCCCCCTCCCCCCATCATCCTACGCACAATTGGAATAGAGGCCTCCTCGCCGCCTTCATGAACTTGGCGATGTACCTGGGCATGTTCGAGTGACGCTCTCCCTCAACATGTCTGAGATCACCGTCCCAAGGTCAAGCTTGCGATGATGTATCCCCCGAAGAAGAAGCTCCCCCAGAACACGTAGCGGTGGACCGAGCTATGGATGTGCGAAGTCGGCAAGGCGCCACCTGACGAGTGATGATTGGCAGCCTGCTGCTGCCTCGTCACGTTCGACATGTGCAGTTTCACGTCTGCTCCAAGTTTGAGCGTGGAGGGATGGAGAGAGGTCAAGGTACTGATCGTGTCGTTGGCCCGAGACCGTGTCTGTGCAAATGGAACAAGCGTCACCGGGACCGGGGAAGGAAGCATCAAGTCTGACTGTCACCTCTGGCTCGTCTCGGATCTCGAAGACGTCCATCCGGATGCTTTTCTTGGGCTTGCTCGGCATGCTGACATACTTCACCACCAGGAACAGACCAGCGAAGCAGGCGACGTAGAGGAGAGAGTCGCATAGAAACCTGCTAGAGAGCATCAAGGATGAGCAGCGTGATGGTCGTAGAACCTGACGGTGGGGGGGATCGTTCCTGCGCTCCTTCTCTTCCTCTTCCCCCCCAGCATGGCGCTACCTCAACAGGAGGGTCATAATGGCTATGACGGCCTGCATATGGCCAGCATCGGGCGCAGAAAATCTGGAAGTTGAAAGTTTGCAAAGTTTCTGAAAAATCCGAAAGTTTGAAAGTTTCTCGGCCTCCATGTCGGCTACGGTCAAGCGTGAGGTAAGATCCTGCTGCTGCTGCTGACGATGGTGGTGGTGGTAGTGAGGAGGAGGAGGAGGAGGAGGAAGGAGGAAGAGAAGAAGAAGGAGAAGAAGAAGGAGAAGAAGAAGAGCAAGAAGAGAAGGAGAGAAGGAGAGGAGGAGGAGGAGACGGTCATGGTGATCAAGGAAGAGAGAAAGAAACAGAAGGAGACGAAGGGGCGCGCTGTTGGAAACCCGTTCTTTGACAGGCATGATCTGCAGGAGCTTGAGAAACTCGTCTACCAGGCAGTATGCAACCTCGGCTACTCTCCGAGCGATGCCGAGATCATGACGAGGTGGGTCGGAGGGGTCATAGACCACTGCTGCCTGATGCTCTCCTCTGCTACCTCCCAGGGTCATGATGTTTGCGGAGATCCACAACAACAACCAGGGAATCTCAAAGCTCTACCGGCCGCAAGACATGGGCTTCAACCCCCAGGTCCTCCACCCTCACTGATGTGAAGGTCACGAGTCAGTATCCGCCCTCAGGCCGGCCCGCTCATTTTTGAGAACGAGACTCCCCAGAGTGTCGGTGATGATCCTCTCTTCGCTCTTGTGAGGTATCCATCGCTCACGCGCCGTCTGTCACAGTTGTGAACGGAAACAAGCGCTCGGGAATGGTTGCACTCGAGACGGTGAAGTTGTTCGTGCCCGAGGACCCTGGGGGAGATGCGGTTGGTGCAGGCAGTGGAGAAGGCGCTGCAGAAGGCAAAGGCAACAGGGTTTGCGATCTGCGGTACTCACAACACCTACACGTCCACTGGCATGCTGGCCTACTACACGTCGAAGATCGCCAATGAAGTGAGGAATCCTTTAGTTTGCTATAGTCCATGCAGACTGACGTTTCCTCCTTGCTTCTCTCCTCGATTTCCTCCCCCCCTCTTTCATCCTTGTCTCCTCGCTCTTCCTCCCCTCATCATCTCCTCGCTCTTCCTCCCCTCATCATCTCCTCGCTCTTCTCCCCTCATCATCTCCTCGCTGTTCCCTGGGTCTTCCCTCACTCTGCTCAGGATCTGATCGCAATCGTGATGGCTGGCAGCCCCGAGATGGTGGCGCCGGTCGGAGGCAAGCAGGCTGTCTTTGGGACAAACGCCATGTGAGAAGCGGTGGAATGGGCGCTGAATGGCTGACCGTTACGAGCAAGTTGCTTTGGGATCCCTGGTCCAGAAGACGGCCCTCTCATATTGGATATGGCGACGGCCGCTACTACGGTAGAGGCCTGCGGGACTGAGGCGGGAGGCTGAGAAGCTGGCAGTTGTTTGGTACTGTCAGCGCTAAGGCCGCTTCCCAGCTCCTCCCTCCTGGGGTCTCAACCGCCTTGTTGAAGTCAGACTCTTCTCACCTTCCTGCCCACCAGGTTGCCGTCGACAGGGACGGGAAGCCGACCAGAGATCCCGACGAAGCGCTCAAAGGAGCCTTCCTCGCCTTCGGAGGCTACAAGGTTTGGGATCCCCTCGTTTGAGCGCGGGGATTGAAGGTCTCGGCAGGGGGCAGGGCTCAGCCTCGTGGTGGAGCTTCTGACGCAGGTGACACAAGCAGCAGCAAGTCAGCTGTCAAGGCTCCTGACATGCGACCTGTCAGGCTCTGTGCTGGGGAGCGATTCCCGGAGGGACTGAGGAGGCACATGTAGGCACAGGAAGGAAGGTAAACCCCTCCTGCTGTCGCTCCCTGCTTTTCAGTGCATGTTCGCAGTGGCGAGAGAAGAACTGGGCAAACTTGGTGATTGCCCTCGACCCTAAGCTGCTGATGCCCACACAGCTCTACAAGCAACGAGTAGCAGAAGTGATGAGGGGAAGGCTGATGTGCTTTGAGGGGCTGACTCGAAACGCGTGACAGATCTGTGCTCATGTGAAGAAGAGTGGACCCACTGTTGTGCTCCCGGGAGAGATCGAGAAGCGGAATCGAGACAAGAACCTCAAGGCAGGGACGCTGACGATCTCATCGGGTATCTTGCAACAAGTGAATTCACCGAGTTACCCTGACACGACCCATAAGGTCTTTACGAGAACATTCAGAAGTTGGCAACCAAGAGATCAAAGATGTAATGCAAGAGGGGGGACGAGAGAGTGGGGCTTTTCTTCGCTTTTACTTAGATTTTATCCGTTAAAGTTGCTTCTGTTCTCGAACATGTCTTTTACCCGATCTCTCCCCAACAGAATGCTGCCGATCCCTTGAGCAAGCTGATTGGCTGAATCCTCTCCTACGATCGTTCGACCAGCAGCTGCGGCAAAGGAAAGAACTCCTGATACTGCGCTGACAGCCTTCGGGCTGACCACTTTCGTGATGAGGTCGTCTGAATCCGAGGATGAATCTGATGCCATATCATTGCACGTTTTGCGCAACCTCCACTCCATGAGCACTTTCTTGATCAAGTTGTAATTCGTTGCAAGCCACAGGTAGGCAGTCAGGTGCATTAACTCCTTTGCATCTTTGACAGCGTCGCCCCAGTTCTTGACAAGCCTTGATCGTAGCTTGGACGCATATCGCAACTCTGCAGTCGATCTCATACTTTTGAACATGCGTTTAGAAAAAACCACTTCATTCCAGCTTTGCAAAATCTTGAGAGAATCCTTGGAGTTGCGAAATTTGTCTGCTATCAAGCCATTGGAGTCCTCAACAAAAATGTCTACCGCAGCGTCCACGTTCCACAAGTGCTGATTTAGACAATCGAATGCATCATCACGATTCTTTGGAAAATTCTCGAGCACGCTTTGACAGTTTATGCAATAATTTGATCCCTTCATGTCCAGATTCTTGAGTCGTATCTGTATCTGATCCATGTACTTGTCGACGACTCGTTGTTCCACTTTGCGAGCTTGGTCTTCAGTTAGGGGTTCAACGTTGTCGAGCTTGACGTTGACACGTTTACCATGAACTTGAACCAAGACAGAGGTATCTTCTTTGCGCACAACAAATGCTTCGTTGCCATTAAGTTCCGATCTATCATGAAGATTCTTCAGTTTTACCCAAGATTTCTCACGTATCGTAATGTTGTCTTGACTCACCTCATGGGTGCTTCGCCTTTCAGATCCTGCATCGTCACGATGCTTGGCGCCGCCTTCGTTGCCTCCCGAGCCTCTTCGCTTCGCCGATTTTGCAACGGATTTACGGACACTTCCTGATCTTTTTACAGACTCTTTCAAGGTTTGGTAATGATCAATGTCCAGGTCTGGCCAAACATTCTTGACGAAGTCTGGCAAAGGTCCGAGAACAACAAGACCAGGCTCTTGAATGTTGTTGGCTGCGAGATTCGTTTGGGCGCTTTCTGCTTGTTCTTCCACCTTGGTCGAGCTCTTCAAAGCCATGTCAGACTTGGGCTTGGGATACGTCGCTTTGAACTCAATCCACGATTCGAATGCGTCTTTTTGAGCAAATTGAACATACGTTCGCAAGCTTTCCAGGGAGTATCGGAGTAATTTTTTGTTCATTTCATGCAGGCGTTTCCATGCACAAAAGAAGTCTTCAAGGCGGTTGCGATTTGAAGATTTCACCATCTCTAGATAGAACACGTATACTGCTGCATCATACTCAGGCCGTACTAATGGATCTGTATTCTTCTTGACCTTAGACCAACCATGAAACGCCCTGTTCACAGCGATGTGTGCGAAAGCTGTACCCTTAGGAATTGATTCAACGTGCGAAAAACTATAACCATATCCAATCAAGCTGCTCATAGCCTCTCCTGCACCGAATATACCTTTCCTACGGTACGCATTCGCGAGCAATGAAACCTTCTGGAGAGCTGAGTCGAGAGGAGAGATTCCGAGCTTCGGGGACGATCTCCGCAGGTGGGTTGGGCTGGGAGTCCTCCAGGATCGCACTTCATCAATGAACTTGTCGACTTTTGCGGGTTTTCCAGCGAACAGCCTCATCGGCACTCTCTGCTTTGCTTCTGTTTGAAATGTCACACGAAGATGGTCGGGAAGTTCGGGGCCATCGCTCTGGTTCAACAGGTTCAGGTCGAAAGCATGGTTCTCCAAATCCTCTATGAAAAGAAGCTTCCATCCTATCTGTAGACCACATGAATCTGCAGAAGAGCCTGCTTGAACCCCTGCCACGATGAACCCAGCCTTGCGATCGTATCGAAGTCGAACTCCATAGCGCTCGAGCTTCATAATGTGCAGTGGAAGAGTTGAAAGAAGCTACTGCCAAAGCTCGAAACCGTTCCAAACTTTCAACCGCAGGACTACACGGAGCTGTCTCATTTTCTATTTCTTGTCGTGATGTTATGATACATCATGGGCTGTGAGATTTGAGGAAAAGCAGAAGTCAGTGTGCAAATCCTGAGGAGGATGAGGAAACAATTCGGGTGGAACAACCAGCAAGAAGAGGGGAAGTGTTGAGCAGGGGTGTGCGAGGAGATGAGCGAGAAGGGCTAGAGGAGGGCTAGAGGAAGAGGAGTCTCACTGAGCTCGCTGATCCCCACATGGAGCTCATCCCCAGTAGATTCACTTCCGACATGTCGAGGAGCGGGAGGCGGCGGGAGTCCTGACCCGTTAGTGGAGACCGGTGGGGTTACTACCTGGGGGTGGGGTGTTTCAAGGGTAGGAATGAGGGGTGAAAGATCGAGGATTAGCTGGTAAGAGGGTAGGGTACATGGAAAGCAGGAGGGGTAAAAACTTGAGCTGATGAACGTGGAAATGTAGGGGTACCTCGAGGGGGGAAAGTAGGGGTAGACGCACTTAGGATATGTGACAAAAACAAACCTTATCGGACCGGGTGATAATAGGTAAGATCTTCTGGCTATTGGGTGGTAGGGTGGTATTGGCTTGTAGTAACGGTCGGGATGAGGAGGAACTACAACGAGACCGTTTTACCTAGCACATAACGGTAATCGTTACGAAGCAATAAACGTACTCATGTTGCAAACGTTATTTCCAAACCGGTGTATTGTAACAGTTCGAATTTCGTGGGCCCTTCCAGTTCCCGCCAAGCCATGGTAGGAAAAGATGGACGGAGAATGCAGGGATGGAGGGGGGAAGAGAATGGAGAGGGGGGAGAGGATAATGTAATTCACCAGGATAAGAGATTGAATCGTATGGCAGGAAACCGCAGAGGTCATCGAGGAGAAAGGAGCTGAAAGTGCGGGAGGAGGCGATGTATCCCCTCCAAAACCACTCCAGCAACAGAAGTTGACCGCCATGTTCTCAAAGTTGCTGAATGCCACAAGGCGCAAGGATCCGTTGGACTGTGGAATCGCTGAGAAATCAGGCATTGAGCGGCAAGGGATGGTTTCTGAGACCGAGGAGATGAAAGATTCAGAGATCCTTCAAACGCCTCAGAACCGAAGAAGTGTGAACCAGGAATCAACCTCTGCGTCTCCAAACGATGGGATGAGCATTGCCTCTACGGTCAAGACAGGCTCCAGCCCTCAAGAATCTACAAACTTCCACCGCAGAAGTGCGATGGAAGACATGGGGGGCAGCCTGGGCTCTTCTCCTTCAGCTAAGGACACCAAGTCTGATTTGAAGGGAGAGTTCGAAAAGAATCTCATTGGTTTCCAAGGACAGGATAGCGAGGAGCCCAGTGCAAACCAGAAAAAGCGGAGGAGGAGCTCTCCCACAGATCAAGCAAAGCAAGTCACGGGCGACGCTCAAAACAAGAGATGCAGACCCAGCAAGCAACCAAACTCATCTGGGAAGGTAGCAAAGGCAAAGGCTAAGGACGCAGCTGAAAAACCAACCCTTTCTTCGGGGAAAGGTGGCACATCGAAACCCTCTAAGTCGGTAAGTTGTGCAGATAAGCTTCTGATTCACTGTGGGTGATCGGTGCTTTAGCTCGAAGTTCCCTGCGAAAGTTCCGGCGATGAATGGAGAAAGGAAGGCCATCCATTCATTGGGCGTGGAATACTCAGGTCAGTCCAGAATGACAATGGCCAATTGGAAGAGGGCTGGGGAAAAGTTCTTGGCTGGTTGAGTGCATCCGAATCGGATTTCATCAGCGAGGTGAGGTCGTAGCCTTACACAGAAAATATTCTTAAGGATTGTTTCAGAGAACATCAGAACCTGCTGCTTTATGGCGTATTGTATTTGATGATGCAAGTCTAGGAGAAGAGGACCTAGAAGAAGACGAGGTATGCTATCGGACTTTGTCTCTTTCAACTGAAATTCTTCTCAGGTGACTGAGGCGATAATCGCTTGGGAACTTGCTCAATACAAGCGGAGTCTAACGAAACGTGCTGGTGGCAAAAAGAATCAGTCAAGGAAGTCAAAAGGCAAAGATCAGACAAATATTACACCGGAAGCTTTGAAATACTACTTTTTGAACGAAGCTGATGACGGAAAGAGTATTCCTGAATTGGCCCAGCAACTGCATGTGGATGCTAAGGTGCTTGTTTCTCTCCCATCAAAAGGTATATTTCCTCCTCCTAACCCTTGTGCCTCTCAAGGATCTGGTGGAGCTCAACTCTTCACGGCTTGAAATGCTAGCAAACGACGACTCATGCAGGCTGCCAGCGCACACGCTCCTTTTGCTTCCTTCCAGTCGCGAGACATTCGTACAAATAGAGATTCCATTGCAGAATTGCCCTGAACCGTTGCAACGGGTAGAACAGAACCAAGCCACGGAAGAGAAAGATAGAATCGAAGAGCCTAATTCCACTGAAATCCAGACGAATGAGGAAAAGACAGAGTTATGCACAGACCAAGTTCAGACTCAAGCTAACACTTTCGACAAAAGCAATTGGCATCTTGCGATAAGACCTAGCGTGAAGTTTCCACCCTACCCTGGAGTAAGTTTTCTCTAGGAGCTTGACAGCCTTTGATGAAATCTTTTCAAATTAGGTCACTGAAAACCACGGGGAGTGTCTTGCTATGGAATTCATTGAGCATTTTCATTGTCCATTTGTCAAGAAGAACGGTACTACATACGCAACAGACGATTTTGAGGCCGTTGCTCCGATAACAGCCAAAGTGGATGATAATTGGGGGGTGAAAGACCATTTTGATGCTTCATTTCGAAAACCTTATCTGTGCGACAGGGATGTGACCTGTGCCAGAAATGGAGAAGAACCAGCCTAATATTATCCGAAGATGCAGCATTCCAGTGTTCTGACGTTGGCAAATCATGTGCTGATCCGGAAGATGAGTATGATGAAGATGAAGAGGTATACTGAGGTTGATTTGGTACTCCCGACAAATGATTACAACTGTAGATGGAAGTGGAAAATAATCAGGACGAGGTCATCGCATCAAGGCTTCCAATAAAGGGTAAAGACGTTACAGTTGACCGAATTGGTATGGGATCTCTGTGGAGGCAATTTATGTGAACCTTGCTTCAGGAGCGATAGTGTATGACAAGGCTGGCTACTGGGATGACAAACTGGTGTTTCCGGTTGGATACGAATGTGTCACGAGGTCTTGTTTTGTAGCTAACGAATTAAGGAGCCTCTGATTCTTCATGCTTCAGCTATGTCGACTTTGTGGACCGGACGAAGCAAGGTCAATACAAGTGTACGATAGCTCATGGACATCGTGGACCACTCTTTTTTGTCATGCCTCTGAAGGAAGATGGAAAGGTCTTCTTGAATATTTTTTAAATTTTGTTGGACGATTCTGAGTTTCAAACAGCCTCTTCTTGAAGAAGCTTTTGAGGGCTCAAACCCAAGAGAAGTTTGGAACAAAGTGAAGTCTGCGGTGGCCGGAAGGCAGAATTTGGATTCTTCCAACATGAGCGACCTGAAGGGAGAAGAGGAAGTTGAAGGTGAATTTGAATACGAATGTCTTCGGTGCTAACATTGCTGTAGACAATAATGCTGATGAAAGAAGTTCAACCCAAGAAACAGACATGGATCTTCAAAGCATTCCTTTGTCTTCAGCGAAGATTCAGGAGAAGGACTTTCAGGATGATTCAAGCCTGTCCGCAGAACGCAGGTCTAATACAAAAGTCAATGATAATAGTCCGAAGCTTGTTGCTGATGCAACAATTCATCAAAAATCTGGGGTCGAACTCTTCGGTCTGAATCTTCCACAAGTGATGGAACTCATATCCGATCTCCCTGGGTTCGAGGAGATAAAATTGTATTGAGTCGATGCTTCGATGCTTTCCTCTGTCGCCTTGACGACTTTTTCCAGGACTAGAGATCGAATTAAACGAAAGAAAGGACAGTTCAAGTCGCTCGAAGCTCGAATGGAACTCGTCCCGTCGACCGGCAACAGCAGCAGCAAGAATGTCCACGTTCCAATCATCAATTTGCGAACGATGAAAATCTTACTCGGTAGGATGATTTGGTATCTTTCGATTTCACATGATTCACTTTTTGGCAGGCGAGCGTGCGCCGAAGATGAAAAACCTCCGCAGATTTTTGAACAATCATCCAGACTGCGAACCGTTCGATTGTGAACATTCAACAAAAGCTGATGCAGCTTTAGTTGAAGATGCTTGTCAGGTAAGTAAAATCACAGCATCCTGTAATGCTGATGGCACTTCAGATGCACATATGTTGGGATTGTAAGAAAGGTCACTTTGCTAGTAGGAATCATGACAAAGTAAGTTTGCATGGCTTGAGGGTATACGAATTGATGTATTGGTGCAGCACGAATGTCGTATAAGGATGAAACATACCACACCAGATTGGAAAGATGATCCTCGTTGCAAGGTACCAGTGAATCTCTCCATCGTTCTTACTGAAATTCTTTGAAGGAGGACAAATTGGATCCATTTGCATACAAAAGATTGCCCAAGAGCTTCAAGTTCACATGGCGCGAAGGAAAGATCCTCAAACTGGACTACAACTCAGAAAATGAGCCAGTGCTACTTCGAGTCCCTACAAACTTCTTGCAAGACGCCTTTCAAGCGAATTTGCTGTGGGATGATGTCATCGAGGAGGTGAGGAGATATTTTCTCCAAGTTCCCTCTTGCACAAGGCATGTGGTAAACCAGATGTTTGCAGGGCGGAAACATCAGAAAACAAATAATCTTTGAGAAACGAGAGACCGAACGGAAACTACCGCGCATAACTTTTCAAAGACCTCCCTGGCCTCCTGTCTTGCCAGGTACATCCGTTGACGACAAACGACTTGAAGTGACTTGCCTTGCAGCCAATCCTTCTGGATGCGCTAGAGCTGAACCTTTCACTCCTCGTTCGTTCACCGAAAAGGCTGAGTTCACCCACATGGCCCAGGAGTCTTTCCCTCGAATCTGCAGGTAATGGACCCCATGGCATTATGGTTTGTCTGACAGTACTGGCTCCTGAAAGTGGACTGGAATACAAAGCGATGGACATCAACTCCCAATTTGATTGGATGAAAGCGAATCAGAATCGTCGGCTGGTGCTCGGACGGTCTGGCATCGAGGGGTATGGTATATTTGCAAGGCAGCCGATCTTCAAGGTCAGTTTGGGAAGTTTTACAAGGGTGTTGACTTGAGCACTCAAGGGAGAGATGGTGGTGGAGTACACCGGCGAGGCTATCAGGCCAGTGGTAGCGGATGTGCGCGAAGAGCAGTATGAAGCAGCTGGACTCGGAACGTACTTCTGGAGGCTTGAGGAATACTTGGGAGCAGGCGAGCCGCCCGAGGTGCCTTACAAGGGTGAAGGAAACGCCGTGTTTATGTGTTGGCAGGGTCGAGCTGCCATCGTGGACGCGACGATTCGGCACAACATCGGTCACTACATCAATCATTGTTGCGATCCCAACTGTGAAGCCAAGATCCTCAAGATCAATGTGAGTTGTCTTGCTGTTCGCCTGCATGGCCATGATTGCCGGACAGGGGCAACGCCGGATCATCATCTCCGCGATTCACGACGTACAATTCGGTGAGGAGCTGACGTATGACTACAAGCTGCCCTTCGAGGACAAGAAGATTCCTTGTCACTGCGGAGCCCCGACATGTCGGGGGACGATGAATTGAATTGTAAACATTTTTAACACAAACATGGTCACGATAATGTAGGAGCAACTTCGCTCTACACAGACCGCTGATACCCTTCAGCGGCTGGCCTATCAGAGCAGAGTACGGAAACCCTGACCAACATGTCAAGAGCTCGCAACGAAGGAGAGAGAGCTGTGAGTTACCACGTGCAACCCTTTGATGAAGTTTTCTTCCGGAGTAAGGATCCTGGTGAGTTCAGCCTTCAGTGAGGGAGCAGATGGGAGGTGAAGCTTGAGAATTACAAAGAGCAAAGTACCGAGAGTGCTCGTACTCTCCCTTGGACTGATAGTACGTGACTGCATGCTTTCGTCATGGGACATGCCGAGCCTGCCAAGTGTCTGACCTGTGTTGCTCGCATACATCTGGTCGCGCGAAATGTTGTGAGTCCTGCTCAACCTGACGGTGAAGATCTTGAGCGAGGTATGCGTTGAGGTTCGGTCGCTTCCCTGCACCCCAGGGCGTCAAGGCTCGATGGTGACGGGAGGAGGAGGAGGAGGAAACCTGAAACTGATGCTCTTGCCCGATGGTGAGAGTGACTTCTGTCCCCTCTTCTCCCAAGATGAGATCGAACACCTTATCAAGGGGCAGGCCATACACGTTGACATCCTCAACTGGACGGCAGTCAGACAAGGAGCCTGACGTCCTCCCTCACCTTTCAAGAGCTGGTCCGAGATCCTTATCTTGCCGCTCAGCGCTGCAGGCCCTCCTGGCACCAAGTACTTGATGTAGATACGTCCTGACTCACTGGTGGACTCGAGCAGCATGCCGACTCCGGCAAGCTTCGGCGGCATCTGCTGTTGTTGCTGGGTGGAGACGAGGATCTCTGAGGTCTTGGTGTTCTTCAGCCTCTCGATCTCCAGGTCCTTCAGCTGCAGCTCCTCCCGCAGACGCTTCAGCTCCGCATCCAGGTGTCCGATGCGCAGCTGTGTGTCGTAGATCTCCCCCTTGAGATTCTCATTCTGAGATTTGAGCTGCTCGTTGTGCATGCCCACTTGCTCCAGCTGCATCAGCTGCTTCCTGAGCTCCTCGATCTGCCGCTGAAGCTGCGAGCTCTCGACGCTCGTGCGGTGGTTCTCTTTGGACAGAAGGTCGATCTGGGTGATGTACTCCTGGACGGTAGTCTCGATGTGCAGCTTCTGCTTCCTCAGTTCCTCCATCTCGCTGACCCTCTTCCTTAGCACGTGCATCTCAGTCTTGATGTGCTCCGTTTCATTCCCCAAGATCAGCTCGTACAGCATATCCAAGGTGATCACGGGGGGGCCCGAGAGCATCTTGCGGACGCGCAGCAGGTCGTCGGCAGACCATGCTTGCTCCATGTTCATGATGCTGACGATCTTGTGGAGCTCACTCCAGGATCGGTCAGACTTGGACAGAACATCCAGTAGGTCGAGAATCTCCGACATGTAGACCCTGGGAGGACCAGCAAGCTTCGCCGCCACCTTGTCCACCTCCGAGGCAGACAGCCCGATGGCCGAGAGCTGTCTCTTCAGGTCGTGAAGCTCGTTCAGGCTGTCCTGCGCCTCGCGTTTCGCTCCGTCCGCCTCGTACATGTAGTTCTTCATCTTCTCCCGGACGGCGATCATCTCCTTCTCGCTGTTCTGCAGAGCCACCTCTTGCTCCTGCACAATGTTCCGGAGAGCCTTACAGTCATTCATGCAAGACACGTACTCCGAGCGATCAACCATCTCCGTGTTGACTTTGATCCTCAGTGGGTCCAACTCTTCCTTGAGGATCCGGATCGTCTCCGATAGCTCGTTGTTTTGCTTCCTCAGGTACTCGGATTCCCTCTGGCACTTCTCTATGATCTCCATGCTCTGTTCGTACTGCTTCTGGAGCCCTTCAATCGAGTACTGGAAAGTCGCTCGCTCCGAGCTGATGGTCTGTTGCTCGACTTCCAACTCAGTCCTGCTCTTGATGAGCAGCTTCTCCACGTCGTCCTTCTCCTTCATCAAGGCTTTCGCTCGTGTCATCTCGAAGGAAATCTTCTCGAGCTCTGACATCAAACGCTCAATCTCAGCCGTCAACTTGGACTTCTCCTCAGTCAGCCTTTGATTGGCATCGTTGGTCTTCATCCTCAAATCCTCCGACTCGGACAGTCTGACAGTGAGGCTTTCAATCATTTGCTTCAGCTCTATGATCTCCTGCCTCATCGTGACATTTTCAGTGTTGAGGACCTCAACAGTCGAGTTGATCTTGGCGGTGTGGACAGTGTCATCCCCCTGCTGCTTTCTGTTAGGGAACAACATGGTCTCTGCCACTGTTATTCCATTCGCAGTGCGTTGCTGCATCTTCCTGATCTTCTCAAAGATCCACGTCTCGTTGTCGGCCCGCTTCTTCTCTATTTGCACCACCTGCTCTGCCAACGTCTGCAAGGATGATATGAGGGCTTGCACAGGTGAGCCTTTGCGGATTTGGACTTCCAACGTCTCGATCACTTGAAACAGTCTCTCAACTGCCTTGACAGCGGAGGAAGAAGCTCGATTCAAAGCCACTTCGTAGTTCATGGTTCCCCGCTTGAAGGTGAAGTTGCATGGCGCACCGATGGGTTGACTCAGCGATAGCTTGTCTGAGTTCAGACCGTCGAAGTGATTCCCGTCGATGGCGATCAGTTCATCTCCAACTTGAATACGACCAGATAGGAATGCAGGGCCACCAGCTGTTATGGATGCCACCTGTGCGTGTGAAATGTAACCAGTAGAGAGAGGGAGAGAGGAAAGGAGGGAGGGAAAAAGGGAGGGAGGGAGGGAGGGAGTTAGCTAAAATGGCTACCTCTCTTGGATTGAAAGATGAATTTGATCCCATCGAAGAGTTCAACCCGTTCGCAAGGCTGAATCCAAACGTACTCCTGGCCTGCTTGCTCGTCAGATAAGAGGTACAGGATGGAACGATTCGCACACCATGCGGGGATCTTTGAAAAATTCGAGATTCATGGCAGAGCCTATTTGAGGTTTCAGTTTGACATCCTAAAACGCGTCGGAAACATCTCAAACTACCTTCGTCCAGCGTAAGACGAATGTCCTCCAGTGCCCTCACCTTTCAAACAACATGGTAAGATGATTTTCACAACGTGGTCATGTGGTACGATTTGACTATTCGCCAGAAGCTCCTCATTTTCGAATTCTGGCTTCAATTCGTACCTACAACATTTTGATATTCTGAGACGGATTAACAAAGTGACAACTACCAGCGCTTGATATGGTCCCAAATGTAGATGGGAATGTGCCTCTTCACACGGACTTCATACATGCTCCCGTCCTCGTGTCTGTGCACCGTTCACTTGTTGTTTGTGGTTTGCAGGTGATCACAGCAAATTATCATGGTCAGACCTGAACATAGTCAGTCGGATGTTTGTGCCAGGCTTTCCCCAAATCAATTGTTCACAAGATTCAATGTTTGTCTGCGGGCAACATGAGGCGGGCAACCAGGACAAGATGGAGGTAATACCTGCTCGACTTCGGTATCGTCGACAGCATGCAAACGATCTCCCACCTCTACCATGTGATTGAAATTCTGACCCTCAGGGCCCTTCAAATCATCAACGCTCAACACGGTATGAGGAGGAGATCTTGATATGGTCATTCCAATGCCGAAGAGCCCTCCCTTTAAAACCAAATCATAAGAACGCAACTAAAAGCAGTGAGGCTCTACCTGCACTTTTTCTTCCTTCAGAAACAAAATTTCCGTCATGACTGGCAACTTCTGTAGCAGATTGTCAGTGACAGAACACTTGAGAAGATTCGTACAACCGGTGAAGCATCCAAAGATGCCATTCGAGGAATTTTGGACCTCGAATGCATCGTCATCCTAGGATGCATACATTGTCATTTTCGATAACACAAAACTTCTTGGATCAAGGATTTTGTAAGCAGCATGCAAGCGAGCAGAGTTGTCATTTTGCAGGATCAAGCTTGAAACCAGGGATTGCTAAGGGACTGTTGCACTCTTTGGATTACCCATATCCACGCCACATCTCTACCCTTTCGAACGATGGGAGCAACTCGTGCTTCCATCGCCAGCATACTCTACCAGCCGTTCCTCTCCTCCTCTCCGTGACGTGTGTCTTCCCTACTCCTTCGCGAAGCGACGTCATGGTTGCGCCTTCCTCTGTACCACCCCCACCCTCATCCTAGACCCACTTACTTACAGCGAGCTCTGCGCTCACACCAATTTCTAAACTTCCTTTCTCGGACATTTTACAATTAATCTCATATGATTTGAGTACCATCCTCAGCACCAGCTCTTCTTACCCCCTCCACCACTGCGCTTTTCATGAAATTACCCCTGTCTTCCACCACCCCTAACTTGCTCTTTTTCTTCAAGTACACTCCCGCAAGGGGGTCTTCACCTGTAGCAATCTCATCTATCACCCTTCCTTTTCAGAGTGAACATTGGGGTGGAGGTAGTCTCCGATCAGAAAAGTAGCCCCCAGGAGGCAAGAGTCGGTCTACCGGACCTTTAGGGAGATTGGAGCCACCAGAGGGGTTATGCCAAAGTCTCTAGTAAGGTAGGCAGAACGGGGGGTGGTCTGGACTTATGGTCAGACTCATGGTAGTAACAGCAGTCCGAGTCACCCAACCTGGTCAGCGGTGTAGCCTAGTACCGCCCCCAGCACATAAACGATCCGCCGACCGGAACTTCCGAAGTCACTTCGCCGGACTCCCCGGCCCCGTTGGCCGAGCCCCCGGCGGCCCCTGCGGCACTGCACTGAGTCCGAGCCTGTCACCGCGGCACGTTGATCGGACCGTCCGACGGTCGGACGGACGAAGTAGTCTCCGCACTGCGGCACTCCGGGCCTGCGGGCCCGGGAGCCTGAGGCTCCGAGGCTCGGCCCGGCCTGCCCCGGCCCGGCGGCCTGCCGACTCGGAGCTCAGGCTTCACTCGGGGCTGGGAGCCGGTGTCCCGACCGTGCCAGTGAACTTCGGCAGCCTGCCTGCGCTGGCCCTCCCCGGGGCCCGCGCGGCCCGTCCTGGCGGGCCTCTGGCAGTAGTGACCGCCGCCGGTGACCGTACCGTACGCCCACTGCCGGGGCGGGCCGGGCCGCCGCCGCTCGGATGGCTCAGCCAGGCCGGGCCAAGACTCTGAGAGGCCCGTGACGATGGATGACCAGAGCTACTTGTGCAGCCAACAATGAATCTGCCGTTATCGCAGCAAGAGTGCCGTTTATGGTGGCATTCACCGACCCCACCCCTCAAAGCCCGAGCCGTTTTTTTTTTAAAATAAAAGGGCAACGGGGTGGGGAGGTCACAGTCCGGTTCGCCGTCCCCCTGGTAGACTTCCTGCAAGGGGGGTGGGGGTTACTACCTGTGGAGGTGGGCTCGGGGGGCAGGGGTCATGCCTGAGACAGGTAGGGTGATGTATAACGGAGGATAAATGGAGGGACAGGAGCACCTTGATATCATTGCTACGATGTTGATTGATATGCAGCCACCCCCAACATGCTAGAGCCGCTATAGAAGATTCAGCCTCCGGGATCCATCATGAGGGGTGGGGTCCCGAGCAACGGCCATTGAAGTTGAGGCACCTGACAAGATCGAGGACCAGGAGGAGAGGGGTGGGTGGGAGCAGGAATGGGCATGATGGCGACTACCGGGGCCCGGTGAATACAGGGCAGGAACCCCCTGGTTCCGACCACCGATATAACCCGGCCATAACTGTACTTGAGATGAGGTGGGGTGGTGGATATTCGTTCATGGTACGGTAGGGTTGTCCACCCCCTTCATGAGTCGGAACAAGCCTTGTACACAATCTTCATATATTATTTCCGTCGTACCCCCTTGCTTCGAACCCCCGCCCGCCCCCCCAACTTCCTTCACCCCTGTCATTTCCATTTTTGATTGCAATTGGAAGCTTTGTCTCATCTGTATACATGAGGGTCTGTTGTTCTTCGATTATTCCTCTAATGAAAATGTAGGCTCCGATGGCCAACCGCCCCTCTTGATCCCACCCCACAACCCCGACCCCCTCAAATCATCCCCCCCCACCTCCCCCCTACAACGCGTTGCCGTCCCATCCCCAAAGCTAATTTCTGTCACTCACCGATGCACTACCCGTGCCAAACCGTGATGTCACCACCTACCCCAAGAACCAAGAAACCCACCCCCTAGGATGCTCAGGTGACTTTCGGCGGAACCCACCTTCAACGTTGTTACCAACACCCCTGGTCTCTCCTGGTCATGTACCCACCCTGAAGGGCTCAGTTCGAACACCCTACCCTCTGTTGTGCCAATATCGAACACCCCTGCGTCCAACGTTAAAGATTTGCTTTCCACTACCCCCGTCTCCCACCCCCGACCCCCCCCTCATTACTGGTAGCAATCCATCGTCCCTCTCTGAACACCTTACCTTTCTCCGTCTCCTTCCCCCTCAACCTCGAAACCAATTTCTCTCCGAACGCACGCTCATCCCTACTTCTTCGCCTCCCTCACCTTTGATCTCTCACCTCGTCACCATCTACCACGGCTACTTACCCAGCAACTCCAAGAGTGCAGAGTTACTTCTGCTACAGCAATCCTTACGACTCGAGACCTAACTACTACGCTCAATCAAATTGTTCAAAATTCAGTTCCTAGAAATGATAGAGCAAGCTGTCTTCAAAGATTTTATCAAGACCGAATATGGAAGGGGAAACGCAGTTGCGGTGAGCTCAACGAGATTGAGAATGTATGCAGATGGCTGATAGTTGCGTTCATCCCAGGGACTCGGAATGCAGTCGAACGATGGTTTCTCTATCGGGTCCTCCTTCACATTGTACCAACAGGATCCGAATGCCATTCCGAGTGGACCTTCGGGTGGTAGTGTAGGACCTATGGAGCATGCAAACAATTTGAAAGTTCCTAAATCCAGTGAAGATGAAACTTACACAACATTGCAGTAAGCAATCACGATGTTTGCTTTGAAGAAATGTGAGGTTTTTTTCAGGATTCTAGCTGAACGATGGGCAATGTCCAACGGATTTAATCCAGATCAATTAACAGAGTTTGGACATCTGATGAGCATGGTACGAGGAGTGTTGCTTGCTTCAGATTTGCAAAATTAATTTATCGACAGGTGACTTCTACTTACATCCCAAGAAACAAACTGAAGGCCCTCAAAGAAATTGATTCTGGATCTTTCGGTAAAATCTTTGCTACCAGCTACGACGGCGCTCCAGGTATTCAAGTTGTGCTGCGAATCAATTGCCTGACTCCGGAACAGTTGCTGTGAAGCAGATTTCTAACAAGAGTGGTGAATGCACCATCAAATCTAAGATGAGGGAGTTGCTTCTTGAACTACGCATTCTTGTGCGCATTCGTCATCCCAACATCGTCACGTTCTGGGGAACTGCCACGGAATTTCCGACGAATGAGAATCCAGTGCAGCCGTACATCGGGTTAGTTTTCGAACTCTGTGAGAAAGGAAGTTTGCATCATGCACTCTTCGATGGGAAGAATGCTCCTTTGAAGGTACAGTGCGATGCTCGTATTTGGTTATGTGTGTTGATCTTTTTTTTCAGATTTCTCAAAAGATTAAAATCGCTCATCAAGTTGCCCTCGGGTTGGCATATCTGCACGGCAAGAGAATCATTCATCGTGACATCAATACGAGGAACATTCTTTTGAGCAATGACCTCTCTGCTAAGATTGCTGATTTTGGATGCGCGGTATGTGCTTGTTTTAATGCCTTTCTCGCGTGATCAGTGCCCGCAGCGCGTGTTGGCACCTAATTGCAAGAGCTTGAAGACTACAACGATCTCAGGCTCTCCAGCCTACATGGCACCTGAGCAGCTGCAAGGACAAGAACTTACTGAATCGGTTGATAATTGGGCACTTGCGGTTGTGCTGTGGGAAATCATGATGGACAAAAAGCCATGGGAAGGAAGATTCTCTGATTTCAAATACTTGAAAGCTGCTGTGTTGAATGGTGAAAAGCTTCATCTTCCGGTGGATCCTCGGCCTTATCCTCCTTGTTATGTCAACATGATCAAACTCGGGATGCAATACAAGGTATTTGTATAAGCTTGCTTTTCTCAAGAGTCTGACTTTTTTGACCAGGCAAGCGATAGGCCGCCATCTTCTTTCATGGAGGCGGAATTGCACAATGCTCTAAGAATGGTAACGTCAGGTCGCGCCTGATCAGACCGAAAGCTATGATGATCCTTCTTTGTTCTTCCATGGTATCTGCTGAAGACAAGACATGGTGTATTGCTCACGGGATTGCACATATACGGGGTTGCACATACAGGCTTCTTCCTTTCGATGGGCATCTGATCCCATAACTGTAAATTATTGAAAGTCCTGGTGCAAAATCAACAACTTCAATTAGATTCTCGATTATTTCTTTCATATGTAACAAAATGAAACGATTATTTTATTTACATCCCCGTCCATTGTTTGACTTGATGGGTTATTCTAGCAACCTGCATTTCCAGAGTGAGACCTTTTCATCGTAGAGATATATCTCATTACATTCGCCTCCAAGTCTGGGATGGAGTTGCTTTGCAGCATCCAAATGATTTCTTCTTTGTATGATTCTCGTGCTTCTTCAGCAACTACACACATGATCTCGCACTCAACATTTTCTTGAATCTATCGTCAAGTTAGTGAAACATACTCTACAGAGATTCTAACCTTCTTCGTGCTATATCCTCTCTTCTCCAATCTTGGGTATCTGAAAGTGCGTATAACGATAGCATCTTAGTATTTCCTTTGCTTACAAAATGTCGTTGTCTGTTCGAAGAACAACGACCAGATCAAACCATCTCTCAGGGAAAAAGTCGCAGGTGTGGAAGTCTACGACCTACAAATTCGTCATCGCTCAGCCACCCATAACTTCGACAATGCGTACGTTTCCCCCTTGGGACATCTGGTCTTCAAGTTCGTCGCAATCAAATCTTCGTCCAGTATGAAAGCTGTGCCATCTAAGACCCAGCCATTGAAACAATACAACCTTACTGTCAAACTCTTCGTCTTCATGTTTCCCTGCATGCAAAGATTTTGTCTTTACAAGATCTCCCACATTCACATGCGTGAAGCCTGAAATCCGATCAGCGCATCCCCTGTAGATTGGGAGCAACCTGCTAAAGCCTCTGCAACCTTCTCTGCCGTCGTTGTCTTCCCTGTTCCTGGTGTTCCTGTGATCAGGATGTTTGGCACCTGGGCACGATCTCACGCCATCAGCTTTATCCGCTTCTTTTCGCTTTTATCACCTTTCGTTCTGCCATGGCACGTGCCCGTTTCTGAAACCACGAATGATGGTAGACCAGTTTGAATTTCCGATGAGTAAAGACTTGCGAGTCGGAGAGCCTCCGACTCGGAGGCAGACCCCAGGCACATCGGACCGGGAGCCTCGGCCCGCCGCCGGGCCGGGCTGCCGCCGACTCCGAGTCGGGCCCGACGGTGCGATCCGTGCCTGACCGGACCGTACAGGTTGTGTTGGTCTCCTGATTGTCCTCGTACTGATTTTTAACAGGCTTCACTTTGAGTAAAGAGGTCAAGTTGGGAGTCACAGTTCACCTCCTCGACTCTCCTAATTAATTGTCCTCGTACTGATTTTTCAACTAAGTTAACTTGTCACTTAACTTTGAGTTGGGAGTACGACTGTGAAATATGACATCCAATCATCGAAAAACTATCATTACCAGGGAATATTCGACATGATGCCGCGAGTAGTATTCCTTTGCCAGACTCAGAGCCATGACATGATCATCGGATGATGGTGCATAATGATCAGTGACTATGAGTGACGATGATTACTGGGGATGACGATTCCATGATGACGATGATAATGAGGCCCAGAGGGGTCAGAAGATGAAGGGAGGAGAGATGTCAGAAAATTGAAGAAGACATATCACTCTGGGAATGCATTCCATTGTTATATGCTATTTGAATTCTTGACCAAAAGAGGTGCAAAAATCATTAGTCAAAGTGCAGCAAGGCTACGAAAAATCTCATCATCAAGTATGAAAATCTGTAAAGACAAAGTGAAATTTTGTCTTCAAACAAACATCTGTGGAACGAAATTCATTCAGATCGCAACGCCTGACGCTCTTTCAACAGGGCACATCTTATGCGCCACTAAGAAGCTTCTCGACAGCTGCTTGCACGTCTCCGCGAGCCTCAAGCAGGGCGTCCTTTGCCTGTCACAAGGAAAATCATTCACAAATCTTACAAATAGAACTTCCAAACCTGCTCCTCTGAAAACCCCATGTCCAACAACGGCTGAATCGACTCCATGCTCCCTTCCTTGGCATATCGCTCGGTCCACAGCTTTGCAGTGGCTTTAAACTTCTCAATGGAGCTCTTGTACTCTTGAGCAACCACGGCGTCTTGAGGATCGTCTGGCTCTGGAGCTGCAAGCAAAGCTTGTACAGATATCAGAGCAGTCTTGATAGTGAGGGCCGGCGACCACTCCTTCTTCAGAATGTCCAGACAAATCGCTCCAGTCTGAGAGCTGACATTGGGGTGCCATATCTTTGTATTGAACTTCATCTTGGGAGGCTCGAACGGGTATGATGATGTAAGGACGATGTCAATTTCGAACTTCCCGCCAGCATACGCCGTGTCATCAGGTCCCAAGATGTAGCCTTTCCAGTGACTTAGATCTTCCTTGATGGGAGAAGCTGTCACCCCACACTTCTCAATCGGCTCTTGCAGCTCGACGCTTTCCTTCTTCAATCTCTTAAGATCCATTTCAACAGTTGCAAGGCCGAGAGACGGGGAGGTGGAGGTCAAAGAATGATATGAAGACAGGAAATCGAGATCTCACAGACAAAGAGGAGAGACTTTGATGGGCTGCAAGATTGGGGCCAGGATTTGGAAGTTTGACTTTCTTCCGCAGTATGGGCGGGAAGGAACAGCAAGGGAGACAACAGTCAACGAGCCTTGCTGTCAGAGGAGGCTACACCGGTGCTCTCGAGCCCCCTCAGAACGGTGGGTGTGTTCCAGGTGGTGGGGTGGTTCAAATTGGAGGGTGTATGGGGTGTCAGCAATTAGAGTACCCCTACTGTTGTGCAATAAATACTGACATAATAACGGGTACATAACCACCCACCAGACATGCATTCTGCTACCGCCTACCCCCATGGAAAAAACTACGTAAACCTCAGTTCAAATTCAATTAGCTGAAGGAGAAAATTGGAGGGAAGGTGATGGACAGGGCTTGCAAGGGCGTATGGTGGAAGAAAGGAGGATGAGAGAAGGGAGGAGGAGAAAGAGAAGGGCGCGAGAGGAGGGGGAAGAGAAGGAACAGAGAGGGGGGAGGGAGGAGAAGGAAAAAGGGAGCGGGAGAGAGAGAATGCAGCCCTAGCTTGTGGACTGGAAAAAACAATGGGAGCCAGCCATTGTTTCAAGATAGGAAGTACCAGAGGGAGAATTTCGATGCAAGATGATAGATAGATCGGCGAAGGGAGAAGAGTGGTGGAGGGTCGAGTGTTCACTTCGTTGAGCTGGCCAATCCAACGATCTCTCAAGTGCTGGGATACACTGGAGATCCGACTGAACACTCCCTCCTCTCATTCTTGGCTGTGATGATGCGAACCTTGGACATCGTTCTCGATGAAGTAGACGGTGGAATACTTGACGTCAGCAGCTCGTCAGATGCGTCTTGCACCCCGAGCCCATGCCACATCAGCATTCCGAGGACTCCTCGCCTTGCATCGTCGCCCTCGACACCCATCACTCCCGAGCATCCGCTGAAGCGTCACTTGGTGGAGGTGCTCGTGCATGGCTTCTTGCGCAAGCCCTCTTCCCCCTCCTTTCAAACTGCGGTAGCGTGGTTTCCTGCCGAGGCGTACGAGCTCGTCAAGGACTCTGAGGACTCCTCGGCCTTCCTACGAGTGCGAATACTGGACGCCTACGACAGCTTCTTCGAGTGGGTCCCTCTCTCCTCCGTGCGCATCCCTGCTGACAGCTCGGCATCACCGTTGAAGTATGGTGAGGACATCGAGGTAGGCGACAAGATGTGTGGGAGAAAGGTCTGGTTCTGCGCGAGGTTGAACGAGCTTCAAGGTACCAGGGGGCTCCGATCCTTATCATCCCATCAGGTTGTGTTTTGGGGGAACGAGCATGCGAACAACGACGCAGTCACGTTCCAGGATGTTCGGAAGCGATCGACGCAGGATCCTGTGAACGAGGTTGAATGCCTCAAGCTGCTCAGGTTGAATGATAGCATTCAATCCAACCCTTCTCCCATCAGTCAGCCGAGGTTCCTTGGGGACGGAGAGCAAGTCCCCGCAAAGCCAGAGACGGAAATGAAGTCGATCTTCTTTCACTCTGATACTTCCTCGGCAACTCTGGACCACGTGAAGAAAGTCAAGCCGCTACTGGAGGAGGTTTCGGAGCTCTTCTGTGAACGAGAGGCTTTGTTTCTGCACAACTTCGTGCTCGATGGAAGTGAGCAGGGATGGAAGGCCTGCTTTGAGAAGCTTTCCGGGAAGCAAGTCCGGCATGCAGACCTGAAGTCCGTTCGTCATTTCTTCTCCAGTTGCATCGAGGACCTGGAGCAGACTGACATCTTGAAACAGTCGAATGCAGTGAAGTTGCTGCTGGTAGCTTCGCTGGGTTTGACTGCTCTGTCGACCAAGATGGTAGTTTTCTTACAAACATCCCTGATTTCTAGAGACATCATCGTCATCGTGACCTCGGCGCTGACGAGATGCCTTTGCAAGCTTTCTGAAGCAGATGACAACCTGACCTCAGAATCTGAATGCGTCGAGTGGAGGAAGCTGTCTTCTCTGCTCAGCAACCTGCTCTTCGTTGCTCTGTCGGTTCTGAAGAATTGGGTCACCAAGGTAATCTTGAGATCTGTTGCCTTGCTGGTGACAAGCCGCACCTGCTAGCGAAACGAGAAGTTGCACGGAATGATGGTAGAATGCTACAATCAGATCAATGGTGTGCGAGCAGATGTTGAAGAACACGTTCAGAGCATTGTGCTTCTGTTGTGTGTAGACGAAACACCACTGGAGCAATCTTCGTTCTTCCTTTTCATAGTTGATCTGCTGAATTTCCAGATCCATAGCGAGAAAAGGTTTGCCTTTCATTCGTCTCGGTGGACAAGCGTAAACGGTGACTCTCAGGTTTCCGGTCCCCTATAAGAAGATCCTCTGCATTATGGAGATTTTGCTGTTCCTCGTCACGTTTTCCACCAACAAGTTGTCCGACGCCAAACTGTCAGGTTCGGTTGGCTTCCGATTCGTCCGACCGTGTGAGACAAGACAGGTTCTGCCTGCCTGCTCAGTCGACTCCGCATTTGGAGGGAAGGTGGGCCAGAGAGGAGAGCGCAACGCTGCTGACCATGGCCGTCAGAGATGCAAACCAAGTACCCTGACGTGATCCCCAAGTGTATCTCCTCTGCTGCTATCTCTCTGCATGACAAGGCCAACACGTGAGTGATCCAGTCGCCACAAGTCTGTTCTGTGCTGATTCATAGCAGCGACCCTAGCCGGGAGCCCCCGATAGCCAACGGCAGGTGGAACAAGGCCGAGTCAAAGGACCTGCCGTACGGACGAAGTCATCCCGACCTCAGCAGCAAAGAAGCACGCTTCTACTCCTCCGTTTTGCCCTCTCTCCCAAACTTGGTACCTGCTCATTTGCAGTTCCACAATCCTCATCCTTGCCTGGCAGGTGGTTGTCCTGCTGAAATTCTTGCTGGCATCCAGTGTAAATACCAAGGAAATCGAAGAAGACAACGTTGAGATCTCCAGCCCGCCCGTGCACGACATGGCAAGCGACGTTTCCTTCGATTCTGCCGGTACCTGACTGCATACCGAACTTGCCCCCTGGTTGACGTTGAACCAAGATCTGTGGGATGAAATCTTCTCCGCCATGGAAACGGACCCGCAAGACCTTGACCCTCTGGTCCTCACCTATGAGCAAATCCTTCAGAACTCCGGGGAAACCATGATCTCCCTGTTCAATGCCGAGTGGACCCGATATCGGAGGTGACGACCCCTGCCCGACACCCTTCCCCCCCTCCCCCCTTGACAGGAATGGGCAGGATCGTGGGCAAGTCCACGGCCACCTGTCTGAGGAAGATCATGCGACTATTCGACCGGTTCCATCCTCTAGCGAAAGAGTGAATGACCTCTTGCTGTGTAGGAGGCGATGGCAGTGACGCTCCCCTCGCAGATACCTCTGCCTACTCCTCAACGACTCTAACTTCCTCCTGCTCTCCCTCAAGATGTTGAACCAGGTCCTCTGCCCCTCCCTTGCGCCCATCAGCCTGCATGACGTGCGGAGCTCAGGAGATGGAGCAGCTGGTCAGCCTGCCTTGGCCAGTCTTGCAGCTGGACAAGAGCATCCTCGGTGTTTGTGCAGTGGGGACCCTCGTTCTGGTCGTCTGACGCCGCATGCCCAGGGCTTCTTGACGGGAGAAGTCGAAGTCTGCGGAGAAGGGTAGGAGGAGGCGATGTGAGGCTGGTCAGCTCACAGTCTTGGTAGGCCATCTGCATGAAGACGGCGTTCAGCTCTGAGGAGATCGACATGGCGGGGGTAAACGACTTGCTTGCCGGTAGCTTCTCACTGCGAGGAAAGGAAACGAGGCCCTCGGTCTGCGTCAGGAACATCGCCAACATCTCATGCTTGCTTCATGTGTTGCATGTACGACCATCTTGCCTCTCCCCGCTGCTGCTGCTGCTGCTTCTCCTCCTCCCCCTCCTCACTCCCATGCCTTCAGCAAACCATCGCGGGCTCGAGGAGCAGGATCCGGACGCTCGTCTCCTTCAAGGCTCCGCTGGTGCTCCGCAAGGTCCTTGACATCGGGAACGAGCAGGTCTAGGCGAGGGGAGGAGAGTCGATCCGGCTGACTGGCAGGAGCAGGTGGAGCTGGTTGTGCTCAGACTGTACAAAGAGATCGCCTGCATGCTGGGGCGGAAGTGGAAGTCGTCCAACTGCCGCATCCTCTCCATGATCTACAAGCGGATCCCTCCTGACCTCAACGGCGACTACCTCGCTCCTGACATGGTGTCGCAGCAAGGTGAGAGGAGCGCCCGCTGCATGCTGGCGTGAAATTCGCGGCAGATGTGGAGCAAGAGGATGACATGAACCGGAAAGCCGTCGGTCGCTTCAACGCGTTCGTGATGAATGCTGCGCATCCCGAAGGATGAAGATGACCATGACGATGTTACTTTGTACACCTTTGTTGTCGTAAGATTGTTGTTCAAATAGAAGATTGCTATGTATGAGTTGCTCCAAAATCCTGTTCTCAGCTCTCAGCTCTCAGCTCTGCTCTGCTCTGCTCTGCTCTGCTCTGCTCTGCTCTGCTCTGCTCTTTCCCTCCCATCCGCTCCTCTTGTCCTCTCTTACCGTCTGCTTCCCCTCTCCTTCCCCCAAAGAATTTCATGAGTGGGAAAAAAAAAGGGGGCGGGTAGGAGGGCACAGCCGGGGGCCAGGGGCGTTTGCCATGGCGTCCAGCGTCTTCCGTCGCTATGAGAAGGTCAGAGAGGAGGAGAAGATGCAAAGGAGGAGGCAGAGGAGGAAGGGGAGGGGAGGGGAGGGGAGGAGGAGGATGGAGATACTGAGTGAAATGAATGCAGGAACCTGGCGCTGCATCTTCCACGTCCTCACAACAAGAGAAGGTTCTCTCGAGCCTGCTGAACATTTCCCATCCTCTTCCTCGCCCTGCTCCTCCCCCCCTCCACTGACTCGCTGGCTCGCAGGCTGAACTAGACTACAAGCATGTCAAGGTGACCAAGTCTCATCGCAGTCTGTAGAGTGACTCGATGTGTGCAGGGCGTCAAGTCTTCCGCATTCTCCAAGAACTGGCAGACTAGCTCCGGGCTCGCTGCCATTGACTCAGCGCTTGGAGGTATTTCTCTTGCTCCTCTCGCTCTCCAACCTTTTCCTCTCCTTCCCCTTGTCTTCATCCGAGCTACACACAGCGGCATGACCGAAGTTCGTTCAGGTGGGATCACAGTCGGTACTGTGCTGCTCGTCGTCGAAGATTCTCCGACGAGATGCTATGAGCACATCTTCAAGCACTGCATAGCTCAGGTCGCTTCTTCTCTCCTCTCCTCTCCTCTCCTCTCCTCTCCTCTCCTCTCCTCTCCTCTCCTCCTCGCTTGATCTCTTATTGTGATCTTATCTCCGCTACAGGGAGTGCAACATGAACATAACGTGCTGCTTTGTGGAGAGGGCGGGAGGATCTCGGACGAGATTCCCTCCCTGATAGAGAACGGTACTTGTATGCGAGATTGCGCATTCCTGCTTGACTTTAACAAAGATTCTGAGGAGCAAGTGAGGCAGAGAGTTCCAAGTTCCATGATGGGTATGCTGTGATGGGTGAAAATGAGATAGTGAAAGTTGTTTCGAAGAGAAAGACGACGAGCTAAGGATAGCATGGCGATACAAGGTGACGGGGGAGAGTTGTTTTCAGCCTCGGAATTTGAGAACAATCTTTGATAGGAGGCGATACAACAACAATCTAAGCTGAAGACACAGACATCAGGTCCGTCATACTGCGACAGGTCTTCCTTCCTGCGTTCCTCCCTTTCCTTGTTCTGAATATTCCCGCAGGTTTGACATAAGCAAGAGCAAACCTCTATCGCCGGAAATCCGCGAGAAATTTTACAAAGAACTTCCCATAACAAGGGAGGCAAATGGAGAGAGTCAAGAGACCGAGTCATCCCAGTCGCACTTCCACCTGTCGCACTTGCTCGACCAGATCAAAAACGCGGTCAAGTTGGAAGAAAAGCTCTGCCGAGTCATGATTCCATCCTTGGGGTCCCTCTCCTGGTTCTCTCCAGGTGATAGCAAGAAAGCCCGCTGCTGCTGCATCCCTCAAGTCTTGTTGTTTCTCTCCAGGGCGACCCCGGCAGAGCTGCGAGAACGACCTCCTCGTCTTCGTCAAGATGCTCAAAGGCATGGTCCGCAGATCCCGCGCTGTCGTCGTGATGTCCGTCCCGCCATGGTTGGCACAGACAGGTAGCCTCGATGCGGGCTGGACCTCCTACTCTTGACGCTATCGCATCCCCAGACGCTGGCAGCAGGCTGATGAGGATCAGTGACTATATCCTGCACCTGGACAGCCTGGCGGCGTGCGACGCGACGGTGAGGCAGCAGTACAAGGACTACGTTGCCTTCGCCCACCTCCGCAAGGTTCTTCTCCTGCATTGGCCGAGCACCAGCCTCATCTCGCGTTGCTTACAGGTGTTGAGGTTGGATTGCCTTTCGGCTTTCACTCCCGACAGGCACTACATGCTCCTGCTCCTGCTCCTCTCCTGCCCCTGCTCTTGCTCCTGCCCCTGCTCCTGCCCCTGCCCCTGCCCCTGCTCCTGCTCCTGCTCCTGCTCCTGCTTTTGCCCCTGCCCCTGCCCCTGCCCCTGCTCCTGCTCCTACTGTTCTCCTCGCGCCAGAGATTGTAACAAGGCTTGATAGTTTGCACTATCTGGTCAAGTTGAGACGAAGGGTGAGTCTTTCCTCCTCCTCCTCCTCCTCCTCCTCCTCCTCCTGCAGATCTCTTGCTATAGTAGCCCACAGCTTCTCATCCCCCTCCTCTATCATACCTTCCCCGCTCACGCCTTCCACCATTGCCCTCTGTCGCTGAAAAGCTTCCCAGACCATCCAGTTCGACAGGATGCACGCGGCAAACCCTGAGGAAGTCTCTTCTTCGAAGCCGAGCGGCCAGGTGGCTGGTGGACTAGAAGTGTTCTGAGAGGATAAACATTCTATCGCTTCTACTCTCGCGCTTGCCCCAGCTGCTCCTGACTCGTCCTCCTCGTCTGCGCCACTTTGCCTGTTTCATCATCGCCTCGGCATCAAAAAACTTTCGCAGAGGAGCGTGAGAACAATTAGGAGATGCAGAAGAACCGAGAGTGGAGGAGAACGGGCTCAGTACAAGGTTAATGAGCAGGAGCAGGAGCAGGAGCAGGAGCAGGAGCAGGAGCAGGAGCAGGAGCAGGAGCAGGAGCAGGAGCAGGAGCAGGAGCAGGAGCAGGAGCAGGAGCAGGAGCAGGAGCAGGAGCAGTCAGTAGTGTACAACTGTGCGAAGGAGAGATTTTCGGTCGGGTGGAGACAGTCCGATGAAGGGAGAGGAGGTGGGGGTAGTATAAGTAGGGGTACGGGGTACATAAATTCGAATTTGTCAGGGTAAACGATGGTTGAGTTACTTTGTCATGAGGGGTGGGGTACTTGTAGAAATAAACTACAGGGGTCTCTAAAAACTTAATATGACCAAAGGGTGGGTAGTAGACAAATGGTGCCATGGCGGGAAGGGCGGCGCAGAATGAAATTCGTCCATTGTGAAGGTGCAGGAGAAGAAAGAGGCGGCGGAGAAGGAGAAGGACAACTGAGAGTGTGATGATGAGCAAGGTGGTAGGAGTCAACAAGAGCTCAAGCAGTCACACTCGGCCGCTGCTATTGGTTGTTAACTCTAGACTCGGGTCCAGCGCTGGTCAAATTGTGTAAGGCCCTGGGTGCGCGTTTGGTGAAGATTGGAGGAAGAACAGAGGAGGAGGGTGGTGGAAGATGCAAGAGGCTGAGTTCAAGGGGAAGAAACTCTCAACGAGCTCGGGAGTCGTAGTTTCTCGGACGTTGCAAGCCCGAAGTGAGCGTATGGACGCGCCATGGCCATCGGAGAACAGTGAGACTGAATTCAAGTGAAAAGGATTGAGCTGACCATGTTTTAGCGCATGCAAATAGGAAGTCGTTGGCTATTGGTCTGGGTAAAGTACAGGTATTTACCTAATGAGAGGCTTTCTTTCCAATAGGATGATTTTGTTTGTCAGGTTGTCAGCGACGAGACTATGGGTACAAGTAGAGCTCTTCTCTCCCAACCCTTTTCAACAGCATGGCAAGGTGTGTTCAACCGTCTTTCCCTTCATGTCTTCTGCTGGCATCGCTTCCCCTCTGTTAGCTGTAAGTTGAGTTCCTTACACCTTGGTTTTTAGCTCAAACAGAAATACCTCGCTCTCAAAGGTCGCTCAACCATTCTGGGAATTCTTCTACGGCTGTGAAGAACACGTCAGGACTGCATAAGAGGTCTGTTGTCGAGTTGAGCGAGGGACGCCATGTGACTATCTGGGACTACAGGTCAGGAAAACTCTCAACGATTGCTCCCCCTGGCGCCGGCAATGAGTCAGAAGTTGTCAAGTGCGACCCCAATGGTTCGAATGCTCTCGATTGTGATGTGATTCTTTTCAGATCTTTCAACCTGTCAACGATGACGACGAGAGATGTTCATGTCCCTGACGCGCTCGACAAGTTGAATTCGCTCAACCCTCGTGAACTCGTCGCCTCCAAGATCCCGGCGACCGTCCAGGATTCCTCAAAGGCGAGTCCTCCTTGCGTTGATGGTTGAACTAGTCTTGTAACGGTCTCTGTTGTGCAGCATCTTGCGGACGTATCGGCGCATGATTCGAACATGGACAAGAGGGAGAAGAAAGTCAGGCACAGCAAGCGGCCGACGTTAGCCCTGCAGGTTTGAGGTTTTGTCGTGACTCCCGGAATCTGACAAGTTTCTGCAGGAAATCCGTCAGAAGAAGGAGCAGGAGATTGAGACGAAGAATGAGATGGAGCGACGGAGATCTGCCGTGATGGCTCTGCTTCAGGAGATCCGAGATCAGGCAAGTTTTGAGGATTCTGTGTTGTGTGTTGACGGCCTGCCGGGCCACAGAGAGAATGTAAGGAGATGAAGACATCTGAAAGTCAGACGAGGTATTTATTTTGCACTTTCCTTCATCAGAGATTGACACTGCTTCAAGGAATTCTGCCAGCACCGACGAGGTTCCCTAGCACAAGCTTGCTTGTTGTACATCTCTGACAGGCCAGATAAAGCAGGTGCATGTCTTGGTCAACGGAGCGACCCAAACAAGCAGGAAGCGAAGTCTTTCAGCTCCTGCGCGAGGAAGAGGTGGAAGGAGGACCTCAAAAATGTCGTCGTGATGATTTTGAAACAGCCAAAAAGTCCAAGGGGTTGAGCGGATCTTCGCTGTCGTCAAAGTCTTCTCGTCAACGTTCCCGGAAGCATGAGCAGTAAGCAAGAATGGAGGAGGATGGCCCAGGAGCATCTGACAATTTGATCGTGTAGGCTGACCTCCAATCTCTCTGGAATCCCGTGTTTGGTTGCGGTGAGTTGAGAATTCTTGGGACCTCCTGCCTCTCACTTGACTTTATTTCCCAGGGATCCTCTTCGGACATCTCCTTGTCGTCTGCTCAGTACTGCAACTCTGACGAGTGAGTGCTCGGGGTCGAGCTGAGAAGAGGTCTGTCTGACATGATGCAGCGAACCAACTTGTGAGAGCACCGGCGTCCACTCGCTCGAGGTTACTTCCTCTGCCCCTACCTTGAGCCCTCAGCAACCCCCCTTTCATCTCTTGCCTTTCTCTCTCATCCCATGTTTACGGTACCTTGTCCTCCTTGCCTCTCGTTAGTTTATTCTGCAGGAATCTTCGGACTTCCACAAGAGCTCCAGGTCCTCAACGTGGAACTCACTGTTGGACAAAGCAGAGCACATCCTCGAGCGGCAGGTTCTAGACGAGGTAATGTCGCTTGCCTTACGATTCCTCTGCTTTTTCTTCCTTTCGCTGTCGACTTCTTTCCTCCTTGGTCGGCTCCTGGTCCTCTGCGCTCATTTTTGTTGACAAACCAGGGATCCCACGCTTGCCAGACCTTGTCCCAGAGTGAATCGTCTTGTGCGTTAAAGAAGAGCCATGTACACAGACGCAAGAAGAAGAAGGGTGGCAAGGAGGTTGTTGAAGACAGGATGAGCTGTATCAAAGACTGACAAGTTTCTCTGTCCAGTCCTCTGTCATGCAGAAGAAAGTTGAAAAACATGATCCTCATTGCTCCGGCCGAACTACGGCAGAGGTTAGAGCAACTTTGTTGCAATTCTCGAATGATGCTGGGCGCAGATCAAACAATACATGCAGCAAAAGCGCCAGGAGCGAGAGAAATCAGCGAAGAAACAGAAAGAGTTGGACGCTCGCAAGCAAGATAAACTGGTGCGTGTGGCTGGAGCTTATGAGCTAATCCTCACACTTGACTCCATGATAGAAGTCGAATCTGGAACATCTCATGCAGACCGTCAGAAGCAACAGGGAGCATATCGGAAAGCAGGTGAAGAAACGAGAGATGGTATGGGGCTGATAAGCACTATTCGATACGGCGTCTGACTGCCTTGTTTCTCTTCAGGTCTCCAAGAAGCAAGAGAGTCTTCAGAGTGGATCGGAATCTTCGTGTGGGAAGCTTCCAAGTATGCACAAGTCAAAGGGACAAGACAAGAGAGTCATGCCGATGAGGAAGAAAGAAAAGGCGGAGAACTCAACGAGGGTGGCAAAGAGCTCAACCAACAGCGACTCGAGCGATCTCGAGGGATGGACCGACGACGAGTGGTTACAAACAAACTCTGCCAGGAGGTACTTGGACTTGGACCCTACCCTCCCTTTTCACCCCCCAAGGAAGTTCCTCGACAGCTTCGAAGAGAGCATTAGATCTGAACTCCTGGACATCCTCTCCGACCGCATAGGACTCGAACCCACTTTGAAGCGCAGGGACGAGAGGTTTGAAGACCTTGCGGATGTAGGCGAAGAAAAGCTCCCTGATCCGCAATCGATCATCGCCGCCTCTAGGAAAGCTGCCGACTCTCTGCTCCAATCCCTCGCTGCCACCATGAAGCCTCATACATCCACGATTCCTCCTAGAGAGACGCAGGCAGGCAATTTTGTGCTTGCTCAGGCCCTTGACACGCCGATGGAGAGAGGAAAGGAGGAGGAGGAGGAGGAGGAGGAGGAGGAGGAGGAGGAGGAGGAGGAGAAAAACGAGGGGCACAAGGAGCTGGGCTCGAGAGAATTTACAGGAGCTGACATTACGATCGAAGAGATCGACATAGAGGAGCTCGATCTCTCTCATAGACCATCTCAAGGTCACATTTCTGTTCGCGAAGAGGATCTACAAGATTCGAGGGACGCGCCGTCGCAAGGGAACATGTCGATGGAAGTGTCATCCCATTGTGAAGATGGGGCGGAGCTGTCAGCCAAGAGAGAATGCGATGAACTCGAAGAGAAAGACCTTGATTGGGTTATCATGTCAGAGGTTGATGAGGACCGAGATCGAAGGGAGCATCGTTGCGCTGTTGATCGCTCGGAACACTCGATCGAGGATTACATCCACCATCGGCAACTTGAGGATCAGGAGTACAGAGCCGTCATGGAAGAAGCTGCTCAGGGAAGCAACAAGTCTTCATTACACGTCAGTCTGATCGGTTCGCCGTGTGTTGACGCAAGAGATCGATCTGACGAGCTCGATGCGAACCAAGTCCTCTCCCCCCTGGAGCCCATCAACATTATGTCAGACGTCCCATCGCCCGTCAACGACGATCGGATCACCAGGGACGCGTTGAGCCTGATCAAGAGGTCGCTCGAGGAGGAGGATGGAACTTGCATGCAGCATTTCACTCTCCTGAGAATGCGGGAGCAGGCGATCGAAGAGAAGGCTTCGATTGAGCTTGACAGACTCTCTGCTGCGCGTGGCCAACTTGCGGGCCAACGTGATCGTTGCGCCCTGGAGAGTCTGGAGGAGATCGAGGAGATGGAAAAGAGAATTTTGTCGCAGCTGTCGGCTGAGAAGCGGGAGATCGCTGATCTGAGGCGGCAGATCAAAGAGGAAAGACGCCGAAAGAGATCGGAGCTTGAGAGGAGGTCGCAGGTCCTCGTTGAGATGAGGATGGACACGATCAGCTGCCAGGAGAAAGTGGAGCAGTCGCAGCTGGATGAAACCACATGTTGGAATCTCGAGGATTTGAGAAACTCTCCCAGCTGTCCAGGCACTCCTTCCTCTATGGTGGCACCTTCGCCAAGTCCCAACAAGCGAATCCCATCGGCCACGACGGGAACACCTTCATCCATGGTCGCCCAGAGCCCCTTGCCAGGAAAGGCAAGAGCTAGGCCCAAGTACCTTGATGAAGATGATTCGGAATTGATGGATTCGGTGATGGAGGATGAAAGCATAAAGGAAGGTTCAGAGGACGATTTGTCTGACTTAGAGGGTTCGGCGGTGAAGCGAGAGGGTTTTGCTCAGAAACTCAATACTTTGGAGGAATCGGTCCATCGCAGTCAGAATCAGGAGAACGAAACGAGGAATGGCGATCATCAAGACTTGTCAAGGGATGCGGAAACAATGCATCATACACACTTTGAAAAGAACACGTCAAACTTTACCTTTCTGACAGACAGTGCCGGCAGCTTCAGCCCTCAACGCCAAGGCATTGTGTTCAAAGATTCGGAAGACATTGGGGATATCAATAATTCTCCCTCCAAATCATTCTTGAATGGAACGAACAGCAAATTGATCCAAATCCAATTTCCGGTCCACCAGATCAAGAAACAGGGCACGTCTGACATATTGCAGCGAGAGGGGAGCCTGGACCGGTCGACGGAGGAGGCGGTCAGGGCGAAGGAGGACGAGGAGGCACGGGGCGCAGAGGTCATGGCAGGGGACGAGGAGCCCCAGGAGGAGGAGGAGGAGGAGGAGTCCGACAGGTGGGAGGAGGAGGAGAGCCTGGACCGGTCGACGGAGGAGGCGGTCAGGGCGAAGGAGGAGGAGGAGCCAGCCGAGAGGGGGGAGCCAGCCGAGGAGGAGGAGGCACGGGGCGCAGAGGTCATGGCAGGGGACGAGAAGCCCCAGGAGGAGCCTGCAACTGATGGCCTTGAGTCTTGTTTGGATGCCAGGCGCACCGAGGAGGCTGATGCTTCCATATTTGATGCGGTGATGAAGAGTCAATCTCACTACAAGCGAGCAAAACCTTCAAAGTTGACCGGGCTTGACAAGTTGACAGATGAGTTTGTATCGGACGAGAGCATCTCATCTCAGAATGACTCGGGGAACGGAGGAGATTCCATCAAGTTCCACTTCGACTCGCAGACGGATGCGGTGGATATGAAAGAGAACAATGCCCCCTCTCCCTCGAACCTCTCGCCACCTCAGCCTGTCAACTCGCCTTCAAGGGTTGCTTGTCTGTACCCCAAGCTGGGAGAGATGTCGCGCCTGAATCGCCTGGTGGACGAGCAAGCTCCGGCTCCGCGGGTCAAGGGGGTCGCAGAGAAGTTCGTTCAGCTCGAAAGAGGGGCGAATGGACAGGAAGATTGCAGCGGACGCGAGGGAGGCGGCATTCGATTCCCTGATGGAACCCCTGGTAGCCTTTCCCCCACTGTCGATTCTCCTCCCCTCGCGCCCCCGTCGGTTCACCAGCGGAAGCAGAAGCTTGACAGCGTGCCGGCAGTCTCAGACATGCTGCTGGACGAGCTCGTGTCTGACTCGCTCGCCATGGACCTCCGAGCTCCGAGCCAGCTTGACTCGTCTCCTCACAGCGCCAGCAGCTCGACCTCGTCGGATGCCCAGATCCTGTCGGGCTGGAACGAGCAAGACTTCTCCTTCCACTCGGATGATTCGGGAGGCAGCGCCCGCAAGGCAGCTAGCCTCCTGGATGAGAGGACCGTCTCCTCAAGGATACTTTTGAGCGCGGTGGAGGACCTCTCCTCTTGCCCGAGGTCGACGGCGTCTGCAGTCCTCTACGCCGCGGAGCTCCTGGACTCAGTGGACGACAAGGGCATGGAGGAGCTGAGGGAGCTCGACGTCATGACTGACTTCCTGAACAAGGAGAAGAAGTTCGCGGGGCGGCGGACGGAGGCCCAGCAGATCTTTCACAAGTTGCTCTTCGACCTGATGAACGAGGAGATCAGCAGGATGCAGAGGGCGCAGTCGGTCGTCAAGGGAGCAGAGGGGGTCAGGAGGGATCTCCTCAAGAGGATGGCAGAGGTATGCGCCTCCTCGGAGCTGACGGTCAGACATGCGCACGGGGACGGGAAGAGCGAGCTGGACTGGGAGCTGGAGGAGAAGGTGCTGGAGCGAGCTGTTGAGCGGTCCGTACTTGAAATGGACAACATCCTAATGGATATCAAGGCAGATGAGGAGCAGATCATGGCTGAAGTAGCCGACAGCTTGTTCGAGGAGCTGGTGCAAGAGTCCGTGGAGACTCGCTGTCTGGGCTAGCCAATTGGGAACCGATTCTTCACAGGTGATGTACATATAAACATGTTGCATGTGTGTGTGGCTGGTACTTCGAAGGTTTGATGAAACTAAGTAAATTTGAAACCGTCACCGAGTCCGCGTACCGCCGGCCGCCCAGTCAGGGGCCGCCCCCGAGGCGCACTCCCATGCCATGAGGCTCGAAGGGCCTGGCCACGCCCCGACTGTCGTGACCGCCGGCGCGGCAGCAGAACGAGCGGCCTCGGCGGACCATTCCGAGGCAAACTGAAAAGTTGTCTGCGGGCCAACCAGGCTGAAGTTTCAAAGTTTTGTAAGTTTCATATCAGGGAGCGAATTCTCAAAGTTTGACTGCGACAACTTCAAAGTTTAATTCTTAAGGAGATGATACCGGTGTAAAGGTGGTCCTAGGTATCCTAGTACCACATTCTACGAGCTTCCAAGGACCGCAGTTCATAGAAATGGTACACCCGACCGAACCCTCTAGGACCGAATTCTTAGGGCTCCATGGAGCCTAAAAATAGTGGGTATATTTGAATTCTCTGTGTGAAATGTTGAGAAGAGTTTTGAAATTATTAGATTGCATTTGAAAATCTCCTCCACATCTTCGCCACATCACAACTCCCTGCCGGCTCCAAAAAGCATCACCCCACCTCCTATTCCAAGGACCAAGTTTCGCTTACTACCCCACCCGTTCAAATATCTAGGAACATTTCTCACCCCCTTTCATTCACTGTTTACCCCCAATGTTACCATCCAATACTGGTAAAAGTCAAGGTTTTCATCACCCCCCACCCCCTGAGTTGTTCCTCTACCCCTGTCCTGAAACAACTACCCCCCAATTACCCTATCTCACTCCCACCTTTTGGATGTACCACCTACCATGTACCCTTCCAAGGCTTGCAAGAGTCCCGAAGGGAGCAGGTGGGGGTGGTCAGGAATCTGAAGTAAAGGGGTACATTTTAGTGGAATATCTGAGGTGGGGGATGTGACCCTACCCTTCGGCTTATGCCCCAACACTACCAACCCCTGTATAGCCTACCTCCACTATATAATCAAGGTAGGGTGGTGAGCCGGCCAACACACGAGGCCATGAAGATCGTCGACCGTCTCAAGGAGCGCAATGGCGCGCCGTTCTACTCCTTCGAGTTCTTCCCTCCCAAGACGCCCTCAGGTTTCTTCTCTTCTCCACCAGCTTCTCTCGCACCCTCCTCCCCTCTCCCTTGCATCCTTTCCCATGCTCTGTCGAACTTCCGCTTTCACTGCGTGCCCGTCACGATATCAAACTGTTCCCCGCTCCTCGTACAACTCCTCACTTATTGTCTGTCTCTGCATCTCTGTATCCAGCGCCTTGACTGACATCCTGCTCTTTCAGGTGTCTCCAATCTCTATGAGAGAGTTGAGCGTCTTGGCAAGTTGGAGCCCCTCTTCGTGGACATCACCTGGGGTGCTGGAGGGTCCACCAGCGACCTCACCCTCGAGCTCAGGTGACTGCCTTGTCAACAGCTCTTGCCCGTTGCTGACTCGTGATCTAGCTCCAACTTCCAGAGGCAGTTCAACCTCGAGACCCAGATGCACTTGACCTGCACCAACGTCACTAAGGAGACTGTGACCCAAGCCCTCCAGCAGGCGCGCGAGGCTGGCATCCAGAACATCCTCTGCCTCCGTGGAGATCCCCCCGCGGGACAGGAGAAGTGGGAAGCGACAGAGGGAGGCTTTGCCAACGCAGTTGACCTCGTCCGATACGTGAGGCAGCTCCACGGCGACTACTTCGGTATCTCCGTTGCTGGCTACCCCGAGGGGCACATCGACTGGTTCAAGGACACGCCTGAGATCTCGGAGGAGGACTACCGCAGAGATTTGCAGTACCTCAAGGACAAGGTGGATGCTGGCGCCGACATGATCATCACCCAGCTCTTCTACGACGTGGACGTCTTCCTCAAGTGGGTCAAGGACTGCCGCGAGATCGGTATCAACGTCCCCATTGTCCCCGGCATCATGCCCATCAACGCCTATGCTGGCTTCAACCGCATGACCGGCTTCTGCAAGACCAAGGTGCCCAAGGCGATCCGCGATGGCCTCGAGGCGATCAAGGACAACGAGGACGCGGTCAAGGAGTATGGCGTGCAGCTGGTGACCGACATGTGCCGCCGCCTCTTGGACAATGGCATCCCCGGCCTCCACATGTACACGCTCAATCTTGAGAAGTCGACTGTCGCCATCCTGAACAACTTGAACTTGTTGAAGAACACCACCAGCCGCCGTGCCCTCCCATGGAGGCCCAGGATCGGACAGAAGACCGAGGATGTCCGCCCCATCTTCTGGGCCAACCGCCCCCGTTCCTACAACTCCAGGACTATGCACTGGGACGAGTACCCCAACGGACGCTGGGGAGACAGCCGCTCTCCTGCGTTCGGGGAGCTGACCGACTACCACCTGACCCAGGTCCACACTGTCGACGAGGCTGACCGCAAGGCAGCCTACGGCTCCCAGCTCTCCGGCGTTGCCGACGTCAACGCCCTCTTCGCCAAGTTCCTCAAGGGAGAGATCAACAGGCTGCCGTGGTGCACTGCCCTCGACGTGGAGACCAATGCCCTCAAGGAGTCGCTCGCCAAGCTCTGCGACTCCGGCTTCCTCACCATCAACAGCCAGCCACGCGTCAACGCCGCCTCCTCCACAGACGAGGTCCACGGATGGGGAGGACCTGGAGGAGTCGTCTACCAGAAGGCTTACATCGAGATGTTCTGCTCTCCTGCTCACCTTGCTGCCATCAAGGCCGCTCTCCCCGAGCACAAGTCCATCCAGTACAGCGCTGTCAACACCAAGGGACAGTACGAGACTTCGGCCAAGAACAAGGTCAACGCAGTCACCTGGGGTGTCTTCCCCGATCGCGAGATCGTTCAGCCCACCGTCGTTGACGAGGAGTCGTTCCTGGTGTGGAAGGACGAGGCGTTCGGACTGTGGCTCTCGCAGTGGAAGAAGCTGTATGAGGAGGGCTCGAGCTCCGCCAAGGTCGTCCAGGACATCTACGACCAGTACATGCTGGTCACGATCGTCGACAACGACTTCATCAACGGGAACATCTTCGCCTTCATGGACTCGGCTGTTGCCAAGCTCGGGAAGTGAAGGAGCTGAGGAGGAGACATGGGGATTCGATTCTTTACAGGTTTTCTGAGGATGCGATCCGTCTAGCCACGTGCATGTAGAGGATGAAGGGCGCAGGAAGCTGTTTGTCCTGCCATGTACCTGCCGTAGGCGCATTGTAGTTCGAAGATCACGTTGTTGTATTAAAGTAAAACATTCAAGCAAAGTTAAGAGCTGTGATCTTTCTCACCTCGCAATGCTGAAGGTGTTGATCTCAACCTCACCAGCTTCGTTGTCATGTCACTCAAACTGTTCTGCTGGGCATCTTCGACGAGCTGAACATAGATCCTACATTCACAAATGCATTGTCGACTGGAGAAACTTGTAAAAGGCGTGGGGGTACTTTTTCATAGCAAACAGGGGGTAGTGGGTGAGGGTTATAAACCCATCAGGCCAAAATGCGCTCAATGGCGGAGGGAATGTTGGTGATGGCGCTGGTGATGGCGATGCAAGGTAAGAGAGGACGAGGAGGGAAAGAGAGAAAGAGAGCTAGAAGAGACGATAGGAGGTCGGAGAGGGAGCAAGATGATGAGATGGAAGAAGCTGTGAGGAAAGAAGGGAAAGACGGGGAGTACTGCAAGAATGCCTCTGACTAGAACCTTTTTTGGAGCAGGAAGCGTCTCCACCTTCTCAGTACTTCCCAACTATGGCAATATGCGGAGCTCTCAACGAGGAGAACAGATTTCAACGTGCCAAACCCGGACAGCACTGGAAAAGCTGATCCGCCAGCGATCCACGTTGAGTTTGGAGGCGAAGAAGAAAAGGGATGGAGAGGTGGAAGTGTCGAGCAAGAGGAAGGAGAAGCAGCTGATCGCTGACATTCAAGACTTGGTGGGTCAAGCTGGTATCGGTTTCGATGCATCAAAGCAAGATGTCGAGCGGATGGACAGCATGCTGAGCGAGCTTGAGGAGTTTAACGCTGTGGAAAGCCCGACGAGGAGCGCGAAGCTGTGGGGGAGATGGGAGCTGGCGTTTACCAACTCTCCCGCCATGGTGAAGAACAGAGGGCTGACGGGCTTCGGGAACTTTCCCTTCATGAAATTCAAGAGCATCACCCAGACTTTGAGCAGCACCGGCGTTGCTGAGACGGAGGAGGTTAAACAGACACTTGGATGAGATGATGATGATGGTGGTGATGATGGTGGTGGTGATGATGATTACGATGACAATAACGATGATGGTGATGATGATGACAAGGAGAATGAGGAGGAGGTGTGGATGACGATGGCGCAGGTTCTGCTCATGCCCGTCACAGGAGCACCAGTGACGAGTGTGCTACAAGGAAACATCACGGTGGTGAACCAGCAGGTGGCGCAAGCTCCTTCCTCTTTTGCATGCAACGTGTCCTCCTTCTCCACTCTGTCCTTACCTCTTCTTTCCTCCTCCCTCTCCTTCTCCTTCCTCTCCTCCTCCTCTTCACATTCACATTCGCGCAGGTGTTCGAGCAAAGCTACGAGAACGTCAACTTGGCCTCCGTCCTCAAGGCGCAGTCGCAGATCGTGGGCTCGGGCGTTTTCTTCAGGTACAAGGAGGAGCATCCTAGACGTGGATCGCTGACTGGCAGCCTGACAGCAAAGCTGTTCTTGCCATCACGTACCTCTCTGAAGGTGGGAAGACCCTCTCGCCTCGTCTCCATCCTCAGCTCCCGACCCTGATCGTCCTTCGCCCTCATCCTCATTTCACCTCTGGATGCCCCTCCCCTACCCCTCCTACTTTTTGTCTTCATGTTGAAAATTATTTGTCTGAAGCACGATAGCGCAGACCTCCGAGTGTGCAGGAGCCCGTCAGGAGCATTCTTCTTGTTCAGGAAGTCAAGGTAGAGTGGAAGTCAAAGGGAAGTCAAAGGGCTGGGGAAGGGAGGGAGGTACGAGGAAAGACGAAAAACTCGAGATTTTAATGAAACCAACGAGAAACTCGAAGCTCTGCTCTCCCCTCGTGATGTTCAGGCTTGAATTTACTTGTTCTCCTGCGCCCACTTGATGCCCTTCTCGACCTGGAAGCGCATGTCAAGAGATCCGGCGGCACACGAGGAGCTGGAGGAACCTGAGCGGTGAGGTCGGGCAACATGTCGTTGATGAGCTTCTGCTCGTAGGCGTTGACCTCTCCGTATCTGCAGCAGCCTCTCACCTCGCCCTCTCACCCTCCTCCCTCTCCGTCCTCACCCGTGGATCTGCTCAACTCCGTTCTTGCCGAGGGTGACAGGGGAGGAGAAGAACTTGCCTGCCATCAAGGTCACCTCCTTAGAACGCGAGGGGTCGGGAAACTCACTAGAGGTAACGGTGGACTCGACGAAGGTGCACTCAGTGATGCCGGTCTTGCCATCGAGGGCAGCCATGACCCTGACCCAACGTCACGCCAACGATCGCACAAGAGCACGAGACGCACTTGTCGGCGAACTCAGCTCCAGCGAAGGCCATGGAGAGGGTGGCGGATCCTCCTCCAGCCTTGGCCTGCCACCATGTGAGCCCTCGGCCGCTCAAGCGAAGAATTGAGATCGGATTCGAAGAATCGCTCCAACAATGAAAAAAGGAAACACAGCAAAAAAATGGAACAAGAGGAAAGGGGGGGGTGGGGGGGGGGGGGGGGCCGGAGGAAGAGGGGGAAGCCCTGAGGGAGAGCAGGAGGAGGCCCTGAGGGTGAGGAGGGGGGAGGCCCGTGAGGAAGAGAAGGGGGAGGGGAAAACGCCCCTTACCTTGAGAACTTCGTCTCCTCCGAACATGATGCGGTTGGTCAAAGCATCACGCTCAGCGTCGGGGAAGGAAACCTTCAACAGCGTCAAGAGGGGACAAGAACGCAGGTGGTCTGGTCACCTTGGGCTCGGCACGCGAGATGAGGGGAACGATGGTGGTACCAGCGTGTCCTCCAATGACCGGGATGGTGACCTGAAGTAGGTGAGAAGCAGAGGAGAGGAGAGGAGAGGGGAAAGATCGAGGGGAGATGGAGAGAGGAGAGTTAACGAGCACATGGAGTTGAACAGCCAAGAGGGTAGTGGAAGGAAGAGGCATCACCTTGTTGACGTCGAGGCCCTTGGCCTGAGCGATGAAGGTGCGAGCACGGACAACGTCAAGGGTGGTGACACCAAAGAGCTTCTTGGGATCGTAGACGCCCTTGCTCTTCAACACCTGCAACATACAGTGAGCTCTTGGTTCTCCTCCCTACCTCCTCATCATCCTCCCACGGACCTCGGAAGCGATGGGAACAGTGGAGTTGACAGGGTTGGAGATGATCAAGAGGCAGGCCTTGGGGCAGGCCTCGGCGCAAGCAGCAACCAAGTTCTTGACGATGCTTGCTGGTGGAGAAGTCAGCACCAGCAGCTATTATATGGCGCTTGGTGGAGGAGGCACCGTTGGTGTTGAAGAGATCATCACGAGTCATGCCGGGCTTGCGGGGAACACCGGCAGGGATGACAACAACCTGAAGACCAAGTCAAGGAAGGAGCGCGCCGCCGCTTACGCATGCCTGGCAGCCATCGAGGGCCTTCTTGAGGTCCTCTCCGGAGTATCCAGTGCACTTGGAGTTGGAGGAGCAGTGGGAAAGATCGGCCGCAACACCTTCATGCCATCGTCAGTCGTTTGTGCGAGTAAGAGCACGATACTAGCCAACCAGGAGTGACAGGAGCAACATCGTAGCAGGTGAGCTCGGTAACGCGGGGGTTGAGCTTGAGGAGGAGGGAGAGGGGCTGTCCAATGCCACCGGCAGCTCCGAGGACGCTGGGTCATGGGATCAGAATCTGGGGGATCTGAAGACTAAGGTCTAACCTGCACTTGAATCCTCGCTGCTGCTGGGAAGCAAGGCTGCGCTGTGAACAAAGTAAACATCTAACAGAGGATCGCCATGCGAGATTTCGAAGGAGGAAGAGGAGAAGCAAAAGGAGGGCGAACACTTAAGGAACAAAGCAGGTGGTGGTGGTGATGGTGGTGCTGGTCGAGGAGGAGGAGGAGGATGCAGGGCGTCTTACAGTGAGGGAGCGGGAAGCGGTGGCTCTGAGGGAGGAGAGCATTGCGATGGTTGAAACCAGGTAGGGTGGGGGTATTTTAAAACGATGGGTGGGGGTGGTAATCAATGATTGGTAGAGGGGTGGTATACCAACGTGTTCAATTTACCTTACGACTGAACGGGTCATAGGTAGAAGGGTGGGGTAGTCAGATACCGGTCGGGGTCATTTGCTGTACGAACAGCAGAAGAGATGAAGCAGTCGATTATGACCCCAACGTTTTGTTGGCAAGGGGAGAGGAACCCGATTCAGGGGGGTCTAAGACAATTGATTGGGGGTAATGAGTTGGTGGGGTCATACGATAAGGGAGGGAAAGGAGGCGTAGACGTCATCAACAGCCCAAAGAGGGGGTAGGCTGATTTATAGTGGGTAGGGGTGGTAATCGACAGGGAAGGACATGATCGTCGAGGGTAGTAATAAGCGAAGATCACGTGGGGCGGGGGTGGGGGTAAAGGAGCCATCTGAACGATTTTGCTGGGGTAGGGTTGTAATTTTAGAAGGTAGGGGGTTCGACATTCTTTCTTGGGCTGTCCATCATGTACTTTTGCTCGATACTTCAAGAGTAAATATTGCTATACCCAATCACAATTGTCCTTTTCTGAGAAAGATGAGACATTTAGGGGGTAGTGGTAGGTAATTGGAGGGTACATCTCGTTTGGGTCCTTTGCTTGAGACCTCTTAGGAAGTGACGAAAGGGGGGTGATTACCCTACCCCCTATTCTACCACATGACATCTTTATCACCCCCCATTTGATTTGATTTACTACGGGTGAAAATCACCCCACCCTCGCAATAGAATCACAGCAGTACCCCCTCTCTATTTCTTACTTCAATCCGCGGGCGGCGGCAGGCCCCGATCACCGGGCCCGCCCCTTCAATCGAGTACCAAAAGAGTCAGCCGGGCCCCCGGGCCCGATGCCGGCACCCGCCGGTCACACTCAAGAACCACCTGAACACCACCACCCGGCGGATATTGGTAAATCAGACCCCTCCTGTTCCCTGGTAACCCCAACATGCTGGGGAAGTTTGCATGGCTGATCCGAGTAGCTCTGATGGCGGGGGCGCTAGGGGTATCGGCATCCTCTGAGACATGCGACAAGAGCAGAGGAGAGACGTGTGAAGACTCTCAAGGAAGATCAGACCTTCTGGCTTGCGGTAGCTGCTACGGAGCAGAGAGTGCAGAGATACCGTGCTGCCAAACGTGCAAGGATGTACAGGAAGCATATCGCCTGAAGTGAGGGTTGGAGGAGGAGTAGAGATATCTCCTCTTGGTGAAATTTATCGGCAGATCTTGGGCTTGGCCGGGAAATGGAGCTGTCGCTCAGTGTAGGAATGGAGCAGCTCAGGTGAAAAAGAGGGAGGATCGGGGATTGGCCTTTGTGAGGAGAATGACTGAGAAGAGAGAAAGAAAGAAATCTTGACTGCAATCAGCTAATGTCTCCTTCAAATTATTTCAGACCATCCAAGCCGATCCCAACTTGCCATGTGGAGCTCATCGTGGATGCGATTCTTGCCTTGCTTCGAATTGCGCATGGTGCATCGGATCAAGGAGGTTTTGTGCATGCTCTGCAGCGGTCGCCTACTCTATTGACACTTGGCGATCTGAAGATGCGTGGAAGACAAGGCTTGGATGTGTGCTGGTGAGAACGATCACATAGGAAATGCTGGAGTTGTCAAGAGCTGCCCCCACCGCGACGAGGTAGAGAAGATGAAGTAACAAGGGTCCTCACTGAGACGTTCAACTGGCAGATCTCGAAGAAACGCGAAGCGCGGCGGAGAGAAGAATTACTCGCCATGGAGGAGAGGCAGGCGGCCTCCCGACTGGAGAAAGAAAACTTGCAGGAGGCCAAGCACAGGTCTGCCAGCCTCCCCCCACTTGGCAAGTCGTCATGAAGCGTTGCAGAGCTGAGCAACGTCTGGCTGAGCGACAGCAGTCGGAGCTAGAGAGACTGAGGGGACAGAATGTCGATGAGGGTGAGGTCAAAGGGTTTACGGTTACTCTGCTCACATGTGCTGCCGGTAGACAAGAAAGAAGCTGTAGACGAGGAGGAGATCAAACGTCGAGCTGCAAACTTTGGAGATGGACAAAAAGATCCATACGGAGTCCTCAAGCTTCCGAAGGACTCCCAAATGACGGATATTCGCAAGGCGTACCGAAGGTTCCCTCGTGTTTGCCGATGAAATTCGCTGAGAGAACCGACAGGTTGAGCCTTCAGTTCCATCCGGACAAGATTTCCGACGGGAGGCTCAAGGAGGCAGCTCAGAAAGCTTTCATGGATGTGGTGATGAAGCCTTGCTGCTGGATGATCTGCCTAGAGACGCTCGCCTTATCTTGTCCCTGTGAAGGTCGCGGCCTATGAAATTCTCGGGGATCCTGACAAGAGGGCTGCCTTCGACGATCTCGGGGGACAAGACCAGGTGAAGTGCCTCCTGACAGCATGCCCGCGATCTCATGAATGCTTTTGAGAAGGCTCAGTTCAACACCTTCTGGGAATGGGAGATGTACGGAAAGAAGGGCTCGTCAAATGACTTCTACAACGGAGAAACCCTCATCTCGAAATTGACCGAAAGTCTCTGGCCCAGGTGAGCAAAGAAGCAGCAGGAAAGTCATCTTTAATGCGCTCTTTCTGTAGACGAGTCATCGGAGATGCCATCTGGCTCGTTGAGTTCTATGCTCCTTGGTGTACAGCCTGCGGTCATTTCGTGAGCACCTACAAGAACGTTGCCAAGGCCTTGGAGAACGATGATATCGAGGTGACTTGGTCATGGGCATACGCAGGATCCAGACTGACGCATTTGAGGACAGGTGGGAGCTGTCAATTGTGTGAATGAGAAAGGGATCTGTGGCGAATGGTTCAGCATTGGATCCTATCCCTCCCTCATGTTGATCGGATCTGCTGAGAGAGGAACTCAACAGATATACTCGCAATCGCAGTCTAAGGACCCTGACAGCATCATCTCGTGGGCTCGTGCGGTGCGCATGCTCGCACCTCCAGTACCTTCTTGTGACTTGTTCTGCGCTGCAGGTGGCCAAGGAGTGGAAGTGGCTCTACTCGCAGACTGACGTGCCAACGTTCAAGACTTCTTCGGACTTCAGGGATAACGTCCTGGGATCGCTGGACCTCTGGTTTGTTGTCTTCACAGACGGGGTGTTCTGTGGGCCCTGTCGCACTGCCATCACCAACTTGCTCAGACTTGGTGCTGGTGTCGCTGGGCTGGCCAAGGCTGCCATCGTAGACTGTGAGGCAGACGAGATGCATGGCCTCTGTTATGATGATATCAAGCTGCCTCCACCTCCTCACTCCCCTGAGATCAGAATCTTCCGCAAGGGACCCAAGGACAACACAACAGCACCAAATTACTATGGGGAATGCCTGTTTGATGCCCATGACGTACAGCCTCATGTCGCTCTCAAGCTGGCGGAACTTGTAGCGAGGAACGCCCTTGCTGACGAGATGCCGAAAGAGGCTCTGTTTGCTGCTGGGGGGAAGGGTGAATATGAAGATGGTGATACGAGGCAAGGGAGCGGAGAAAGACCTCAACCAATGTGGAACGGAAATTCGGAATCAGATCTGCCTCGGGGGATAGCATGGGGTGGTCAGCAACAGAACAGAGGAGGGGTCCACCAACAAATCGGCCATTGACGTTGGTTCCCTCGCCCTAGAAGACATACCCATCCACTCCTCAGGTAACCCCACAGCCTTTGGCCGTATTGTTGGCTTTCGTGGCGTGGCTGCTTTCTAGGGCGGGGGATGAAGCAAGCAGAGCGCTGGCTGTTTCTCAATTCCAGCACAGGATCGAGAGAGAATTGTGAATAGCAATCCTCAAGGTCTCGCACTTGTTGTAAATCCCAGTTGTTGATCGAGGCTTCTTCATCAAGAAGGAAACTCTTAACAACTTCTCCAAATATCAGATGTAGAAGTCTGGACTGACAACGCATTCTTTAACGATGTAATGAACATCCGATTGATTTTTGTTTCATGCAATTTTTATCACAGCAGAGTTTTCATACCGTTTTTCAAGGCAATAATCGAGGTTTCTTATTCGCAAAGAGAGCCGTTTGTGAATTCGAAGAGCAGTTCTGCGCCAAGCCTGATTTTCCAAGTCCTGAAGGCTGCAAGAGTCCTCTATTTGCTATCAATGTTGTGTTGGGTGAAATGAGTGCACTACGGGGAGTGAACGAAGGCCTTGGCAGCGATTGTGTCGAAGGCGTGACTTGTAACCGCTGATTCCCAGGAGTCTGTATTGCACTTTGTTTTGGTGGGAAGGAAACCTGCAACGTAGTATACTTAGTGTAAGTCTTGAAGAGCAAAATTGTGAACAATTCACCAATGTCTTATTTCCCAGGCCAAATCGCTGTGCAACAGATACAGAACGGTTTAGTGCTTCACTATCATTGAACTTTGGGGTTGCTAGGGCTGGTGTTTGATATCTGCTCATTGAATTCGGCGATGGTTTGGAATTTTTGACCGTGGAAAAGGAAGGAGATGCTTGTTTAGAAACTGGGCGTGATGCGATGGGAGAAGGAGGTCTTGAATTCAATCTGCTGTTTTGCTGATCTCTTGATATCGCGGTCTGGTCGCGAGGTAATGATTTTGGGGTAACGGCACATTGAAAGTCAGCCTGCAAAGCCCGTACGGAGATGTCATTATTCAAAGCGCTTTGAGAAGTACCTGGCTTTGAATCAGTAATGACAACGAATGATATCAAATTACTCAAAGATGCTTGGCTCCTTCCCACACATTCATTGGAACGCAAAAGCAGCTTAGGTGGTTGTGCAGAGAGACCGGAATGTGGAACCAAAGGCCTATGAATTGTCAGGTCACTCTACATTAGTAGATCTCAAGTACATCTTCGATGAGATTTCTGAGTGAGGCTGACAACTGAAGGACTCCGTAAATTACTGAAGTGCAGTCGAGAACAAGAACCTTTGATTTGTTGTGAAGGAACGTTTACAGCTTTCTGCAAATTGAACCGCAGCGTCTCTTTCCTCCCTAGCTCTGGAAGCAACTCTTTGATAGTGAGCGATCTGGAACTAAGCACCCTCGAAATCATTTTCATTGAAAGAAACTCTACGCAAGTCAACCTGCACAGCCTGCTTCAGATTCGATAGGCCCAAGTCTTCAAGAAACATGAATGCTAGGTGTTGCGGAATCCTTTGGAAGGGTACTACTTGAAATCCTTCCTGGACTCCACACTGGGGACAAGTTCCAGCATCTTTGTGGCACTGAGCAGCAAGATGTCAATAATTGCGCGGTATGATAAAGATGCAGTTTCAAGTGGGTATCCCCGCCTTGTTGCCTTGAAAGAAAACAAGAGAAGACAACAACACAAAAAAGAAAGATAAACATGTAAATAACCTTTTGACAGAAAATGTGTCCGCATGTGGAGAAGTAGCCGTCTCCTTCTGCTGTCTTGCTCGTGCAAACTTCGCAGTATTTGAGCATTGCGATGCCACAAACTTTCGCGCGGGAAACCACCACCCTACACTTTCTAGGACCCATTGTTTCCCATCCTAGCACCCACTCCTTGTACTCCAAATGACTGTCCTACCCCCTTCAAGAGTGCTAAATGAGAACCAAGGGGTGGTGAAAAAGTGTACCAAGTAAGATGGAAGACCAGAAATATGGAATCCGGGTCAATGCAGGGGTACTTTGATGACTTCAACGAGGGGTGAAGAAATTTAGGCAGACGGGGTAGGGGTTGTCCATGAAGACCACCCTACGGGATGTATGGCTGTTCCCCATGGTAGTTCAAGGGGGTGGGGTCAACAAGGCGGTAGTGGCAGGACTGAAGGGTGGGGGTAGTGCGAAAGCGGCGGCGGCGCGAGCGACCATGACGGCAATGGAAGAAGAGGCGCCTCCTCCTCCTCCACAGGTTGGAATGGCGAGATTAGCGATGGAAAGACTCATGGTGTACTTGTGGAAAGCAAGGAGAGAAAGTTCTTGGTGGCAGTGTCGCGTGTTCGTTGTTTGTGTGAGTGATGTGCTGCAATGTTGTGAAGGATCCTCCGTGTACGGAGGAGGGAGATGAGATGATGTGAGGACATGTGCTTGACGTTTGAAAGGAGTTGTGGGAGGGTGGTAGAGGAAGGGGAGCTAAATCCGCAACCCAAAGTTCTGAATCTAATACTGAAAACAGGAGGAGGAACTTCCACCCAATCAAACACTCTACATTAGAAATATCAATGAGAAATACAGCAAGAAATTTAGGTCTTGAAGCTCTTCGAGCGCATGACAACAGTGCTGACTTGGTATGAAGGCTTGAGGAATTGAAGGCGAAGTTGAAAGCCATCTTTCGCCCTTATGGAGAGATACTAGATATTGTGGCGATGAGGTAATGGATCAAAATGCTTGGCAGTCTTTCCATCTTACGTTGCCGTTAGCAACTTCTATAACAAGGGACAAGCATTCGTTGTGTTCAAGGACGTCGCGTCGGCAACGAAGGCCATGAATGGACTGCAGGCACTTTCCCTCTGAAGAGCACGAGGACATTGCTGAAATAACTTGCAGGGACACACTCTTTCTCTCACTTCGGTGGGAGGAGGGAAAGAGATGAAGATAAAATATGCTCGATCTAAGAGTGATGTGATTGCGAAGTTGGAGGGAACCTTTGAGGTGCGGAGAGGCGATGTCGACAAGCACTACGAATGAATTGTTCTCCTGCAGCCCAGGGCCAAGAAAACAAAAGCGTTGCCTCCAACAGGAAAGAAAGTGGTACTCCTTCCTCTGCCTTGGGTCTGCACCTTATGACTTCTGGGCGCTGCAGAAGAAGGCGAAGGCGGCAGAAAGTGGTGAAGGTGAAATGGAAGAAGATGCGGAGCAGATGGACGAGGATGATGAGGATGGAGGGGACAAATCGTAATCCATGTCTAATAGCGTTGTTATCAGCTCACGTCTTGATCAGGAAAGGAAATGCCCATGGAGGTTGGCAGGCGCCCTCAGGACAGAATCAGAAGTCTGCACCTCCAGCACCCGTGCACACTGGCCCACTCTTTCCTCATCCTATCCTCTTCTTGGAGAATCTTCCGTTGGATATCACGAGCGACGATGTTGCAGCGGTCTTTTCACCGGTACTCAAGATTTGTTCTGCTGCTCGCAGTCATTGACGGCTGAATGTGCCAAACAGTTTCCTGGATTCAAGGAAGTACGTCTGGTTCCTTCAAGGCCAGGAATCGCTTTTGTAGAGTACGAGAGTGATGTTCAATCCGGAATGGCAATGGCTCGGTTGCAGGTTGGATGAATGTTTGGGTGTTTTTAGCACTCTTCTGAATTGATCGTATCAGGGGCATAGATTTGGCGAGTTGCAGACAAAGATCGCTTTCTCGAAGGCATGAAAGACAAGAAGATACATTGAGGTATACCTTTGGAAGAATAAAATGAAATTGACAAAATGATCCTGTCAGTAGTGTACATTTGATAAGAGTGTCTCAAGGTCTCGAGAGTGGCAAACTCATTGTAAACTTTTGTGCCTTCTTCACCTGCAGCATGTTTGCTTCAGTTGTACATACCGAAGGCTTTGAGGGTAACCTGGAGAGAATTCTCCTTCCACTCCCTGTAAGCATGTTGGACGCGCCGACTCGCGTAATCTTCCGCTGCTGTTGGAATTCTAGCATACAGAGTCGTCAGGGGTCGATTGCTTCGCTCCTCCACTCCCTACCTTTCTGGCTCCACCGTCACGGTCATCGATTTCGCGCTCTCTGTCCTGTTGACGCTGTCATGCATCTTGGCGTCGTCGTCGTCATCGTCGTCCAAGGTGTCTATCGCCAGCACTCTCTTGACACAGGCCGAGAAGGTGTCGTAGTACTTGATGTGATCATTCACGACGGGGATGTGCAAGTCCTTGATGATCTACAGGCAGCACAGAGATCAGTCGCTGCTCTGCTAGCAGATGCACTCACTTTCATCAGGTTCGTCTCCGTGATGTACTCAGATTTCAACCCGAGAGGAGGGCTCAGCCTCCTGATCATCTCAGGGATCAGAGACACGTGAATCTTCCCCCGCGCATGCGGGTCCAACTCAGTCCAGACGTCGACGAACTCGTTGAGCTGTCGCGCTCTTGTCAGAGGCCCGACAAGATGTCAACAACGGCAGCACCTTGTCGATGGGGAGGACCGACGACTCTTCTTTCGACAGCTCCGCAAAGTTCTCGATGATGACAGCTGCGGGGATGGTCAGGCTGTCGACAGCGTTGGGGCATCGGAGGCACCTGTGAAGAGCTGAACGAGCACGTAAGCTCCCAGGACTTGCCACATGACGTGGAAGGCGATTCCGATCAAAGGGCTTCCACATCCGTCGTTGAGAAAGGGGTCGTAGGCAAGGTTGCAAGCCTTGTATGGGTCAGCCTGTTCCTCTAGTGAGATTGAGATCGAGGGCATGAGATCACTATGAAACATCGAACGTACCTGCATGCAGTAGAACATGATACCATTCCACGCTTCTCCTGTAGTTTGGCGAAACAAGAGGAAAATAGCGCTGTCAATGGTCTGATAGCTCGCAAGGTCCGTCATTCGCCCATAGGCATCCTGGCCCACGTTAATGTTGTAGAAGAAGTTCACACCAACAACCTGACAGAAGTGTAAATGGAAACGCTCACAGGTCAGACACTTACGGCGAAGATGATGAGCGAAAGAAACAGTACAACTCCAATATTCCAAAGAGATGGCAACGACTCTATCAATGTCACAAGTAGCTGCCTGATCCCTTTTGTCCGTCGAACAAGTCGAAACACCTTCGCAGTATTGTTTCAGCGCTCAACAATGCATTTGCGGCATGTATCACCCTAACAATCCGCAGAGCTCTCAGTGGTTTCAACCCCGGAAACTTCAATCTGTTCGTGGAAATCAGCAAATGCCAATCATGCACTGCATGTATGAACTCACGATACTGCTCCACTCACGGTACAACTGAAATCTCCTCTCAGGAATTCGAGCGCAATGGTAACGACAGAGATCAACACAACAAGAAAGTCCAAGTTATTCCATGAGTCGGAAAAGTACCAACGGGGACCAAGACCAATCATTTTGATGGTTGCTTCAGAAACAAAAATGAAGGTGAAACAAAAGTTGATCCAGAATATGATGGCGGTCATGCAAGCATCTTGATTGTAAGTCCGTAGTAACTGCAGCAGTGTGAGTGGAGACAGCAAGATCCATCATATGATCACCATAGCCAAGACATTCAGGCAAATGGATGCTGTGATGAAATACTCGAAATACTTGTTGTTGCAAACATTGAAGAAGAAATTTCTGAACTTATTTGCAGGTCCTGTCACTCTTTTGATCGGCTTCATGCTGAAAATAATTCTGCGCATCTCTCTCCACTCCTGCTGCTCAGGGGTGATAAATCTGAAGCGCAAGTGAACAACATGAAAATTACTTTCCTCAAACAGAAGCACTTACGGTGTGATGCCATCATTGGCTCCCTTGATCCTCACGTAGTTCTTGATCACCTCAGCCACAATGAGGTTGAGCAGCACAAACGCTCCGAGGATGATGTGCAGGACGCAGTAGATTGCAAACCAGGGGTTCTCATTCGGAATCGGCGTGATGCCAGGAGCGACGACATCAACGGCAGCGAACATGACATCCATCCATCCTTCTGTCGTGGACATTTGAAAGAGCGTGGACAAGGCTTGGGCAAGGTTGTCGAAGGAATAATTCTTGTTGAGCCAAACACCAGGAGAGCTAGTCTGTTGCCCGTATGTACCAGCGTCGACACAGTCAATGATGGAAGGAACAGACGTATTTCCAGCCATTAGAGGAGCTGCCGTGTAGAGATTTGCAAGGGGAAAGAACGTCGTACCTAGAAATGTCTGTGCTCCTTCGTTGACACACCTACAGAAATCTTCAGAAGACTTGAGACATTTTCCCTGCTATCACCTGTACAGTTTTCCTCGAAAGAACTGCACTCCCAACATTGCGTAAATCACAAACCAGAACAGAACAACAACAAGAACGTTGAGCATCGCTGGGATGCTTGATAGCAAACATACAACTGCAACCCTGAGGGATTTGTTCCGCTTGATCACGCGCAATGGCCTCAGGGCGCGTAGCGCACGAAGGACTTTGAACGATTTAGCGTTTGCGCTCCCACCAAAGGAGCTCATCATAGAAATAATGACAACAAGACAGTCCAGCACGTTCCAAGAGCTCCTTAGGTAGGCGTACTTGTGAAAAATCAAACCATCCACCATCATCTTCAAGACCATCTCTGAGAAGAAAATCAAGGTAAATATCTCGTCGAGAAGTTCGAGAATGAACACTCTCTGGGCAACGTAACAGCAGTCTGGGATCTCTTCTGTCTTTGAATCGCACGCCGGCCAAACTTTCCCGAAATTGGGATCCCCGACATTTCGAGGACAGTTGATATTGACTGTCTGCCCTGAAACAGCTGCTGGTCCCGTGCAGTTCAAGACTTGAGGAGGCATGGGACAAGCTTCTGCGAAGAAAGAACTGTCTGGACGTTCAATCAGCAAGGTAATGCTCGTAGCCAGGATACAACTGAGAATAAATGTATCGAACACCGGATTCTGCACAAACCTCGCAATAAGGATTCTCAACTTGTTCTTCCTTTTGAAAATACCAAATGATCGGTGATTTGCAATCTTGAGCTTTTTCACTTTTCCGAACACTGTCACTTCGAAAACCCAATCCGGGTCTTCGACATCCTCTGGATTTTGATGATCCTTAGTTGCAAACTCTGCAAGGTTTTCATTGAAGATAGTTATATTCCTTTGAGCCTCAGGGTCAATCGATGCTCCGTCCAGTATCGGCAAAGTTTTAGATCGCCTCCGAAACCCTTTCAAAATATCCCGGAAACCCCTGGCCATTTTGCTTGCCAGTGATTGCTGAGGTTTTTTCTCGAGCGCGTTCTCCTCTGAATCAGTCTCCCCGAATCCCTGAAATAAAATTATTTCCATGGTACGGAAACATTTACATCTCTCGCGCTCTCTCGCTCTCTCGCTTTTCTTGTCTTTTCTCTCTCGCTCTCGCTCTCTCTATGGATTTTAAAGAAGGGGAGGGTTTGGGGGGGTGGGGGGGCGGCTAGGTGCAGAGAAAAACACAGGTAGACGGTAACAAACTACAGCACTTTACCTGGAGCAGAATTGAGATGAAAAGGTTCATGATGATGTAGTTGCCAAACGCAACTATACAGATTGTCAACCAAGCATTCCATGGACTGCCAACGTCCGTTGCAGTCATCGAGTTGTACATAATGGTGTTCCAGTTTTCAGTCGAGATGATCTGAAACACAATAAAGAAAGCTCCATGTCCTAACGCGGATGGTGCAAAGGTATCAAAATTACTGCGAGGAACGTCAGTCTTGACGTAGTGGAATCGACCGCCAAAAAACTGCATCGCGAGGAGTGCAAAGATGTACATGAACATGACCCAGAAGATGGTAAGTGGCCCCAATGATGATAACGCACGAAAAAGTGAAGAGATAATCTTTCGCATCTCTCCCCAAGACTGAGCGAGTTTCAACAATCTGAGCATTCGAAGACCTCTTAGCGCAGAGAGTGTAGATCCATTCGAGGAAGTATTGACTGCCCCTAATATCAACTCAATGATGCTTCCGAAAACTACCAGGAAGTCAAATCTGTTGTAACTATCAGCAAAGTAATCCTTGAAGCCAAATGCGATCCATTTTAGAATCATTTCAGAAATGAATACCATGGTGAGAGCGAAATTCGTCTCGTCCAATACATGGTTCAACGTTGTTGGGAATGTGGCACATTCGTTGAGACCATCTCCGCAGACATGTCTCATTCCAATCCTCTGCATCCTATCCGGATAGATCACGTCGCTCTGATATACAAACGTATAGGAATTATACAATGCCAGCATGCACGTTCCATTCACTCCCACGTCAGGAAAAAACACACAGCCCACACCGTGAGAGACCTGAGCATTCGCACAGTCTCCTTCATTCGTGAACTGAGAGCATGCTTGTTGATCAGGCCAGAATTCAGCGTCTCTTTCCATGAAGCAGAAGGTTGACTGATCTGGTTTCTGACCGCCTCCTTGGCCATCTGTGTCCCAGCTACGATTAAAGAGTGGTCCTCGACAATGCGACGTAGCATTTGCTGGGATGGTAGGATCGATCTCACACCTTCGCTGACAGATGTTTGACTCGAACAGAGTTTGATCGTGATAGTACATTGCCATGACTATGGTGTTCATCACGATCGCGAACAGGACAAAGTTTTGAAACCAAGTGTGAAGTACTAAGACTCGAACTGCAGATCGTGCTTTCTGGATGCCTGAGCTAATTCGTTGTAAATTTTGTGGTCCCAGACCGATAACCTTGAGGAATGATTGGCTCTGGGTTTGGAGCACAGTCGCATAATCGCTGACCCAAGACGACTTTCTCCTGACCACTCGCCGGGCCATATCCTGTCAACACAACATCTCAGCAGAACAACGAAAGAGCGTGTAGTTTTAGAGTGAACTCACCTTCTCCGGCTTCAAGATGGCTTCGTGATGCAGGGCCTCCATCTCCCTCTCAGATCTCTCTTCTTCAAGGGCCTGCATGTAGGCATCGGACAGAACCGCGAGGGCCAGCTGCAAGACAAAGAAGGTCCCGACTATCACAAACGAGCAAAAGTATATCCTTGCGGGCCAATCCCCCCATCCTTCCTGGTAGTTGTAAAGCAGATCAGTCGTCCAACCCTCCAGAGTCAAGGTTTCCCACAACACCATCAGTGAGAGGAGGAAGTTATCGACTGCAATGGAACTCAGTTCAAGAAAGAGGTTGAAAATACAACTACTCACAGCTCAAGTATGCCCCTCCCTCATAGTAAGGATTATTGTTCCAATCTGTGCACCAATCGGTCCAACACCATTTGTAGAAGCTACATGTCGTATTGTAATAAACTCCGTCAATAGCAAACTGTCCACAGTCTGTGACACCAGGAACGCAGAATGTGATCCCTGCATTGAAACTCCCAACCATTTCATTGGGCTCGACGACAAATGGTTTCTGCTGGCTGATAAGAGCTGTCCACGCGGATGGCGCGAAAGAATTCACTCCAGGGGTTGGGTCAATGTAACATCTTCCTCTCAGATTTCCTGCTGCCAACTCAATGGCGAGGATTCCAAAGACAGTCATGACGAAGATTAACAGGAGCACAACGTTGGTCAAGGAGCGCAACGAGCTTATCACCGTCTTCATCAAGGGCTTCATTCCTTTAATTCGAGTCATCGTTCTCAATGGACGCAGAATTCGTGCAGTTCTCAGCACAGTTACATTTTGTATCAGGCCAGGAACCAGACTGATCAATCCACAAATGACCACAACAAAGTCGATCCAATTCCAACCATCTCTCAAGTATGCATGTTTGTGCAACACGAAACCCCTCGCAATTATCTTCACGACCATCTCAGCGGTAAAAAGTGCTGTGAAAATATACTCGAAGACTTGAAGGACGTTCTGGATCTTTTCCCAATCGCTGCAGCTGCCCAGCCTCGTGTAAACAATTCTGGTATAATAATCATACTCTACGCACACGCTCGCTTGACAACTGCAAACGGGATTGTCCAGGACCAATAGGACGCAGTTTAAAAGAATAATGAATAGAACGAAGCGATTGAACCATGGCCATTCGGTCAGCACGATAAGTTTTTCACGTATCAAGCTGCTGCTTTCTAAACAGAACAAAGATCTATTCACATAGTGCTCTTCTTGTTGCGCTAGCGCTTTCTTTTTCTCCCGTTGTAAGTGTTTCAATACGTGTGACCAGTTCACATTCCAAAGCTGTACCTCTTCATAGCTCAGATTGCTCGATATATATGGTAAGTCCGAATTCGCACTCGCTTCAGCTGAATTCTTGGCTGGTTGCCCGAAGCTCGAATCTTTCGGTTCAAGGTGCGAAGAACTCGATGAATTCTGTGATCTGTCGTTTCTCAGTACAAACCGTTTTGAGCTTACAAGACCATCTTGCGTGTCCCCTGGATCACCCGGAGCTTTTCCATCATGATCGGCTGGCAAGCCGGCGTCGGCGTCCCCTACCGCCATCCTCGGCATCACTTCATGTTTACCGTCAGTTGCATGAAGTAATAATCGAGGGACTGAGGCAAAAGAGGGGAAGTGCCAGGCACGGTTCGGGTTGGACCTACGAGGGTAGGGCCATATAGGGTGGGGTGGTCGTTCGGGATTATGGGGGTGGTCGTTTATCTATTTAAAATCAATTTGCCGTAAACTTCAACTTCGGGAATGACAACGAGGGGTACTACAAATAGGGGGTAGGGGGTAGAATGAAGTGGGGTAGGCAACGGGAAAACGGGATAAGAAGTCACATTGAAATGGATTGAGGAGGGGTGGTTGAGATTTTTATGGGGGTAGGGGTGATCAATGGGATGGGTCCTTCTAAAGACGATCCGTCCATCTGAAGAGTCACTTATCGGACTTTACACGTCCCTGGGGAAATCTCCCGTTGTCCACCCCTACCCCTAATTTCAACTTCCAGCCTAGAGGTGGGGGGTGGGGGGAGGACGGGAGTCCGGCGGAGGCGGAGGCGACTTCTCAGTGCTCGGCTCCGCCCGGGTGGCCCGTCAGTCGGGGGCCCGGCCCGGCGGCTGGCCCGGCGGGCGGTCAGACGGACCACGTACTGTTATAACCGACCGGGTCTGCAGTTTATCGTTACGTCCTGAAACCGCCAACGGCCACAGCCCAGGGCTCCATGCCGGGTTGTTGAGCAGTCGGCGGCAGCTTCCAACTCCTTCCTCGAGCTAGCAGCCATCAGTCACTCTCACACCGCTGGTAGGCGTCCTCCTGCCTTCCTCCTCCACCACTCACGCTGTTACCTCACATCCCTCGCACCTGTCTCTTCGTTTGACTGTCTCTCTTGCACATGAGCAGGTTGAGGCTTGGTCGAAGACAGTGGGGGCAAGGTGACTCTCATGAAGAATGTCTTGAAGAGGTATCGTGTGCTGTTACGTGACTGGATTTTTCACGTTGATGTCTGTTGATGCAGTAAAGCCTTCGCCTGAACGAGCTTCACAAGAATGAGCGGGACTGGGGGGTATGCAGCAGCAGCAGCATCCAACATATCTCTCTTGCCCGGCCTGTTGCCAAACGTGAAGAACTGCGGATACAACGGGGTAATGTTGCTTAGTGGAAGACAGAACAGCTCTAGGAGCCATGCTTCCCGCAGCACCTTTTTGGAAATCAACTGTGCGGGTCATTGCGAGAGTATTTTAAGGTCCATGCGAGAGTTACAGAGTAACAAGGAGATGTGCGACGTCTCGATTGTGGTGGGATCTCAAGAGTTTCTTGCTCACAAGCTGGTTCTTGCGGCGAGCAGCGAATATTTCAGAACCAAGTTCACATCGACACGGCCCGACAAGCCCAAGGGCGTTGCAAGCAAGACCATGGAGAAGATTGTTCTTGATTTTGACTTCATTCTCCCCGAGCTGTTCGCTCCGATCTTGGACAACATGTACACAGGAGTGATCAGGATACAGGAGCAGAGCTTGCCTTCGACCATCAGGCTGGCGAGCGAGATCGGGATGAGCAACCTGAAGCAGAAGCTGGTGCAGCATCTTTGCAACACTGTCAACATGGCGAATGCCAACGAAGTGAGGACCCTGGGGACCGAACTTGACTGTGTAGAGCTGGTGGAGGCTGCGAAAGCGGTAGGATGATCAGTGTGGGAGGAAAGGAGGAGGCTGAATCTGAAAACCACATACCCCGTGTTGTCCCTTACCCTATCGTCCGAAATATCCTCCTCCCCCCTCCCCCTCCCCCCGAATCGTTTCTTGCATTCAGCGTTCTTTCAATCCTTCTTTGCTTCCGCATTGTGATTTGATTCCTCATTGCGAATGATTCAGGTGATGACAAACGATTCAACTTCAAACCTGGAGGGTAGCAACAGCCCCATCAGCGAGAGCTCTGAGAGTGTCGTCAACAAGGTTTTATATCCCTCTCTCTCCTCTCTCCTCTCTCATCTCTCCTGCTTCATCTCCCTCTGCCCCTGACATCTCCATTTGCTTCTCTCATCTCTCCTGCACCTTGTGTTCTCTCGCCCTCTACTACTCTCATGCTAGTCTACACTTGCACATCTCCTCCTTGCCAATTGCTTTCACCCTCCCTTCCTCCTCTTACGTTCTGCGTGGGTAGCAACTCAACAAGAGCCCATGGACCAAGGAAGAAGACAAGATTGTGATCGAGCTTGTCAACAAGTATGGACTGAAGGCAAGACAACTCCCCTGATCCTCCTCCTCCCCCTCCCTCTAACCTTCACCTCCAGTCCTGGTCAGCGCTGGCGTCGCACCTTCCCGGCCGCACGGGGAAGCAGATTCGCGAACGATGGCATAATCAGCTGGATCCCAACGTCCGCAAAGACAGGTCCAGCAGCGCTCCAGCTGAACTCCAGCTGAACTCCAGCAGGTGGACACCGGAAGAGGATGCTCTGCTCATCGAAGCACACAAGCAACTGAACAACAGGCAAGTCAGCCCCGCCGTGTCCTCTCTGACCTGACACTCAATGCATTTCTCTACTCCTCTTCCTCCTCCTCTTCGTCTTCTTCCTTGACCATCACCACCTCTCTTACATGCACTCCCTGCAGGTGGGCAGAGATCGCAAAGCTGCTTCCTGGCCGCACGGACAATGCTATCAAGAACCATTGGAACTCAACGCTGAAGCGTCAGGTCTTAATCTGTCCTATACCTCTCCTTGCGTGCTTGCTCGCCTGTTGAATCTAGCTCCTGTGACCTGAGCCCCTTCATCTGTCACCTTGCTTGCTCTTCCTCATGGGTGGCAGGTGATGGCGTCAAGCTATCAGACAACGGCTTCTCTCTCGATAGAGAGCGAGCAAGTAATGATTCCTCCTCCTCCTCCTCCTTCTCCTCCTTCTCTTCCTCCTCCTCCTCCTCCTCCTCCTCCTCTGACTTGCAACAGTTCAAGATTAAGAGGAGAAAGACGGAACAGAGCGCCAGGGCGCTGGCTCAGGCCCTGCTGGAGGAGGAGAACTGCAGCAACGTATGCAAAGGTGGGCGAGAATTTTCTTGGATCTCTTCCTCCTCCACCACCACCTCCTATCGCTTTCCCTTCGCATCTGCATTTTTGCTTCTCTCCATACTCAAGTCGTCTGCTTTGCAGACTCCCCAGCTGGAAAATCAGGAGCAGACGCGCATATGGAGGTTGAGAGCAGCAAGAGGCCGAGGAGAAGCTCGCGGGGTTCAGAGAAGGAGAACGCCGACTTCTCGAGCTCGAGCTCAGCAGGGAGGAGAGGAGGAGCGGGGAAGGTGAGGGCGAGGTTGTCGAGGAGGGAGGGGGGGTGATCCTTCGCAACAGGAAGAGGACGGGAGCTCTTTCCTCATCCCTGGGAAGCCAGAAAATTCCAAGTCGCCAGGAGGAAACAAGTCGTCCTTTATGCTTCGGAAGCCGCAGACGCTCTCTATCAAGCTTGAAGACGAGGTACACCCAGTCTCTGCCTTCTCCCTCCTCGTTCTCCTCCTCCTCCAATGCCACTCTCCTTAATCTCCTTCCTCCTTGGTGTATCGCTGCGTCCATGATTCTGACCTTACAGCAGGGAGGCAGCCCGGGCAGCTCCATCGTCAACTCCAAGGGGCCCGACGAGTGCTTGTGGACTGGGGGGATGGTAGCGGGGGCCGACGAGCTCTTCCCAACCTCAGGCGCCCTCTCAGGAGGCTCTCCATGCCTCCCTCTCACCTCGCCAGGTCATCTCCTCCCCTCCCTCCTCTCCTCCCCCTTCTCCTCTCCTGCTCTCGTGCTCCTCCACCTGCCCCTCTTCTCCTCTCCTCTCCCTCCTACTCTCTTCCCACTCCCTGCGTCGCTGCCTCCTTGCCTTCCCGCCTCACCCTGATCCATCCATCCCTCTCCCTCTACTCAGCTCTCCTTGCTCGCCCCTCACGCCTTCCTCAGCCCTCGGCCTCGGGGTCGCCGACTACTTCGAGGGCAACTCCTCCTGCCATGGCGCTGACATCCTTCGAGGAGACGAGCTCTCGGCTGCTGAGGTGGACTCAGTTCTAGCTGCCTTTCCCAGCTGACGGCTGGCAGGTTGCATCGATGATGTCCCCCAACGGAACCGGGGAAAAGTGCCTGTGAAGTTGGTGGAGGCAGGAGGGAGAGGGAGAGGGAGAGGGAGGGAGAGGGAGAGGGAGAGGGAGAGGGAGAGGGAGAGGGAGAGGGAGAGGGAGCTTCCCGTTCGTCTTCTTCGTGATGCTGTAGAACGTGTACATAGAGGAGTGTGATTGACAAACAAGCTGTAGCATTAGGACATTCAGGTGCCCATAACGTTAACAGTAAAGAATAAATGTAAGTTGAACACTCTTCCTCCCCATCCCCTCCCCTTCTCCTCTCCTGCATCTTCCATCGCCGCCACCCTCTGCCCTGCACCAATCCCACCCTTGCTCAAAAGCTCCTCGGCATCTCTCCAGCCACGATCCCCTTCCATAACCTTGAGCTCTTCGCTTCTCCCCGCAGCCAACACTCGTACGTGTCTGTCGTCCAGGTGAAGGAGGCACATCCGTTGGTCTTCCCGCAGATCTCGCAGCACTTGTGCGGACTGCAGCACGTCAGGGTCAGCTCGGAGGGAGCTGGCAGGCCGAGACAGACCTCGAAGTGAAGATAACGTTCTCCTGCAGCGGCTTCGAATCGAGCATGACATTCTGAAGGAGAAGGACGTTTCCTTTCTGAGTCACGCAGGACTCTTGCCCCTGACATCAAGTTTCAGTCCCGCGCCTCATCCTCCTCTCCTTCTCAATCACCATTCGTTGGCGCTGAGGAAAGCCTCTCCCAATCAAGTTCAGTATCGGCTGGTCCATCCCTAGCCGCATCGTAGCAGCTCCTCCTGCTCCTGCTCCTGCTCCTGGTACCGCTCCTGCTCCTGCTCCTGCTCCTCCGCCAAGCTGTACTGCTCCCCCTCCCATAGCCAAGTTCTGTACCCCTTGCGCCACCGCTTGCTGCATCGCAGCCCCTCCTGCTCCTGCTCCTGCTCCTTGCTGTACTGCTCCTGCTCCTGCTCCTTGCTGTACTGCTCCTGCTCCTTGCTGTACTGCTCCTGCTCCTGCTCCTGCTCCTCCGCCAAGCTGTACTGCTCCCCCTCCCATAGCCAAGTTCTGTACCCCTTGCGCCACCCCTTGCTGCATCGCAGCCCCTCCTGCTCCTGCTCCTGCTCCTTGCTGTACTGCTCCTGCTCCTGCTCCTGCTCCTCCGCCAAGCTGTACTGCTCCCCCTCCCATAGCCAAGTTCTGTACCCCTTGCGCCACCCCTTGCTGCATCGCAGCCCTTTCTACTCCTGCTCCTGCTCCTTGCTGTACTGCTCCTGCTCCTTGCTGTACTGCGCCTGCTCCTCCGCCAAGCTGTACTGCTCCCCCTCCCATAGCCAAGTTCTGTACCCCTTGCGCCACCCCTTGCGCCACCCCTTGCTGCATAGCAGCGGCTGCTGCCCCCGGTACCGCTCCTTGCTGTACTGCTCCTGCTCCTGCTTCCCCCACGATGGCCAAGTTCTGTACCCTCGGCATAGCAGCGGCTCCTGCACCTGTGCCTAACCCTAGTTGTACTGCTCCATTTACACCATTTCCTATCACCAAGTCCTGCACCCCGTGGACTGGCCCTTGTTGCAAACCCTTTGCTGCATCTCGATTGGATTCTTGACCTGCACTTGCCCTCATCACATTTCCTCCTGTCTGCTGGAAACCAAGTCCTTGCCCATGGTTCATAACAAAGTTTTGTCCTCCTCCTGCTCCTGCTCCTGCTCCCCCCCCCCTGCCAGCGGCAGCTGCAATTGCGGCTTCCGCTGCATCTTGTATGCTTCCAATCGGATTTAGCCTTGAGCCTGAGCTGGCAGTGACAGTGTTCCCCGCCCCACTTACAGTGCTCAACCCCCCTCCTGAGATTGCGACTCCTGAAGAAGTCTTCTCTGCCGAATCCTTCTGCGTGCCACTAGCGGCGATGACATCTTGCTGCTGTCTGAAAATGCAGTCGTCTGACCTGTTGAGGACGGCAGTTGCAAACGGAGTTCTAGCTGCCAGCACCTGTCGAGCAGGAGAGCATGAAGTTGGCTGATTCAAGTCCCAGTAACACAACCGCTCGTCGTCGTGGATGAAGAGTTTCGGCCAAGTCCCCAAAGTTTCTGAAATTTTCCCTCCAGCATTCTCGTCAAGGTCCGACCAGTAAGGAAGATGAATCTGCTTGGCTCCTGTGAGGAAGGCGCTCATCCAAGAGAGATCTCCAAAGCTGCCGATGAAGGCCGCCGCATGAACAGCGCGGTTCATGTCATTCAAGGGGTTCACGTGCACCACCCTGGAGTTGTAGAGCTGCTTCAGCTGCAGGACAGTCGGGTGCATCAGGAACTTTGGCTCGCAGACGATGGAGATCATCGCGCCTGTATTAAGAGTGCGCATGACATGCTCAATTGCCGACTTGAAGTAGATCACGTCGGGGCTTACCCTCTTGATCAGCTCCACGTCAAAATCCCGGGAGGCCTGCACCCTCATGGCGTCGAAACTGACCGAGTTCCTTCCTTCAAAGTACACGACCACCTCGTTGGGGATTGCAAAGTTGGCCGGCACCGAGAACAGGCACTTGGCAAGGTTCCTGCTCTTGTAGTGATACAGGTAGTTCCTCTTGTACACCCCTCCACAAACCGAGCTGTCCACCTTCATTGGGGGGTGAACACCTGACGACTGGCTCCATCCTACTCCAGGGTAGGAGAGCCTCAGATGGTCGTGGGCAGTAGAGGACTTCTTGATCACCCCGACGCCCCTCACTGCCGCCCATGTCCGAGCGAAGAGGTACTGCAGCATTTGCTCCGGAAGATCCCCAGTGAGGTCAAGGGACATGGCTGTGGGTGAACCTTCCTTCAACGGGGAGCACTCTAGCTGCGGAGAGGCGCTCATGCTCAGAGCCGTAAGAGCAGCCGGCTGTTCAGCCCTCAGGCCCTGCACCTGAGATGACCTGGCAGAGCCTTCCTGACTTGTTGACCCCTCCATGCCTCCAGGCCTACCAGGATCTCCTGCCTGCCCTGTTGGCTTGCTAGGACCCTGGACCTCTACCTGCAGACGAGCGCTCTGGGCATCGCCTTGAGGAGGCATCTTCACAATAGGGAGCCTCTTCACTTCAGGAAGGTCATCCCAGAGCTCAGGATACAGGTATCTTGACACCCATGCTGTCTTTCCAGCAGGACGATGCGAAGGCGAAACCGCAGCAGGTTCTGCAGGGATCCCTTCCTTCGTCTTGAAGTACTTGAGCTCTCGTTCTCTGATATCATCCATGATGGTGTGCGGCAAGGGGCTTATGCTCCCTGTGCTCATCGTCTTGCACATGAATGAAACAAATATCCCCAAGGTGATCGATTGGATCAGCACGAGACTCCAGAACATCCTTCGCATGCTCCAGTCGAAGTGATGTTGCGGGACATCATGCCTGGCGGCAGTTCTAGCTGTCGGCTTTGAAGCTGTACCTGCTCTTGTGCGTGGAGGAGGGCGTCTTGTCCCTTCCATTGGAAGCATGGCATGCAGTGAAGATGGATGTCGGTCCATACTGGGTCGATCACTGGTTTTCGCACTAGTGGGAATGAGCAGAAGGCGCATGCTGCACGCTTTTCAAGCCAGAACTGATCAAATCATCTCCTTTCTCCTCCCCTCCCTGTCCTCCCTCCTCCTCTACTCGCTTCCCCATCCCTTCCCTTCCCTTCCTCCGCCTCCTCCTGACCCTGAGCAAGGGCTGCTCTTCCGCAAAGGTAAAGTGAGTCCCCGACGGGTGGGGTGGTTGGAGAAGAGAAAAGGAGGGGTAATTGGTGGGGTATTCGCGGCTCATGGGTGGGGTGGTACAAGTCGCCCGTGGTAGGGTACGAAGTAAATGTCCAGGGGGGGTATCGAGCTGCATTTATCACCCCACCCCCTCTAGAACCGAAGAGTACAAATTACTGATGAAAAGCTACCCGTACTGAAATCACCCCACCATGACTCGCCCCTTTGTTATTCAGACATATGCTGGGGTAGTGATAATAAGTCGTACCATGGGTCCTTACCCCCACCCCCATTTTTTCCTCACTTTCGTACCCTGAAGACTATAGCAAACCCTTGTTTTTCAAATTGACCCCCGATTACCCCAACCTCATCTTTGTGTACCCCCACCCTATCTTGGTCACACTCACCCTGTCATAGTAGCCAAAAGTACCCCCATAGTAATATGAAACATTTGTCCTTTGGTTGAATATACCCCTGATTTCTTTACCCCACCGGTCCTGTTGTCCGGAAGCCGTAGTCCGACAATCACCCTACCAAAGAGTTTGAATACCCACCCTGTGCTTGCCAATCCCCCATACCTCGAATCATACCGGTGTATTTCCATATTAAATTGCTATTCAAGAAGGGGTATCTCTACACCCCACCCCGTCAAAAATTCATTTCGGAATCTTATCACCCTGTTGAGTGCTGCTACCACCCGTATTCAATTTTAGATACTAGTACAACCCCTTTCCACCAGGGAGTACCCCCTATTCCTAAACGAAGTACCCCATTGTTAGTCATCATCCTTGTACCCCTACCCCCCGATTATGTCCTCACCCTGCCGATGCGATGGCCGAGGACTGGCATGGTAGTGTCGGTCATTCTCGGCATGTCCCGGCTTCCTCCATGCTGTAACAGCCTTCCTTGTTCCATGCTCTGTCCTCTATGCTCCCTGCTCTGCTCCTGTTCTGTATCCTTGCTCCTGCTTCCTGCGATCCTCCTCCGTAGATGTTCGCTGTAGCCCCATGAAATCTCTTGTTCCTCTCCATGTCAGGGGTTTATGATGCCTGCCGCATCTTCCCGCTCCTGCTCAAGGCTCCACACTTGATCCATGCATGCTGTACTGCTCTTTGCCATGCTGCGCACCTCAGGCCTGCCCCTTGCTGCAATAGGCGATTCGTTTTTCTTACATCAAACCCCCTGATATTCTCCCATGTATCTGCATCTTTTGCCGCTGTACACGTGTATGTTTTTCAGCTCTTGTTGCCCTTCGCTGATTGTTGTGAATGTGTATTTCTCCCATCATTTTCATGGGTAGACTGCTCTCCATTTCGAATGCTTGTTCTGCAACGAGTCTCTATAGACTTCTTACACCCGAAGTGACCTTTGGATCGCCTATTATGGCCCCTTTCACACCTGTGTAATTCGTCTTTTCTCAGGCAGATGGGTCATCGTTCCCTTTGCGGGGAAGGCATGCGGCAAGCAGGTAAGTTTGTTGGATGCACTCTGACGATCTGTCTGACCTCTGTGCAGAGCGAGATTATTTTCTTTGATGCATTCCAATCGGAGATCCTCACGAACAACGCCTCGCTCCAAAGTGTCACAGTGCGTGGCTCCTGATGCAGAGTTGAGCCAGAGAATGGCGTGAAAACCTAGATCAAGAATTCGTTTCAATGTTCGGCTGTTGTTCTTCGCTGTGTGGGGGGGTTCCCGAAGAGGAGGAGGTCCCTGCCCGGGGAGTCAACGCTGATCCTCGATCATTGTCCAAAAGTGTCAACTCGACTAAATCGGTGGAATCGAATGACAAAGACAATGGTACTCCAGCTATCCCCAACCATGTAGAGAAAGATTTGGAACTTCCGAAGGATACTACAGAAGCTGAGCCAAAACCTGAGTCAAACCTTGAATCGAAGTCCCAGGGTGAAGAAAAGGCGCAGGAAAGTGCTGGGGTTGCTGACAAGGAGTCGTTATTGCCGAAAGGCAGCTCGATGTCGACAAATCAGAACCTTGAGCCTTCAGTCGTTGGTGAGGTTGGATCCATGCGAACAGATGACCTTAAGCACGGTACCGAGACATTGGTATTTGAGCCACGCGCGACACCAAGAACAGTCTTCAAGGAGAAGAACAATCACCCAATTCCGCAGTCTTCTTTAGCCGGTGCAAAATCTGTACCTAATGCAGCTGCCGCAAGACCTCCCAGGCCACCACCCAACAATTCTGTAAGCAAGAATCAACCTCAGCAAAGTCCGAGTAGTGCCGTGCATGACTTGGAAATGGTAGTTGCTCAATTTCCTGATAGAGCCAACGCTTTTGAGAATGGTGATCAGAGTTATCAGGAAATTCCTTATGCAGATATTCTACCAGCAGGAGAGGATCAGGAGGAAACAGGGGAAATAGTTAAAGATGGAGATCCCAAGTGCAAACCAGGGGCCTCGGTCTATGTGAGCAAGAAATGGCTTCACGTGCAGTACTTTCAAGATTTACGTGGATTGCGGGGAGTGCTGACAAGAAGGGGAGTGAACGGTGCAGCTTGGTATGCGTCGTTTCCAGGTCGCATTGAGCAGGCATTCAGCACTGGGCTCCACGGTCAATATGTGCTTTGCTATGCAGAATCGGACGAGGAGCAGACGGCGGCGATTCAAGAAAGCAGCGCCATAGAGATGAACGGGCAGCCCAACGAGGAGCAAACGACCTCCAATGTGAGAAGTTGTCTTTCAAACTGCTGTGGACTGACTATTGACGTTCAGGGGGTTTTAAGCCATGACGAGCCCTCGGCTGAACCATTCTCCTCTGATCAACTGCCAAGGCCGCACGTGCACAACACTGACCAGAAGATCCTTGACGATTGGAAGGCGAAAGCCGAGCAGAGGGAAGCTGAGTTGAAGCAGCAGGCCGCAGATGAGGAGGTAGCGCATCAGCTCCAACCGCAGAACAAGGATTCAGTGCAGGATGCCTCGGTAGCCGTTGCTACGGATGCTCCCTTGGCCGCACCGCGAGGGGGTAGACATTCAGCTCGCGGGATCGGGTCAGCTAGGGCTGCGATTGGGACCTTGATGGGACAGGGGTCAGCTAGGCTCAAGGAACGGCCGCCCTCTGCCAGGTCCCGCGCGCAGATGGGGGCTCCTCCTCTGGGCTCAGGGAGGATCTCAGCACGGCGAGCGGTAGACGGGACAACGAGCTCGAACCTCTCTGCTCGTCGAACTCTTTCGTTAACGGGGGTAGTCACCCCGGACATCGGCATGTCGCCCAGGGATGATCTCACTCCTGAGTCCCCTCGGGATGGAGGGAGGACCGGGCGGTTGTTCAAGTACCCCGAGTGGGATGAGGTAGGCTCTTTCCTGCTCGGTCGGGCGATCTGATCTCGACACAGTATGAACTCTTCGACTCCGACGACTTGTGGTCGGAGCACGCTTACCTCCTCTATGGAGAAGTGATGGGACCAGGGCAAGGGCCTGCTGTCTTCATCTGGGTAGGACAGGAGGCTCAGAGGGAGGGAACTTGACTATCGTCTCGCAGATCGGTCAATACTTTGACGAGTGCGACTACCTCGACGACGACGCATGCGACAGGTTTGCGCTCAAGGCGGCGCGAGAGTTCCAGCTAGCATGTGGAGGAAACATCCCGATCGGGCCTATCCACGTGGTAAAGGAGCTCGAGGAGGAGGAGGACTTCTGGGAGTACTTCGTGCTGGGATGAAAGTCAGCCGCTCGCGTCCGCGCAGGGAGGGTCGTTCGAAGGTCTGTCTGTGCAAAAGAGATTGAAAGCTTCGAACAAGTCGCTCGAGTTGATGCGAGAGGAGAAGACAGCCATTATTCTTTTGATTTGACATACACACTTCTTGTAATACTCCTGTCAGCTCGCTCCTGCCCTTCTCGTCCTGTGCTCAAGTCTTCCCTTCTCCTTTGATCCCGAGCCGCATGCGGATGTTCTTGGAGATGGGAATCTTCTGCATGATCTCCACCACCTTGTGTTTCTCCAGCAGGTCTCGATCAGCATCGGTCACGAGGTTGTACAGCCCTCCTGCCGCCGCCGATTGCAACGAAGGGTCCTTGCTGGACTTGAGCAGCTTGATCAGAGAGTCCATGAGCCCCTCCTGCTCATCCCTCGTCACAACCTGCTCCTCCTCCTCCCACATCACTTTCACCTCTCTGCACATTTTCTTGTTCTCTGAATGGTTAGCTGAAAGGTTGCACAAGGCGGAGGCAGCGAGCCGCTGAGTCGCCGCGTCGCTCTTCCTCACGAGCTTGACGAGTTTTTGTATGACCCCGTACGAGCTCAGTTGCGTCTTGATCTCCTTGATCCCGATGCACACCTGCCATGACTGGTCAGCCGCAGGGAGCCACCCCGACCTCCCACCTCCCCGATGCACCCGCACGCCTGTCCCTGGATGAAGGGCTCGGGGGAGTGAAGCAGGTCGATCAGCGACTTGAGGATCGACTCCTGCGCCACCAGAGGCTTCACGTGGTCCATCTCGACGCACACGCTGGTGGCAGGGATCAGCCTGGTCAACACGCAATGGCTGAAGTTGAACCTCCATAGAGTGGCGGCCGCATGCGCGGTGATGGCCTTGGAGTCGGAGTGCTTGCCGTCGGCTTTGAGTAGCTTTGCGAGGATGGGAATGGCCCCGGAGTCCGCTACACGTTCCTGCCAGGGACGACGACATGAGGGAAGAGGCTTCTGCGAGCATGGACTACCTTGAGTGCATTCTCGGCAGACAAGTTGCACATGCAAGCTGTTGCCAGGCGTTTGAGGTCTAGCGATTCATCCTCCGCACTCAGGATCTTGATCAGAACATCGATCGTGCCTGCCCGCCAGCATATCAGGGCCGCAACAGGCACATGCCATTTGTTCTGCACACCAGCGTTGCCTGCGTTGATGCGATTCTGAGAAGATTCGCAACAAAGGTTGCACATCGCGATCGTTGCCTTCCTCTTCCTCTCCTTGTCATTCGAAGCCATGATCTGCAAGGCAAACTTCAGCGCCCCCCCCCTCTGACGAGTCTCATCTGCCTTGACGATGTTCTGCATGATGGCTAGTGAGACATCCTTGTTCTGAGGGTTCGAGGCGTTGAACTGAGAGATCATCTCGTCTTCCTGCTGGGTGTTGGCCTCTGGTGACTTCGCCTCCTCTGCCTTAAACTGTCAGCAGCGTTTGAAGGCAATGGGGCCTCACGATTCGGTGACGATGACTCTATGAGACTCGTATCGAGCTCGTCGTCCTGCAGATCATCGATTCCTTCCTGCAGACCTGGTATGAACATCTCGGAGTTCGCTTCTGCTCCCTCCGCCTTGTGCAGACTGTCTGGCTGATCGCTCGCATGCTGCGTCGTCCTCTGCTCCTGGCGGTACTTCTCCAGCTTGTGCCGGTCGATCCCGTCGCGGTGGGAGGAGACGAAGAGGTCTGACGTGGCCTCAAGAGGAGCTGGCGTGAAGGTTGCGATGTGATTGGAGAACACTCCGTCGCGCGTGTTGGTCAGCAGAGGCACTTCATCCGTGATCTCGTCCACGTAGTCGTCTGCATGCAACAGTCATGGTCAAGGCTCGCGCTCCTTCACAGGCAAGTGCCATACCCGCACTCTTCTCGCGCGTCGTCATGGTGCAGGGAGGCCTGCTCTTCAGGTGGCAGATCGTCAGAGCAAAGGGGGGCTCTCGATCCGCAACGAGAGGATCAGCGAACGAGGGCAGGGCTGCTGACCGCCCTATGAGGGGGAGGAGGAGGCAGGAAGGAGGTAACGAGGAGAGCGGTGGAGGAGGGAGAGGAGGGAGAGGAGGACGGGGGAGAAGGGCCAGGCTCAAGGACGCGACCCTCCTCCTCCACCTACAGCCGCAGCATGCGGTAGCGGTAGCATCCAACGACCTGCCTTGAAAAAAGTAGAAACCTTGTGAAAATTTAGAGGGGATTCAAAAATAACCAACATACCAGCAGCTTTAACCTGATCTGCCTTTGAATTAGGTCACAAGTGAGTTAAATCTAACTCGGATCGTATTCGAAATCAACCAATTAACAGACATCTGGCTTAAATTGATCGGACCGGACCGGGTCCGATCACCAGGGTGACCGGGCCCGGGGGGCCTGTGCCAGTGACCCGGCCGCCCGGGCCTTTCTAAGCCTTCAGGCTTACTAATAAGTTACTAGTGATCGTAGCATCAGTCAGCCGCGAGGCTCCGAATCCCGGGCGGCGGCGATCAGATCGATCAGCGGCGGCCCGGGCCGGGTGGCCGGGCCGGGCTGCCGGTGCGTACTCCGAGGCTCACTCAGCGGCTGTATCTGACCATGCCCTTCAAGTGATTTTCCTCACTTTACTTCGTGAAATTTGACTAGCAAGCCACTTTAGTTAATTAAGCACTTTTTGAGGGGTGGGTGGTGATACCACCCGTCATCATTAGATACAAAACAGGGGTTCAGATGGTTGGCATCGGAATTTTATTTATTTTAATTGATATACATATCCTGCTCTCTCGTTGCTCTCTCGTTGGCGCTTGCTCTCCTCTTCCTTCTTCTCCCCTCCTCTCTCTCCTTCTCTCCTTCTCTCCTCTTCTATCTCCTCCATGTTCTTTCTCCTACAATGCCCCGACTCTCCTTCGAGATGAAGTGGCCATGGTAATGATTCCTGCCCTCAATCGTTCGCGTTCGCTATGAGACTTTCCGACTATTCCTTCGGTCGCTCGATCGCCGCCCCATCCAACAAGCTCGGCTTGTCTGGTTTGCATTATCGCCACTGGCTCGCTCGACAATCGTCCAAAGGTCCGAGACTCTGTTTGCGCTCTCAGTCTCATAATGTGAATGCTGAAATAGACTTGAACTGGTTGCGATACATCCTCGGTATTCATGATGGAATCATGGGGCAGGGAAGCGTAAGAACGACATGTCTCATGTCTTTCCTTTTCTCATGCTGTTGCCAGTCAAAGCTCATCCATCCTTTGTCTGTGTTCACCATCGTCAAGGTGTGATCGATTGGCTCGGATCTCGTTTCGTCATCGCCGATGAAGTTTGCTTGCAGCATGTGTTGTCATCGCTCCTCACAGTCTACTCCTTCATTGAGACGCCAGTCATCATAGCCTTCTATTGGAATCAAGATGCATGCTTCAAGCCGAAGACGGTGATAACTCCGCAAGGGCGATTCCTCAAACGAGCTGTTCCTTCTGAATTGTTTTTGTCCAGGCTGAGATGGGCCTTGCTCTGGAGACTAGCTTCATTATAGAGATCATATTGCAGTTTTTCACAGGTTACTACGATGCCAGCGGGCTGTATTCGGATTCCATTCCAGCAATAGCTAAGATGGTTTGCCGATGGGGCGATGGGGTTTGGCTTCTGAGAAGCTTTCAGTACCTGAGGCAAGGTTTCTTGTTTGACCTCGTAACCTCAGCTCCAATCACCTGGGTGGTGAGAAAACTCCTTCATGTGACTTGAAGTTGCCGAACAAGCCATGCCTTGCAGGAGTACTTTGCGGTGTACAACAAGTGCAACTCTCAGTTTGTGGACAACTCCTACATCTATGCCAAGGTTGCGACTTTGACACTTGTGGGATCAGAAGAATGACGTTTCTTGCATGCGGCAGGTTCCCTTGAAACTCATCCGGCCCCTCAGGCTTGTCAAGGTTGACTTGGAGTACCGATGACGTGACGGACGTCGTTGACTGTGGCTGATGGGCAGGTTTTAAGGCTCTTTCGCATTGCCAAGGTGTTCAACACGCTGGAGAAGCTCGTCAAGCTCGATCTGTGGATTGAGAGGACGATTTTCCTCTTCTCTCTCGTCCGTCTCTCCCATGCCGCAACCTCCTTGATGACGCGCGAGTGCTGCAGGTGCTGGCGCTGGTGCACCTGTACAACTGCGGGTTCTGGCTGGTGAAGGTGGTGTTTGATGAGGTGATGGCATGAGGATGACGATGAAGTCGATTGATCATAATCCATGTGTTGATATTTCCTTGTCCATCTTGATCTCGATCTTCATGCCTTGGTCGCTGGGTCTTCGTCTTCGTTTTCATCCTCTAGCTTGGGACTTGACATTCACTTTGATTATCTTGGCTGATTATCTTTATCTTTTTCTTTGTCTTTATCTTTATCTTTGTCTTTGTCTTTGTCTTTGTCTCTAACTCCATCTCTGTTTTCTTACTGTCATCTTATCATTTACTTCTTCTGCATGTTGTTTGTACCTTTTCCTTTTGACCGTGTCTTGTTCTGACTGTCTTCAAAGCATCTCGATGAATTCCTGCTAGCCCACGGCCTGTCGCCCGATCCCCCGGCAGGTAAGAAGATGCATGTATTGTCAATGAACTTGTCAAGAGATATCAATCTTGTGTTGTGCTGCTGCGGTAAGACGAGGTTGTGCAGGAGAAGTTATCAGTGCGCAGCAAGTGGTCGAGAGGTTTCCTAACCGTCAGATGTGAACATGTTTGATAACCTTGCGTTCAGATATGTCTTGTCGGGATATTTCATCAACAACCTCTTCACTACCGTTGGGTTCGGAGATATTGCCGGTGAAGAGAGCAGAGCAGAGCAGAGCAGAGCAGAGCAGAGCAGAGCAGAGCAGAGCAGAGCAGAGCAGAGCAGAGCAGAGCAGAGGGGAAGAAGGAGATGAATGGAAATTGGAAAGGTAAGATCTGATCAATGAGTGCAGGAACGAATACTGCCGAAAGGCTCTTCTGCATTTTCACGATGTGGAGCGGAACGATGGTCTTTGCTGGTCGGTTTGATTATGATTATGATGATGATGATGATGATGGAGATGATGATGATGGAGATGATGATGATGGAGATGATCATGATAATCATGATCATGATGATGATGATGATGATGATGTATAGGAGGAGGAGGAGGAGGAGGAGGAGGAGGAGAGAAACGAGAGGAGGAAGAGGAGAAGGGACAAGGAAGCAGGCGGAGGGGGCGGGAGGGAAGGGGTAGAGGTGAAGTAGAAAGAGCATGGTGTACGAGCATACATGATGAGACTGATGGATCTGATGATGGAGATCATGACGAAGTTTTGCAGTGGTTGTCAGCGAGACTTCAGACATCGTCGCCAAGTTCAACGAGCAAGTGCACGCGAGGAAGCAGAGGCTGCAGGTCAGCTGTGACGGGGGTCGGCAGCGGGCAGGAAGCCTGACCGCTGAGCAGGAGATCCGGCACTTCCTGCAGCAGAACAAGGTCAGCAAACAGCTCCAGGAGGTCGATGTTGCTATTTCGAGGCGGAGCAGATGCTGACTGAGCTGCAGGAGATTCTCGACTGGTCCCTCTTCAGGTGTGTGAGAGAGAAGGCGCTGAAATGTCCAGCTGACCCTCACCTGAAGGCTCTTGTTCGACCAGAAAGAGTATGTCAAGGAGGACACCTTCAATGTAGGATCCTCCCGTCTCTAATCCCTCCTCCTCCTCCTCCTCCCGTTTCCTGTCCTTCTCCCGTTTCCTCCTTTGACATCTCCTCCTCCTCCTCCTTCTCCCGTTTCCTGCTCCTTCTCCCTTTTCCTTCTCCTCCTCCCGTTGGCGGATTTGACATCTCCTCTTCCTCCTCCTTCCCGCTCATCTTCTTCTCCGCAGGTTCTCCCTGCTCCCATCCAGCAAAAACTTTCACTCGAGCTCGATCAAGGGCTGATCGGCTCTCTTCCTTTCTTCGAGGTAAAGATCCGAATATCTCCCCTCCCTCCTCCTCCTTCTTGGCATCCCTCCTCTCCCCGGCCTCCTCGCTCTTCACCTGGCCCTCTCCCCCTCCCCCTCCCCCTCCTTCTCCTCCCCTTCCTCCTCCTTCTCTTACCTGTTCTCTCCTCCTCCTTTTCCTCCTCCCTCCTTTTCCTCCTCCTCCTCCTCTCCCACGATTCTCACCTCTCCTTCAGCTCATTCAAGATATCGAGGTCAAGGAGAAGCTCATCTCAATGATCGGCATGCAGGTCCCCTTGAGATCTGACTGATATTCCCTTGCTTTCTCCCCTTTCTCACCTCCCCCTCCTCCCCTTACTCCTCCTCCCTCCCCTCCTTTCCCTCCTCTCCTCCCTCTCCCTCTCCTCCTGCTCTAGTCCTCCTCCTCCTCCTCAACTTGTATTTCTGTTTCCTCCGCCTCTAGTTCCCTCTTCTTCTTCCTCTTGTCAGTATCGTCTTTTCCCCTCTCTTCCTTGTCCTGTGTTGTCTCGGTTTTTGATACTTCACCCAAGATTCCTCCCCGGCTTGCTGCTGCAGGCCAGCAAGTTGAAATGGATGAGAATGTAAGGAGACTGAGGAGGAAAAGAGACTTAGCAGACAAAGGAGGAGGATACTAAGGAGGAGGAGGAGGAGGAGGAGGAGGAGGAGGAGGAGGAGGAGGAGGAGGAGGAGGAGGAGGAGGAGGAGGAGGAGGAGGAGGAGGAGGAGGAGGAGGAGGAGGAGGAGGAGGAGG